ATATGAAGCTGGTCTTAGGGTCGAAGAAGTAAGATGGAATTGTTCTGAAGCATAAATAGTCAAAAGGTTTAGTTTCGACATAAGAACATTACAATGTATCAAGATAAATAAGTAGTAGATTCAAGATCACAGAAAACAGTATGTTGTACACTTTCATGATACTGCAAGTTCACTTGTCAAAGATTACTTGATTCAACTGACGAAATTGTCTCGAACTGATTATTTGGAGTTACCCATCCCTGCAGATACCACAAAACTATCACGGGACAAAGAGATTCTTTGTAATCGGGATTTCCAATGAAAAAAGCTTCTGAAAGGTTGTACGTCGACGTTTTAAAAAATGAAATGACGACTAGTTGCTTCATCATACTATCATGAGGTAACAAACAAGTTCATTTCAAGAATCAAAAGACAAAGATTAGTCTCAAACAGGTACAAGCAAAATCGAAAATCGACCAGTAAAGTAACTCGATACCCTATTTGTTGTTCAAAATCAGGACCGTATATAGTTATACTGAAAGTAATGTACAGGAATAGCCTGTAAGTGTGCAAATAATACCCTTTTATTTTGTAAAGTCAACAATAAAATTTTCCTTTATGGTAAAAAATAGGTCAAATTCGTACTTTTATGACAAAAACTATTATTAATATTCCATGTACTACTAACCAATAAACTATAACTCTCTCGTTGTTGTTGTTGTCGTTGCTGTCAGTTTACAATTCCAAGTAAATAAAAAAATTGCAATTCTCCACTCATGCCAACAACGAAGAAAACAGTAAAAGATAGAAACACAAGTCATTCTCTTTGTAGAATTGATGACTATGCCATACTGTACTAGGCTCGGGCTAATATTTGTTGTTGTTGCTGTTCTGGTTGAATTTCAAGTAGTAACGAACGGTTTGATTTTGCTCAATAATCGAAAAATGTTTTAGGTCCGTGTCAATGTATTTGCAAACTACTTTGTTCGTCTGCATATGCTTTCTAGGAATTGTATACCAAAAGCTGGACTTTATCTTCAGAGTCAAACCAAAAACTCTAGTCGGACACGATGACATCAATATGTACACTCGTATAACATTGTACAAGTTCAACCAATCCTTCATGAGTTTCTTTCAGAGCTACTTTGTATACTATCCAAACGCAAGCTGTTTGCACAAAATGTGAAGTTTCCTTTTCACTTTTTGACAGCTACAACTACCACTACTTTCAACAGCATGACTTTCAGTGTGTTGAAATGAAAAAAAGATCAGCAGCACTCTTGACACGGCAAATACTGTTAAACACAAGTCGCCTTGTTTCCCATTCACACCGTACTACTACTGTTACCCTCCTCTTCAACTATATAAGGACCAAAGACGATTTGCAATAGATGCCTTTCAGAAACAGCAGCAATACTGGCTTCAACACTATCACTCTTACGACTTACATATTCTTAAGACAAAACTTAACTTTTGGTAAACCCAGTAATTCAAAAAAACAAAGGCGTTTCTCGAAAACGGACTAATAGCTACAGTCGCCATCGTCAAAACATTTTACCCAGGTGAACACAACCAAGACTTTCAACAGTGCCCTTTCCCCTGCTTTATTTCATGGTTCCCAACAAGGTGAGTATACTTTGAACTAAAAACTGTTCCCTTGCTTTCAAAATACAAGTATATTCAGCTTTCGTTATCTAAAGCCCCACATCCATAATATTTCAAAAGACATACTCGAATCAATAGAGAATTGATATAAAAGCACAACAATACAAACAACCATTAAAAATAAGCAATGATGGACTCAAGACTTTCCTATGCTATCCTGAGAAATGCCTGTTGCAGAGTTACAGACCGATTACTACATCGTGAAAAGAGTCATATAGAAGACAAGGAAAACTAGCATACGGAAAATAATGCTGTGTACTGAACAAAACACTCAACGGAGAGTCTAACTGCTTTCTTGCAGAATATCTTTGAAATATCAACCCAAGACTGATTCTCAACAATCGACTACAAGACTAGACTATCAACTGCTAATAAATACGCAAAAATGCTCTCAAACAATTATCGACAAAAATAAACAAACTTGCGAGACAACTAATTGACTAAAGTACCAAAACTCAACCACAGCTTAAACTCCTTTGTCTTTGCTCTCTTCTCGACAACGCTAATCTCAAATTTCCATACAAGACCAAAAGTGAAATAAAAACAAGTGTTGCATAAAGTATATAAATTCCAAAGAGATAATAAAAGTTGAAAATACTAAAAGAAACTACAGTCTACGTGGAACTCAGAGCACAAGAATCGATGGATCGTTATAAAAGAAACATTTGAACGGCTTAAAAAAGAAACGTAGATAATAGAAATTCACTTGTCCAACTAAAACAAACGACGAATTCGCTTTAGAAATTAAAGTCTGAAAAGTTTCACTAGCAAACTTGAATCAAGTCCACAGCCTTGACAACACTCACTGAGCCTTCCCCTTCATCCAACAATCAAACCATTGTGCTACTTTCTAATTGGATTGTTATGAGAAGGATCGCTTTGTATTGTCTCCTTTCACTGGAGATATATTATTTTAAGTGACTAGTGAGTTTTATGAAAGAAAATATTCCACTTGGAGATATGTAAAAAGGTTCCGGAACAATAAGTGTGCTAGATACAATCAATCTCACATCTCAGTAATGTTGTGAAACGAGAAAAACAGTGTCGTAACAAAGGTCCTCTCAACTCCCTAGCGACAATGTAGCCTTTTAACAGAGTTGAGTTTGATCAATCTTGTCTCTGCAAGGTAAATTTCAAAATACTTGTGACCCTATTTTGATAACAAATCAAGAACGGGTTTTGCTACAACCAGTTTTTGACTCGTTCTCGATCTGAGAACCTTTCTTTGTTGGTCACTCAAAATTAAGGAAAACTCCATAAAGGTGTAAAATGGTCATTTTCCAATTTCAATGACACTAACTCTGTTTGGCTTGCATTGTGAGAGCTAGAACCTTCCCTTCCATGCAAATTACGCTCAAGGAACAATCTTGTTCGATTACGAGTTATAAAGAAGAACAAATCGTATATTCAACTCTAGAATTGGAAAGTATACAGAGGACAGGACGATAATAAAAAACTGACCAAAGGTTGGGAATACTTTTGTCTAGACACAAATTCGTACATAAACTACTTACGATAAGGAGGATCGAACCTCAAACGATTCAAGGCTATTGGTTCGTTCTCTACATAAACAACTTGTAGAGAGTTTTGACTAGTATAACAACAGTAAGAGTGGTGATGCTTTTACTTCTCCTTGCACATATATTTCAAGATTCACCTTTCTTTTTTACTTTGCCAAGAGAGATGAAAGATTCTTATTTTTCCATTGTTTCTACGTTTATATTCTTTTCTTTTCACTAGGAGACGAAATTGATTCAATATATTCAAAAGAACAAGACCTTTACCGGTTTGGATAACAACCAAAATATCATTTAAGATTTGACTCTGCAAAGGAATCAGATAACTTGTTTTATTTTATTCTGCTGAATATTGCTTGCGAGTTGACGACATTTTTATTCTTTGTAAAGCAACTTGGATAAGAAAGCGTTTCTCTTCTTTTTCAAGTTTGACTTGTCCCTAGTAGTAAAGAACATTCCTTCTATTGATAGTCCCGTTTTTTATACCAAACGTTGGGTTGTCTTTGATTCTCGTTACCAATATCCAAAAGGAAGCCTCTACTAGTGTACCCATCAGGTTATACTTCTCAAGAGTCTTCTTTCAAGTGCCTAACGCAAGGAACTTTTGTATAGTGACTCAATTATTCAATGAGCTGATGGTTGAGAGTGGAAGAAGAATTAGGACTCAACTGCAGCTGAACAAATCGTTCTTTGAATATGCAGAGCTTTTAAAAGTTTTACCTTTTTTTATATTGGAAGAAATAATAGCCCTCTTGGAGTTATATCGTTCCTAAAGCAGCTTTGTACTCTTTATAGTTTGCTTTCTTGTATATCTTTAAAAGTTGTGGTTTTTACAAAGTTTACCGTACAAGAGGATGCAGCAAAAGCCTTTAAACAGAAACAGTCATGTTTACCTTCAAAAACACCTCAAATGTATAGTCGACTACTGAGGAGAAAGAATTCAAACTATGATTCAAATGCTATGCAATGACAATCGATAGAATAGACTCAATTCGACTGAATTGAATTTTTCTTGAAAATATCTTTTCTCCTCTTAACAGAATCCACAGTATCAAATGCCACTATTTTCAGAGGAAAAAGAAACAGGAGCTATTGACTCTTACAGAAATTGAGTATTGATGATACACTTGTGTGAGTCAATGTTGTTTCTGAGATTTGATAACACAACGAGATATTTTGGATCCTTCTTTGCGCATTTGTTTTGGTTTGTCTTTTGCTATCATCAACCTTTGTAGCTTTAGTGATAAGCTGCTACTTGTCATGATATCGTAAGAAAGGAATTTGATGATTGCTGAGAATAAAACACTGCTATGCTTGCGGGTTTCTGCATTTCTACTAAATAATATACTTCAACTGGAGCTTTTGAATAGACTACACAAGAGAATGACTTGGTTCATAATCTAGATCCGTGTTTTGAAATGAAGCAAAAGTGACGTAAAAACTGTTCCATAAAATACAGAAAATCTAGAGAGAGACGTCTACGGAACAAATTCTTCATGAACAATCTATATTACTCGGAACTCTCATGACTACTCTCGAAAATTCTGAAAGAAACGTTCTTATCTATGTGAGAATGGGCCATGTTTAATAGCTTTATACTCTCAAAGAGCATAAAAAACTTGTGAAATAAACATTGGCTTCCTTCCAATCCTTCTTGTACCCTATGAGAGTTGCCATTATATTAGCATACGAGAATAAAAATATCGATAGCTGAAAAAGCCATATTGATCGTTCTTCCATAGTTCAAATCATCTCAGTCCAAGCCATAAAGGGTATGACATAGTCATCAGTTGATAAAGAGAAGAAGTTGGATTGGTATCCTTTACTATTTTCCTTGTTGTTGTTGTGACCGACAAACAATCAATTGTTCATTTATTTATATTTGTACTCCGAAATAAACAGAAGATTGTTTCATTTCACTTTGGCGATGGCGAGTTTGGATGACAAGTGGAAAGCTGTGGACAACTTTGAGTCTGTTGTGGTAGTAGATCGTGAAAGAGATGTTGTTCGAGTGACAAAAGAACTGTATGATCTTCATAGCAACAGAGAACAACTCAGGGGTGTAACAAGTAGTTGCAACTATCGCTTGACGATACCATTCGCTCCGCACATGTTCGGTTCTGGCAAGACGACCTTTGCCCGAACCTATTTGGAGTTGGTGCAAAGGTTTGGTGAAACTTCCCTGTCGACGTTTGCTTCGGACCCTTCGAGGAGAACCTTTTTGGAGAAGCTGAAAAGGGCTTCATTGCTCTTTGTGGATTTGAGGAAGTTGGAGCCCACAGAACCGAAAGAACGAAACCTGAAGTGGGCAGTCTACTATTTGTTAATAAAGGCTGCCTGCTCTCAAGTTGGCGCGGAAATTTTGCGAAAGAAAGAAGCCTTCGAAATGGTGGACATGGAACCCTCCAACCTAGTTCCACTCTTACGAGATATACTAAGGATTCCTTCCGATCAATATCTTTTGTTGGCATTTGATGAAGTTGGTGTTTTGGATACGAATGGAATTCTTTTTGAACTGGAGAAGAATGACAAAGGTGTGGTTCGACCTTACAATGACTTTTTCGGTATCATTAGTCAATTGTGCAAAGAACCCGACTTGTTTTTTATAGTTGTTGGGAAAAGCAAGGGTTTAAGTATTAAGAATGATGTGGCTTTTGGGCTATCAAGAGTTATACTACATTTTATCCCTTTATCACCTTTGGACGCTTCCAGTATCGTTGAATTCCTTGAAAAGACTCTTCTAAAGACACCTACTCAAGAACCAGTTTGTAATGTCTTATGTAGTTCTTCATTTTCAGTAAATGAATTGGCAGATTCGTTATTGGAATGTACAGGTGGAGTTCCTGGTTTGTTGACTCGTGCAGTAAATATGCTTCTGAATTATATAAAAACAAGAAACCAGCCTTTCATATCGAAAGAAGAATGTTTGACTTGTATGAATGACTACAATTTCCGAAGAATTTGTGCTGAACCATTTGTGGAACGAATATTGAATTTGGACGAAGATAGAAAAAGTGTTTTTGATATACTATTGATGATGGCACTTTATCGTATACCGTCTAAAGTAGATGACAGATTGACATCGGAGTCCTATCTATATGATGCAGTCACTGAAATGGGATTATATCGATATCCTATTGACCAGAATACTTTCCAAATCCTAATTCCGAAAGTATTTGTTGTAATCTTCAAGAACGACCCTTCCATATCTTCTTTGGAAAAGATACTTCTTGGATCACTTGATGTAGAACCAGTAGATTGTTTCTTCTATTCAAAGTGTCGTGTATTTGAAGGAATTGTTGCTTTACGACTAGTTTTGATGTTGTCTTCAAAGAATCGAAATGAGTTGAGGGAATTGTTGGGTCAATTGTCTCCAATATGGAAACAAATGAAACTTCCAATCAGTACAACATCACCTATTCACTATATCAAGTCTGTTGTTAGTTCTACAGAAACAAGAAGTGAATCGAACAAGAGTCGAAGAACTTTTGCCAATACTGAATGGAATAAAATTATTCGAGAGACACTTTATTTAGAGACTATTTACATTCCTTTGGACGCTACTTCTCATAGTCCTGATATTATATTCAAATTACAATCTCCTGTGGAACCCAAAGTTCTTACTGTTGGAGTTGCATGTAAAGGACGTTGGAGGTCGGAAGGAATTGGCTGGTCAGATATTATAGATGAAGCCAAGAAATTTTTAGATCCTGTTTATGATCAAGTCTTATCCAGTGCAATGGATTATCATCATTGTATGCTTATTATCGTTAGTACAAAGTTATCATTGAATGTTTCTAATGAGTTGGGTAATCAGAGTCGTTGTTACTCCAGTGGAATGTTTATTAGAAATGATTCGTTCAAAGTACCTGATAACTGTGAACTTGTTATTCTTTGTGAAAGAGATGTCCAAATGCTGATTGACGAAGAAATATTGAATGGACTTGAAAGAGCATTTCATGTTCCTCATAATCCTACTTTTTGGAACTTGGGACTAAAACTACTTCATAAAATCCGTAACAGTTTCTTAAGTTGGCAATAGATTCTAACTCAATCCTTCCCTTTGTTTTGAAGAGCAAATAAACTTTTTTTTGTATGTTTGAAACTTGGTTACAACTTATTTGCTTGTCTTTTGGACACCATACAGTCTTCCTTGAAAAGAGTTTATTAGTTGGCTTTCAAGGCTGGCTTATAATCGTTTCGTGTCAATTTGCAATAATATTGCAGAGTTGTAACAATGATTCAAAATGAATAGACTATACATACATACATGTTGATACAACTAGAATGAAAAATATCCTTTCTTGTCCAAATACTTAGTAAAGTGGTTACCCAAAGAATATCTCAAAACATTCTTCAAGTGTCTGCTATGTTGTCTTTCTAGCCTGTTGAAAAAAGAACAGTAACTTTTTTACTATAATTTTCAAAGACTGAGACAGAAAAAGGTTGTTTGTACATTTCACTTGGACTGTCCTTCTTGTCTTTTGTTAACTGAATAGAAGAGAGTTTTCCTCGGTTTTAGACCAAACGAAGGGAATGGCAGCAAAAACTTGAGGCTTCCTCTAACTTGAGAACCTGCACTGCGGTCTAAAAAAGAGTTTTAGCTTCTTGAAATTCGATAAAAGTTTAGATTCCTTTCGTTTTTATGTGTTTTTTTCAAACTGCATTTCTAGCCTTAGAATTCATATAAATGGCTCCCACAAATATGAAACTTGTTGGATCCAAGAGAAAACATAGCAAAGGTAAGAAAAAATACTAAAAAAAGTATTTTAGTTTGCAATTCAAACTCTATCTCAAAAGTACTAACAACACTATATATCCAAACTCTGTTTTAGTGAATTAGACTAAAAACTCACCGACTCTTAGATAGGGAAAGTAACCCGGTTGCAAAGATGATATTCGATATAAAAAATTTCGTTTGACTATCAATAGAACAAGAGACATCTTAAATGAATCTACCCATGTGACAAACAGAGAAAAAAACTTTCTATTTCAGAAAATCACTATTTACAGAGGAGTTCTATTTATATTGCATTGCAAAGGACAACTTTGAGAGTGGAACAGAATTGTTTCTAATTAGTCAAAGGAAACCATATCCAATCTTCAAGTATTGTCATTCCACAACAATCACTTGACAGATAACTTAGGAACTACAAAGTCTCTCAGTCAAGAGTCATGTTGGGTAAAAGTTCTTCAATATGGAGTGGCTTTCAGTTGGAGAATTGCTGAAGCTTTCAAGTTGGTACACTACTCGACCTTGACTCAAGTATGAAAGGCTTCTTCTTTAGTAAAACAATTTTTTGGCTCAGTCTTTTGCTCTTTTTTCAGCATCGATATGTGCAAAATGAACGGTTATAGTGACTACATTTGAAGCCTTTATTGATGTCCTTATATAAGACATATTCACAACTTTTTAAAGTCGAACAAAGGATAGACAACTTGTGTAGCTATTACATCAATAATGGCTTGTATTTAATGATAAGTCAGTATGACAATCTACATAATACACTTCTCCAAATTCAATTAGATATTTTTGTATTTATAAACTGCTACGAACGGTTACAAACTAACAGACTTCCCATTCATTGCAATTCTCTGTTTCCCACTGTATTTCGTCTGTAACTTACAAAAAGCTTGTATCTAATTAGACTTGTATATAGGAGTTTGCGTGTAAGATAGTGTGGAAGATAGTAGAAAAACTCTCTTACAGTATACAAGCCATAGAAAGAGTACCAATCAGTCTAATTCACCACAAAAACTCATAGAAACCTATTTCTTGTCTATAGTAAAAGAAAGTTTCTAGTTATGACAAGCAAGAAAATATTCCTGCTTTCTCTCTATTGTCATTGTGAGTCTAGAAGTGTCAACGAGATCATTTCTACCAATCACCAAATAAAGCAATCTCTCGAACAATAAAACATACACTCCTTCCAACTCCTTTGAAAGTCAATTGATTTCGGATTGGCGGCGTGTAAAATGAGTTTGAGAGAACCGTTGATAGACAGAAAAGAAGATGTTTATTCTATTCTTCGAACTTATTTCCACCAGTTTTCTTCAGTTGACGGAAAATTGAACAATTTACGTCCTGCAGCGTGCTTTTCTCCTCAGGTCTTTGGAGCTGGCAAGAGTTTTGTTGGAGAAAATTTTTTAGAGTTTTTAAAAAAATTCGCCGACGAAGAAGAAGAGCAGACGAAGACGGAGGTTTTCAACAAGAGCTCATCGGGAAAAGTTGATTTGAAGATTTTTTCTTGGAAACACTTTGCGGAAAACACTTTGTCAGTTTGCTTTAAACTAGAAGAGGGTTTTTCTCGTGCTCCTTTTCCAAGGTTTCTAGAGGCTTTGATGTATAATATAATTTTGAACGCTTATCGACAAAATGGTAAAGATACGGACGCTCTTCAGATGGCTCAGAGGATGGTAAAGAAATTCGATACTGTAGGAGCTATTGATTATCTTCTCGAACAATTTGAGAAACAATATTTATTTTTGATGATAGACGAACTTAGCCATCTGAGTTACCTCACCAAATACTATAGTGAACTCACCAAGAAACAGTTCATCGAGTCTGACCCAAAATATGTACCTTTTCGGAACTTCTTCCGCATTCTACGTAATTTGTTGATTACAGGGAAGGTAATTGTCTATTTGGCAGGTCGAACTGCTGAAATCTCAGCCCCCCTGTCTGATACTCGCTCCAGTAGTGTCACCCTCCATATGTTGCGGTTGAATCCCTTTAATCTCCATGATATTAACGAATATATTGAGCTGGCAACTTATGATGGAAAGTCCTTGAAGGACTAGTTATTGCCCTCCGATGATTTACAACATCGATTCGTAGAATTGTTGAAAAAGAAGACAGGAGGTATTCCGTTGATTGTAAGGAATACTTTATTAGCCCTAGTAGAGAAAGTTGCAAACTTATCTCAACCTGTTATCAACGATGAAAATATGGAACCCTTATTAGATAGAATCTTTCAAGAGATACTAAAAGAGTCAGGAACCTTTATTATTCCAGAGATACTAGATTCCGCAACCCTTCTTCGATATCAATTCGTCCTTTTGAATTATCAACTCGGAACAATTTTCCCAATCAAATTTGCAATTACTCTATGTGGAACGAAAACTTATTTGATGGACTTGGTTGCAACTTTTGGGTTTTATTCTGAAAGTTGTGGAACTGACGGGATTGATACGGGCACTAAGTTCAAGATTGGTTGTTGTGAATTTATATTGAGAGCTCATAGCAACTATAACTTTTTCCGTGAAGCTACTGAACTCTTTCCTTTATCTCCGTTTAGTTATATTCCCGACACTTCAACAGCAAAAGGAGTCTTCTTTGAATTTGTATTTATGAAGATCTTTCGCTTTCGCTTATTAACTTTTCTTCATTCTAATTCCTCGCCTATTGTACATTCTGCTATTCCAGGAATTTTCCAGGGTTCTTTTATTGAACAGGACAATGTTTCTTATTCTATGGAATCAACAAAATCTTGTGATATACCCATCTTGAGAAATGTCTCTGATTCATTTTCTGACGATTATAGAAAACATTTACAACATGGTGGTATTTTTGTTCCAAAAGATGGCAATTCGAGTGGCCCTGATGCATATGTTGTATTCCATAATGGACAAACACGTTATGTTGTTGGATTTTCATTTAAATTTTATCACAAAACTGAATTTTCGAAAGCAAATATTAAGAAAGAAGCCAAAAAATTTTTCAAAGAAGTTATTTCCGTTTTGAATAACGAATCTCCTTCATCTGTTCAACTTTGTTTTCAGTTTGTGGTGGTACTTTGTACTAAATATGATCGATCTGTAGGTTTCTCTGTCGAAGAACAAAATATTGTTGAAGATGCAAGTGATTTGGTAACTCAACATTCTACTACTGGGTCAACTTTGAATGAAAGTAGTCGATCATGTATGCAATTGATAATTGTTTCCCAAAGGAACCTTGAAAGATATTTGGGAATAGATAATGTCGATATTTTGAGGAAAATTGAGAAAGCAAACCGAGAAGAGTTCAGTAAAGACTTTTCAGTATGGTGCAAAACTCTCTTTGAGTCGATGTCCAATAAATATGTTTCATATTTGGAAGCTGAGCAATCAAATGTTACTTCAAGAGTGGCTCAAAATATAAGACCGAGAATAAATGAGGAGAATCGTATGCAAATGGAAGGTTTTCAAAGTTCTATACAACTGGAAAAAGATAAAACAAGAAGAGAACAAGTATCGAGTGATATAAATACACATTTTGACTGGAAAGAGTTTCTTTGCAAGTCTGCGTTATTACCGGAAGAAGTTGCCACTCGTTATGCTTTCACATTTCCTAGTATATTTGGAGATAATCCTCAAGTGATTCGAAGAAAGTCACTAGAGTTGATGGGTATACCAGAGCAATACATTCAAAAAATTCTAAGAGCTGCAGTATTACTGAAAGAAAACACAGAAATGAAAGAATAATCAGCTGCTTTCAAATTTGTGTTATTGAGAGACATTCTTTTTAGAAAATAGAGTGGAACGTAGGAGAGAGAAAGAGAGAGAGTTCTTTGTGCTTTTATTCTAATTGAAGCTTACAACAACAAAGCGTATCTCTGTTTGTAAGCTTTTACATTTTCCATGAAAACGGACGAATAAAACTATGTTTTTTGTGTTGAAAAACGCTGGTTGAGTTTAACTAAAAAGAGAGGATGTGTGCACTCAATCTTCGAACTCATTGTTGTTTGGCTGGCACGTAAAGACACAAGCTTGTCACTTATGCAAATTGGTCAGCTTTTGAATACTTGAACGAGCAAGTTGAGAACAAAAGTTTCATTGACTAAGAATTTGCTTGATCTGCTTGTGGTTTCTATGCAAGGAATGATCCAGAAACTACTTCGTCGTTATTATACCTAGAATTTGTAGTTTTTTCACTATTTATTGCAAATATGCGTCGAGTAACTTCTACTTATATCTAGCAATGCCAATGACATATATGTGGTCTGTTCCTTTTTGGACATCTTCTCAAGTTTACTTTTTCTTTCAAATTTTAGAATCCGCATATTCTTATGAATATATCCAATGGTTTTTCTCTTGTTGCAAAGTGAGCAAGTCATCATAGTCTCGTGAATGATGTTTGAAAAGTTGAGAATTTGGATGGAAGAATATTGTTGCAGCATATATACATATGAGGACCATGTTATGTTTATAAAAAAAAATGACAGATTATCTATAAATAAATAAATGCAGTACTGAATAAAAATGACATGTTGGTTCAGAAAGACTATAGAAGAATAAAGATTCTCTCTCGATCAATGCCTTATTCGAACCTTCCTATGCATTCTAGATAGCAACACTCTTGAGACCGTCATGCGGTTTGAATCACAATATGAAAGCCACAGCAAACAACGATTCTTCTGATGAATTTGAAGAGGGAAATGTATTCAAAAATGGCCTTGACAATTGAGAAGCAGAAGAGTCCAAGGCCAACTATAATATCTAGTAAAACTGCCTCAAGGGGACGTAAGTGGTAAAAGTTTCAAAGACTAGTGATAGTCAATGTAATTGAATCCTTGCTCAGCTATTGTTGAACAGCCTTGACAAAAAAGTCTTCCATAGACGGGACTATAAGGCATTCTTCGAGTAGTACATGATATGATACAATGAGAACCCTTGACAGACAACTTTGCTCTGCCAGCGGAAGAATACTTGAATTTACGTTCAAGGCACCACTTTCAACACAACAACAACAACCATGAGTCGATGATACTGCGCTACTGTTATGACAGGCAACCTTTGCGAAGTCTAACATGCATTATAATATTATTATGCTAGTCAGAAAGTGAACAGCAGAGAGTTTGACTAGCAGAGACATCCTCAAATCAACCAAGAATAATACGTGCAATCAAAACGACCAATGGAGCTCACTGAAAGTCGTTAAGGAATTGGTTGCTGAATTCATGTTCTTTCTTGAGGCTCTATCACCAGAATTAAAAGAGAATATACTCTTAGGACACAATTTATGACCAAGCTTTATGGAATCCTCAAGATTTCTAAACTCGAAAGAAAAATGCTGGTTAAACTCAACTTGCTTTTGCACTTGCAACGACAAGTATGTGTTTTGTTGCCGTTTCTTCACAATCAGTTTCCTTGGCCAACATTGATTCCTTTTGTATTCTATAATAACAAAAATTTAAAAACACCTATTTCTCTTTACACTTGGCTTCTCTTTTCATAGAACCCTAAAAAACAGTACAAAAAAACGTACGGCACTTGGGGTTCCCGAGTGATCCCTCACCTCAGTACTAACCAAGCCTGAGGGCGCTTAGCTTCTGAATTCGAAATGGGTTCAGGCGCATGTGCCACTAGTATGGCCGTACATATTTGGAAGAGTTGTTAAATACTATTTATACAAATGGACATTATTTCATACAAGTAATTGCAAAGAAAAGAATCCAGTGTGAGAAACAGTAAATATTGTAATGTGAATAGTTTTTTATACAAACACAAGTTGCAATTTTGTTATATAACCAAAGCGTTTCTCATTATATCATTTGAGAAAAAAGTTCTGTACAACGTCCATTCAAAAGTAACTTGAACCTTACTAAAAGCCATTCCAAAGTTTATAACATGGATAAAACTAATTCTTTTTTGAATAGAAATTTCGTCACGATATACTAGAAACGTTTCTACAATATAAAAAAAGTATAAATTGGGTCTTGATAAATAGCCATCTTCCATTATTGATACTATAAAAAGGTATATTTCAAGTATCAACTGATCGCAAGAAATTTTGCAAATAATAGGAGAATACGGTGACCTCGACATTTCCTCCTTTTAGCTGTGACTGCATTTAGAAACATGTAATTGTCATGGGACCCATCGCCTACTTGTCTGCCAAATGGATGCAATCGGCATCGAATTTCCAAAATTAGTAACAATTCTATGATTATCCAGATTACATCTAACCAAATGAAACGTCAGCATCGATGCTTTAAATAGCTTTATGAAATAGAAACTTTAAGCGTATATTGCTATTCTTCTTTTTCGTGTCTCCAATATTTTTTTGACAAACATGAAGAGATACCTTTGTTTATATGTAACTGTTATACTTGTAATAGCATTAACAGTTAGTTTTGCAATGGCAGATACAAATACATTTTCTTCTTCCTTTTCCTCTGGAAATGGAGAAGCTTCAGGATTCTCCTCTTCAACGGATGGAAAACAATCCTCCGCATCCAACTCCCAAGTCGATTCTACTGGAAATGGATCTGCTGCTTCTGAAGATTCCAGCTCTACTACTTCTCAAGGCACCTCTAGTTCATCCATATCTTCTTCTGTAGGCTCTGCCAACGCCAAAGGTATTACAGCAGGTAACAATGGTAAGAGTTCAACAGCAGCTGGTTCTAGTGCGTCTTCCAGTCAAGATGGTGCTGCAATAAGTTCAAGTGGTTCAACCAGTTTTGATAAGAATATTAGTGGAGTGAACTTTCAAGGTTCACAAACCACTAATTCATCTTCCTCTTTTGGAAGTGGACAAGGGGATTCTGCTTCTGATAGTAATACTCCTAATACAAGTTCAGAAAGCACTACAGGAACAAGTGGCAACGCTGCAGCAAAAGACTCCTCAAGTAGCACTTCTGGACCTAGCGGAGTGACAAGTAGTACAAATGCCAATGCTAAAAGTAGCTCTAGTGGTTCAGCAGCAGCACAAGGAACTGCCAAAGCTTCTACAAACTTGAGCTGTGTTTGGCAGTACAAAGAAAAGTGTTTACCTTGTGCTCACATTGAGAACGATGTTTGTAAATGTTACTGGAATGTATCGGATCAATGTATATGTACGAATTTAACTTGTGCAAAGCCTTTGTTTCAAGCAAGTGTGGAATCCAGTGCCACCGCATCTTCAAGTGATGGTGGTTCTTCTAGTGCAGGAGCTAATGCTGCTTCCAGTCAGTTGAGTGGCGGTGCCAAGTCTCAAGCACTAGGTTCAAGTACAGGGTCAGGCTCCGTCAGTGCTTTGAGCCAAGCACAAAGTATTTTGGATCAGGCAGAAGGCAGTGTTCAAAGTCAAGGTTCTAGTTCCAATGGAGGAGACTTTGGCTCACTTTCTGGTAGTTTCTTTCGCCAAGGTATCCAAGTGACAGCTACTTCCAATAGCTCTGAGTCTTGTTCTACTGTTGGTCCTTTTCAACTTGACTCTGTACGCTTTTCTTTTCTAAACACTGCTGATGGAATGGTTTTTCTACAAATTTGTAGCACGGCATAAGTTACCTTTTGTTTATAGTAAGTTTTTTTTTAAAAAAAATTGGAGCGACTCTGAAAAAGTTGACTTGGAAAAAAAAATTGGTTTCACTTTTTTTGAGTATGGTTTCGAGTGTTTGTCAAAGGTAGCAACTGCAATCACTACAAATCTTTCTTTGCTTCAAGGAAATTGCAGTTAGTCGCTGACAGGAGTAAGGTTAAGCAGAGCAGGTCAATAAAATCAATCCACTTGAACAACTTTGATAAAAATGTCGTCAATCATACTTGGGAGACATCAATAACATAAAAAAAAAAGATTCTCAAGAAATATTCCCAACGTAATATCTTCTCAACCTTCTTCCAAGACAGTAAGAAACAACTAATGAATCAAAAGAAATTCAACCAACTTTGATAGCTATTGACTTTACAACCAAAGAACTGCTCTTCAAAATCAAAACTACTTCAACTTTTAATAAAAGAACTTCTTATCTCAAATGGGTTCTCGTGTTTAAGATTTTCTCAAGTAACTCGAGGCTAACGATTCGACAGTGAGACATAAACAGTCCAAGATTCCAAAGTACTACAACTAAGGCGACACAAAATCAATTAAACTATTTCAATGGAACATATGTGGAAAATTTTCATAAGAAAAAGCATCAGCCAAGCCACACCTGCAATAGAGAAGAACCTCGATCACGCAAGCTTGTTTGGCAATTGTAGAACTTATCTTCAGACTCAAATGATTCTTAACAATCAAACGTTCACAAGAGAAATACATTATAGCCATTGATAGGCAAATTCTCAAGATGAATACCTTGATCTTTCAAGTGCTTTAAATAATACGATTTTTGCGATTGCCATCCTTGCATAAAATTTTAATGTCTTTCATTGAAACGAATTGGATAAATTGAAGAAAACTTGCTGATAAACTTACAAGATTGAACTAACTTGGACTTTTGATTTCATCTTCATTGACCTGATAACTAAAAAAAATGTGGCACTTGAAAAGGCAATTTGAATTCAGAGTCTTTTGAGGATTTGGGTAATTTGAATAAAGCACACAGTGCACACTTCAAAAATTTCGTGACCTTCTCTTTCAACGCTGTTCATTCTGTGACAACTTAAAAAATAGAATGTCAAGTAAAGGTTTTTCTAGTAACGTTGGTTGAAACTAGAACACAAATTTTAACAGAATGGAAAGCATTTGTCCAATTTGCACCAGAGTTATGAAATCAAACCTTTGCCTCGGCTATTGGTAATACAGAGTAAAAAGAAGAAGAAGACAATTTTTCAACTTTTGAAAGATTTGCACAGATAGTTTTCACTCTTACCAAGTTTCTCAAAGTGCTTCCAGTTGATAAAATATTGAGCATTTCTAGTTGTTGAGAAGATAATATTTTGTCAATGAGTGCAACTCTTCCTATGAGAAAAGTCTCGATAAAGATATGCTGTCAACCCTCAATCTCATGAGATTCTTCTTTAAAGATCCAATAGCTTAAAAGAAACCTTTGTATATTTCCAAGATACTGTAAAATCTTTTCAAAGTCCATGAGAAACAGAAAAAGAGGGTAGAGAATGTCAAATGATCAAAAGATTTTTGTTTTTGATGAATATAGATATGTAATATGGTTAGGTTGTTTGAATTCAATACAACGGATCATGATTGCATGAAGAATGCTTCTCTTCAACATGTCTCATATATTTCATTGGATGATTGTGAGGTTTTTCAAGGACAGGCTTAAAGCATCATGAATGAGAGGATCCATTCACTCATAAGTACAAAAAGGAAGCCTTTAAGTGCAACCAACTATTCCCATCTATCCTTAAGAAACATGTGCATATATTAAATGATCCAACTTTAAGGATTGAGTCCAAAATAAAGTTCAAGTGTCGAGGTAATAAAAGACATCGTCGAGTAGCGATGAAAAGAAACCACCATAAAAAATATCTCAAAACTGCTACAAAAATGAAGGAAGCTTTACAGAATGTTGATTTGTGCATTTTTTAAATCATAAAACTCCACCGTTACCTATTTGCCAATAGTGCTTATAGAAAGAGATCATGATAAAGATTGACATTTCAAAGCAACAACATCGTACAGTATATTGTTTTAGACCAATTTCTATATTCAATAGGAAGAGAAAAACGATTCACCATTCGAAAGGTTGAATCCTTGTATTGAGTATGATTTCTTTTCACATGTGTCTCATTTGGGCTTGAATGACATTTTGAATACTCACAGACCACCATCTTTAAGAACAACAAAAATCAATAAGATGAAATGGAAAGCCATTCAGTCTATTTGTTTTGAAGGAATGCCAACTAGCTCATTTCTAGTATAGACTGATCTTTGTGTGCTTACAATGGCTTATCGAGTTGTGAATGAAATAAAGATTGTGAAGATATCTGTTTTACATATATCGGAACATAAAAGGAAGTTTATTCAACGCCCATTAAAGATCTACAGATGACTTCCTCTTTCGAGTTTATTCCATTTTTAAGTATTCCTTTCAGATGAATTGGATAAAATCCTGGAAATTAATTGATAGCAATGACTATTCTTATCGAGAGCGAATATGTAGTTTATATAAGAGAATTTGTTGGCGACTGAGAATATCCAATGCTTCCATCATTTGTGCGGATTGTATGACATGAAAAGAATTTGAAGATTCTAACTCGTCTTTAATACCACATCAGGAAAAGAAAATAGCCAAAATAAGGTGCTCGTCAATTGTACCGACAAATAGCTCATTGGAAAGAATTGTTTAGCAATTCTGTTTTCGATTCTATTCGTTGGAAACAAGGCTGATAAGAGATTTGCATAATATTTCTTGTCAACAGGTTTTGGAAAAGATACTTGCAAATGTTTCCATTAAAGTAATCAGATCTAGAGCAACATTGGACAGCAAAGAAAAGGTTTTGGAGATATAATCGTATATACCTGTATATGTTACTGTTTAGGGAGATGGAAAGTAGAATTTTTATACTTACCTTTGTAACTATCGATCGCATAGTATGACAATGCATATACATAATGTCATTATCATTATTACATTCATCTCAATCATTGGAAGAAAGTTGTGTTTATGAAATCTGCAAGATTACAAGCCTCCAAAATTTATCAACAAGTATTGAGAGTTCTTATTCTGGATGATGGAACTTGGAGAATAAGAATGAAGAACAACTCTAGAGTATTTGAGATAAGAGAATGACAAGAGCATGCTTCCAAAGCCTTTTAAAATGAAACGCCAAAACAATAAAACGAGCAACTGAAAAGAGCCATCACAAATATCCGCATTCAAATTCATTTCTGTTACAACAACTCTTTCATTGAGTGTTTATCATATTTATTATTACTTTTGACAAACGCCATGAATCCTCAAAAAAGTGGAACATCATAAATGTTCAAGACCCTTTTAAGAGTTTAATGGCTACTCGTGTATCATACTTCTACAAAGTGTCAACAAAAGACCTCAACTCTAGTTGCAAACTGACAAGTGGTCGTTCAATTTCCTTTCCTTATGTTCATAGTACTTTTGGAGATCAAACTCACAACAAAAGTATAGATAAACCAATGCTCTTTATGACTTGTTACTATTGGTAAGACTCTTCAAAACATCGTTCTTACGTAATTTTTCTTTTTCTTCTTGAGATAACAATCTTCCAAAATCTCCCTTTTCTTTCCTTTCACTATATCTATCTACTAAAAAAGAAGAATGGTCTCTCAACATCAACGAAAACTTGACCAACTCTTCAACTACATCGACCAATCGATCTCTCAAAGGACCAGGCTTCATTCTGTTATATTCATCAAACTCTTGCCAAGCTTTAGGAATAGAAGACTGATTTGGAATAGTAAACATACGCATCCACCTTCCCAATACTCGCAATGTATTTACTGCGTTAAAGGATTGTGAACCTCCATACACTTGACATATAGCCAAAGTACGACCTTGTGTAGGACGCACGGAACCTAAACTAAGTGGTATCCAGTCAATCTGATTTTTAAAACAACCCGTTACGTTCCCGTGCATTTCAGGTGAACACCAAAACTGTGCTTCTGACCAAAGAGCTAATTCTCTCAATTCTTGGACCTTGTGATGGGTTTCCTCCACTTGACCTTTTACAGGTAACTCTGTAGGATCAAAAACTCGTACGTCTGCACCCAAATAATCCAACAATCTGGCTGCTTCATAAGCACAACAACGAGAGAAAGACCGTTGTCTTAAGGAACCATACAATACTAGTACTCTTAGTGGTCTGTCTTGAGCTTCCTTTTCATACAAAGACTTGGCACCAGAAATATCTATATCCTCAATCCAGTCATTCTTGTCAGAGTCTAAACGAAACTTTTTCCATTCACTCAAGTCCTTTTCAGCTGTCAATGGACAATCCATTTCTCAATGTGTATACTCAACAATATCTCAAGTCTTATTTGTCTTTCAAATATACTCATTGATTCTTATGACAACTTGTAAACATCATTTCATCATCATGATAGGACAAAAATAGAGACGCTTAGCATAAATAACTTACTTTTATTAACTTTTTGAGAACCGTTATTCCCAAAAGTATGAGCGTTTTTTGTCGGTTTTGTAACGAAAATTTGAACAAGAAAAAGCTCTTTCTGTAGCAGTTTACAAGGATTGGAAGAGATTTCCTTCTAGTCAATGATTTCAATAAAAACTTGAGAAAATATTTAAAACCTGAAAGAATTGGATGGCTACTAGAATATGTGAGAGAACTCGTTTTTGTTTTCTTGCTAATAGGAGATGCGACTGAAGCCACAAGATGTTAAGATAGAAAAGGATTCACCTGAATGGGATTAACCAAGTTTGCATAGTTACTGTCTCTTTTTAGCGCCATTACGGCAGAAAACATCATTTTGTTAAAACCCTCCGAACAAGCTCCCAATATTGCACACTTATTGGAAGCTCTTCTTTCACAATATTTGAATGTTGAACGTTGTGAAACTGAAAGGGGTTAAAACTAGGGGAGCTTCTATAGCACATAAGATCATGAAAACTACTGCCAAACATCGTTCTCCATTACTATCCATTAGCTAGAAGAAAATGATCACGCAGTTACAAAAGTTGTGATTGGTAAAGATGTGAGTCATGAATGTTATTTTGTATGATGATGACAAAAGACTGCGAGAATGATTGTCTCGTCTGAAAGACTTTCAACTGTGATCAGATATGTGTTTCTGTAGACTATGCAATGACTCAGTGATTATTCTTATATAATGAATGCAACTCATTTTGATCATCCAGTTGTATTATTGAACCATACTCGCGGTCAAATTGTATATGGGTTCTTTTGATAAGCCTAGTTCTGTCGCTATATATTCTCTAGATGATTGTTTAATGAAGGAAGAAATCATTAGAACAAGTATATGTCGTGGTATAGTGAACATTCGTATTGTATATATTTTCCAATGATTCACTCGTGGATGAGCAAGTGATGGAAAGAATTGCTTCTGGAGGAGTTTGTATCAACAAAGTCATTACTCATGTTTTGGCTTCCTTTTGGTGGAAGTGTATCATAGCAAATATTCGAGTATTTTCTCATACCACTTTGAAAATAAACTGTCACCTACAAATAGTAGAAAGAATGGATTGCTGGGTGTACATTAACAATTCAAAAGATATAACATTTATACATTATCTCGACTTAATCTTTGATGAATGCCTAAAGTGGCTAGTCTATCAGCTTCTTCATTGCCTTTTAATCCATCATGTCCTTTTACCCAAACAATTTCTATTTTAGCTTTACTTTGTTGATGTACTTTGTTCCATAAATAGTCCAGACGTTGAATAAGATCCAAATTCTTCAACTCTCCTACTTTTCTTTTCCAGTGGTTAAGTTTCCATTGTTCCAACCAACCTGCAGTTAAAATATCCTTTACATATCTGGAATCTGTATAAATATATATTTCAGCTTCTGATTCATAAACAATAGGTTCCTTACAAACACTTTCCAAAGCAGCTATCATAGCACTCAATTCTGCACGTTGGTTGGTTTGTACTTGACCCAACAATGGTCTACTTATATTTCTTGAGTCTCCATCACCAAAATAAACTCCATATCCTGCCTTTGCACTACAACTTCCATTCGAAATACAAGCACCATCAGTATATAGTTTAAGTATACGCTTCCCTTGTTCCTTATATTGTGGATTGACACAAGTAAAAGGTTCATTAAATGGAACATGGAATAGAAAAGTTCCAAAGTCTTCTCCTAATCCTGCTAGAGTTTTCACAAATTCTTCAGCTGCTTCTCTTCTTTTAAAACTCTTATATCTTGTGTTTCTTACACGATGAACGAGGTCTTTACAAGCATCCCAATTGTCTACTACTCCAGTAAACCCATTCTTACCTCCAACTATGGCATAATATTTATTTTTTGAGCTATTCCAACGATACTTTTGAGTACGACGACTAGTCTTTTCAGTCAAGGCTTTCGAAACGCGACCCGCCAACATCTTCTGTGTAGACATGCCAAGCTTTGGTATGACACCCCAATATGTCCAACAAAGAGATGACCACCTAATATGCGTATGTAGACCAAAAGAGTAACACAGTCGACTGTTTCGTTTCCAATTCAACCAAATGAACAACTGAAAACCAATCATCATCAAACAACTGCCATTGCTTTTTGGAACATTTTCTCCCTCCCAAAAAGCCAAATATATGAAAAGAGAATACCGTTGTTGTTTTTCATTGATAGGAGTTGTATATCAACTCACTAGTAGAAGATATTACAGGAATTGTTGCAACAGACAACCTATTTGTTGTTATAGTCACAAAGGTAGTTTTGTGTCTGTTGCAAAGAAAAATCTCCGAGTAGTTACTCCTCAACTTGTTTGTCGGACAGAAGAGAGACCTTCTTCTCAACAAGTATCCAACTCGAATAAGAAATATACAACGAAAAGCATCACCAAAGGAATAGCTGTCCTGTTATTATTGTTATTATTTTTGGGTAAGTCTCTTGTCTATGGAGTGAATTAGGGAACTTCATAGAATATGTCTAGTATATGTTCACAATAATTGGCCTATATTATCGAGGCAAGTTGAAAGTTTGTAAAAGATTGTATAGATTCTGAATATTGTGATAGATTGGATATGAAAAGTAGTTTGCAATGGATTCAGTCACTTGATTTACCTTTACGTTTCGTTATTTTCTTTGGAGTACATACCATAGCTGTTGTTGGTTGTTTTCCTGGTACGGTTGCTATAGAAATGGCAGCTGGATTATCCATGAATCTGTATTATGGACTTGCTTGTATGTATACTTCCAAATTATTGGCAGCTATGGTATCCTTTTTATTAGCCAAAAGTATTTTATATCGTTGGACTCAAAAGAGACTTGAACAATATCCACAAGCAAAGAAATGGATGGATGCTATAGCTCAACAAGGCTGGAAACTGGCATTGTTTTCTAGGTAAGAACGTAATAATATATTACTTAATTCTTATTTATGAAAAAAGGTTATCGCCTATTCCATCTTTTATCAATAACTATTTGATTGCACTGTCGCCCATCTCCTTTCATGATTATATGATAGCCACCATTGTAGGTATTATTCCCTTTCTATTTCAAGTAGTAGCGTTGGGTGCTGGTATACAAGAAATGAGACAACAACTTTCATGGATAACTTTATCCAAATACATAGCAATTATTTTAGGAATAATAGGGTTAGGTTATTATACCAAGAAAATGTTTCATTCCATGTGGGAAGAAAGCGATCATCACTCCCAAACATAAAAGGAAGGACAATATGGCTTTCACACTTGGATCGATTTTATTGGCCACTTTATTAACTGCCAACGCTTTAGCTATCTTAAATGAAGAACGCTTTTTATCTAAAGTGGATTGGAGTTATGAACAAACTCGAGTGGACCCTAGTGGTATAAAGGCACAAATAAGTCGACTCTTATATGCCTTTCGTGTGATTATGAGAGGTATGGGGTACAATCAAAAACACTTGTATTTACTTGCAGCAACTAGTTCCTTTGATCGTTCTCAATATTTTAACTATACTGGTGTTGTTGGTTATAGGTTGAATTTTCAGAAATCAACGTTGGCAACTCTCGCTATGAAAATAACTTTCCAGATAGGATCCACAAACCGCTTATATCTTCATCCAGACAATAAAAACTCACAATATTGCATATCAGAACAAGCAGCCATATCTTCCCAACCCTGCAAAAGATATTTGTGAGAATATTCAGTGTGAATAAGTCCACGTTGAGACTTGATTATTATACATAGAGCGCTAGCGCAACTTGGGCGGTTCTCTATTCTCAACAATATCGACTTCCATACAGGCAAAGAATTTGTGAAACTGGAGTTTATGTTCTCTTCATAAATTATGCTTTTTCAATTCAATTCTTATACATTATACGCAACTTGAACGATTTTCATAAAGTTAACTGTAACTTCGAACGCTTCAACGATGCCTTTATCCACTGAATAACTGAAAGTTCCAATCAAGCACAATCAGATCGCTGGTACTGATAGTGTTACAAAAGTTCACAGTTGAAGTTCAGAGGCTATCCAATGAGTCTCCTTTGAGGAACCAAATATGGAATTAGAAGAAACGAACGGGTCCTTTTCAAGGTTTATACCTTCCTATGTCAACTACAATGCCATACACACTGCTATGGTTGGTTTGTAAATGGTAACATGGGTGGCGTAACCCGTTTTTTAATCACCTTGTGCAAAGAATTCTCTCCGAGATGCAAGTTCGATGTCTTTATACAGACAACAATTGGCATATCCATCCTTTAAGGAGTTTTGTTTGGTTTGCTCACGTTTGGATTCATAGCTGAATATTTTGGAAGAAAAAATGGACTTCTTACTTTCTTTTGTTTGGCTTTTCTTGGAAACGTTGTGGAAATAGTCTAAAAGATGGTATAAACGTAGATGTTACCTTGTGAATGATATGTAACGATTCAAACGTCATAAAAGATAGTGACGATGTTGATGCAACAAAAGAGAAGGACGAGTCACCAGATTGGCAAATGGAATGGAAGTCATTAGAAATTGTGCATCTTCCACGGCTTGTGAATATCGAGCTGGCTTGTCACAATGTCCATGTTGATGGCTGTTTTCTGGTTGCAAGCATCAACAAGTCACGCGAGTTGTATTTGCTGTAGCAATTCTTCCAATGACTGAAGTTCCTATCAATCGCAATCATATAACAGACTCACAAATGAATCTTCAAGACAGAGACGGTTCGCAAGAGTCGTTTTAATGGCTTCGATTTTTGTTCTTTTCATTCTCTATTTTGCGTTTAGAAGCATTAGATGTATTACTATGTGATCTCTTGTCTATTGGCTGAACTATTCATGAGAAACATTTGAAGACCTTGTCCTGCAATCAGTTTTAGAAGTCTCCTTGTTCAAAGTGTTTTGGACGTCACTTGCAGGTACGGTAACATAGGCCAAGCGGGTATCTTTCATGGTTTCTTTTGGCATCTGAAGACTCAGCCTGTTGCTTATATCATTCGAATAATGTTGGCTAACGTTTTTCAATGTTTCATTTTCATTCCTGTATATTTGATTCCTACGAAGGCATTTCCAACCAGAATGTTTGCTATTATGAAAGGTCATTGCTCCTTTCTCGTAATAATGAATGCAATTATATTTCCGCAAATATGGAAATTGTTCAGAGTGAGGAATATCTGAAGAGTCCGTACAATCTATAGCTTAGTATTGGATTTGGCATTTCTGGGATTGATTATCGCCATAGCATTTGTTCCAGAATACTTCAAAAGAACAAACTGTTTGGGAAATGTTCACGGTTTAATGAACTACGTCTTCGATATGCAGATAGAACGCCTCTATGCAAATAACGGATGAAGACGTACGATGGTGTATGCATGGGAGCTTACCACAACATCTTCGGGGAGGAATTTCATTAGTCTCTTTGTTTTTTTTGCTATTCAAATGATTCAACAATGGTCTCTCCAAGACATTTCCAAGTGCAAAAAGTTTCTGCCCTATTGATGAACTATAATGACCTGAACCTCGAATGTACGAGCTCCTTCGGACTGAAGTATGGGAAAGAAAGAAGTTATCTTGAGAGAGAAAAATTCTGAGGAGATGGCAACATATGACTCTGGTGTAGAAGAATGCTATAATTAAGAGGAAGAACACTGGCGACAAGAATAATATATACATACATATATGGCAATCAGTGAAGTCTTGTCTCCTTGCGTTCTCAATACTTCGTGCTTTTTACTAAATGTATGCTACTTGTTTCGCAGTCAAGATATTGAATCTTTTCATTACTTGAACAACACGATAAGAACCAATACTTGTGTTCCGACTCTTTTTCAAAATAACTTTTCAGCATGGTTTGAGAAAAAACGTTCGGTTCTGGTAATACCGACCTAAATACATTTTCGAAGAAATAGAGATACGGCCTAAATATAAATGTGTATCCAAAAACAAACATTTCAACAACGATACAGAGTAAGAGTAGTAACAACAAATGTGGTTCGGACCAATGCAACTTAACGAAGGCTTCAAAACTATTGGGTGTGTGGCAGGTTTGCACCAAAACTTGGGTTGCCTCGGGAATATTTCTCGTCAGAACTTTTGGAATTCGCTGCAATTTCTGTAGACAAGCAGATAAGTGAATGTTACAAGTTATCTAGTAAGCCATGAGCTAGTTGTATTGGAAGCAATTTAAAAGAGCAACGAGGAGCTGAACAGCAAAAGTGTTTTCTTCTCCTTTAGAAGCTGCTTTCAAAGAGCCGAACGGAAGCGAAACGAGACCCAGTATTGCTGAATTCCTATTTTATCCTGTTTCTCTTTAGGACCTGTCTTTCTTAGAGTGTCGTACATTCAAGGAGTTGTCTTGGAAGGTTAAAAGGAAATGGGAGACAGAGCCTGAAATTCATGGTAAGTTGATCTCAGATAAACGAATAACTTCCCTGAAGCGAGTTGGCGGTAAACCTCAAAGAAAGAAGATGAATGCAAATATTTCATACCATTTTCAAGAGAAGCAAGTAAAGTTGAAAATAGTGAGCTGCCGAGAAATTGCTTAGAAAACTTAAACTTGATACAAAAAGGAGTTAGCACTGCAAACGAGAAAAAAAAGGCAATAAAACTGGCGAACTCATTTCTTCAGCCGTATTTGTTTGAGTAGTACTTCTTTTCCATCTGACTTAAGAAAAACGGACCAAACTTAGAGCAGCCTGGGAAATATCAAAACAAGGAGCATATAGTAGCTACGACTCCTGATCATTACATTGCTTGTAGTAGTTTTTTGGACCCGGCAGGAGGAGGATAGGTATATGAGCCGATTATCTGACTTGTTTGATCGAGGTTTCTCTCCCTTTGTCTATCAGCGGCACTGTAATAAATTTTACGCAGCCGGAAATAATTATCCTGTTAAATAATGTATATGAGAGAATAGAATAGAAAACGTACGATTCGCAATGCCTTTTTGTAAGAAATTTTGGATGACGTCTACCTTCCTGAGGATATATTGTGAAAGCAATAAGAACAATTTCCGGTTTAGTAGGTTCCAGATGGAGAGTTCAAGTGAAAGCATATTGTAATCAACACCAACAGAACAAATTAAGATGCTACTCGAGATTTCCATATGATACATGTATAAGAAAATATTTACATCGGTGATCATGTTAGCGTGAAATAGCATCTTGACAAGTCTCGAGTGATGCTGGGTTTTTATAAATCGTTTGAAAGTTGGGTACATTATTGGAATGATATTAATGACAGAAGTAGTTATGCAAAAAATGACGTGACTATATCTGGTGCAACCCAATTCTGCATTTCCTGCAAACACCAACAAACCAGATGACAAGCCATTTTCGTGAGTCTTTCCAAGGATACTTGCGAAAAGTTTACACAGAGAAAAAGGGAAGAAAGAGCGCGATTTTTGGCAAAGTCAATCTTATCATCACTCCTGTACCGATATACAACAAATATACAAACCAAAAAGTTAGAAACAATTTGAAAAAAGTTGTACACATTCAAAACCAAGAAATAAGTAGGAAAAAGGTGATTCACAGTACTAAGAGCCAACAAAATCAAAATGATAAATGCAAGCTCAACTAGAAAAATTCCATCAAACAGAAGCAAAAGCGAGCAACCGAACGACTTTAACCAAATGGTGTTAGATATGCTGAAACTGTATCATGGATCTGTAAATAACATACAAAGCAACAAAATATAGCATGGTGAAGGTTTTTTCACGACCCTCCAAAGTGTGCTATCGTAAGTTTACTCCTCTATTGCATTTTTCAATTTCTTGTTAATGACTGGATACAACAGAATAGAAACACTGATTCTGAAATTGGACGCACTTGATAATGAGAAAAATATGAATGCTAATGCCCGCTTATGAATATTAAGGCTTCGTGAGCAAAGAAAGGTACACAACAAGAGCACATATGCTAAGAACACTCCAAACAGCATGTAGCTGTGCCCATTTCCTAAGTAGCCTTATGGTTTCCAAGGATGATAAGTCACCACCCGGAACAAGTAGTAGGTCATTTGTTGGCTTGATTGCAACGAACGTAAAAGGAGGAATAGCTCCTATTAGCAGAGCACCAGCGAGCCATCCTCCATCAGCTGAAGACCACCACGATAATAGGCCAAAAAGCGTGCTGAGAACTGCTAGTGGCAACTGCATCACAGTCGCCCGCTTGTAACTTGGTGTCCACTGAGAAAAGGCAACAAGAGCGCCGCAACTCATTCGTGCGGGATGCTCAACGAGGCTAATGTAAATTGCCGCTCCAGAAAACACACACACACAAGTTAGGACTGCCTAAAAATTGATAACTTTGCGTAGAATGCTCTTCAAGTAGGCTTTAGATTGTTATTAACCACAAAAAGCGTTTTGGATGATCAACAGACCAGCTGACAATATACCGTGAACTGCGAAGACACACACCCTTTCCTTTCCTGTATTACGAAAGCCTTCCCCCACTGTCTTAGATTCTCGAATCCGCGGTAATCAATTTGAGGCTCCATCAAATTTGAGGGACAAACAAAAATCAATGGTGGTGATCGAATTTGTCTTGGGGTTCTCTTTTGGACAAATACTATCCGTAGATAATAATTGACTCCCCTACAACCTTTGAATAGCTGATAACCAGTTCTTCAAATGGCAAACATAGAACCTTTGACAGAAGAAATCAAGCCAGCAGATGTTGATGATGCCTATAGTTTCGACCCTCTTGCGCTGATAGATGTAACTTGTGATAATAAGACCGAGCAACAATCGTCTACTCTGAGACCAAAAGTTTCCCTCAAGTTTGAAGACCTCTGTGTGAATGTTAATGAGAAGAATTTTTGGAAGAAACTTCCAGACGAAAAGAAAATCTTGCAAAATATAGCAGGAACGGTTCGTTCTGGCCAACTCCTTGTTATTATGGGTCCTTCAGGCTCTGGGAAGACGACCTTGTTGAACGCACTTGCAGGAAGACTGTCTGCATCAGGAAATTTTAACGCAACTGGGACAATAACGGTGAACGGAAAGAAAAGGAATCCAGCTACTTTCAAGAAAGTGCGGCAACTATTCTTCTAAGATGTTTTTACGCTCACCAACTTTTTAGATAAGTGCATACGTTATGCAGGACGAAAATATGTTTGGAAATTTGACTGTTGAAGAGCAAATTTCCATTTCCGGTAAGTTACGACTTCCGAGAACTTTTTCGGAGCAAGAGAAAAGACGTCGTATCGAAGACGTAATTTCTGAGATGGGTCTGATGGAGACAAGAAAAACATTTATCGGTTCAGAAAACAGGCGAGGTGTTAGTGGTGGGGAAAGGAAACGAGTGAGCATTGGTAAAGAATTGGTAACAGACCCTTCTTTACTATTTTTGGATGGTTAGTTATTTTGATCTGTTCGTCTTTACATCCTCAAAACCCTGTATGACAGAACCGACTTCCGGACTGGATTCATTCAACGCCGAAAATGTCGTTAAAACGTTGGTTCGTTTATCGAAGGATCATCGTGCCATCGTGATGACAGTTCATCAACCGGGAAGCAATATATTCAATCTTTTTGATATGCTATTGTTGCTTTCGAAAGGAAAAATAATGTATTTTGGACCAGCAAAGAAAGCGGTCTCATATTTCTCTCTTTTGGGATACGAGTGAGTTTTTTTCCGCAAATACCCGTAGTCTATTCAGGGAACTTCGAAACAGGTGTCCAAGTCATTCTAATCCCGCAGACTATTTCTTGGATCTAATTGCGGTGGATATTCGTTCATCTAAGCTAGAACAGGATTCACTTTCCCGTATTGCATTTCTTCATAAAGCATACAACGAAAATGTATCTCTACAAAACAGAATCAGAGAAAAAGGTGCGTAGAAGTGCATATTTGATTTTTATTCTCAACTTTTAAAAAATGAAATTCTTATTGGAAAGAGGCCACATGGGAAAGCACAGAAGATTCGAACGGAATGAACGAGAATGAAACTTGGGAGAAGCATCCTTATCCGTATTGGATGGAATTTTCTATTTTATTGATTCGTGCATGGAAACTTCTTATTCGCGAAAGAGTTGTTGCTGGAATTCGTACAGTCCAAACCTTGGTGGGATATCTTATTTATCATCTTCTATATCTATGTACATTTTGTATTGACTCTGCTTTTCTTTGAATAGATTTTTTCGATACTAGTTGGTCTCATTTGGCTTAACAAAGGGCGAAATATCTCCTCCAGCAACTATGAAGGTATAGAAGGTGTATTATTTTACATTCTTATCATTCAAAGTTTCATGGCAATATTTGGAATAATATTTGCATTCCCACTGGAACGTTCGATTGTTTTGAGAGAGCGTGCTAGTGGCATGTATCGAGTGTCCGCTTATTACCTTTCAAAGATACTGGTGGAGCTTCCTCGAACAATTTTGTTTTGTTTGCTATTCTGCGTTGTGGTAGGAATATATCTTTCAAGGGCGAAATTTGTGCTAACCTTTGAAGTCATATTGGATGATTGGCCTTCGAGATTCCGTAGACTCTTTTTTTCTCTTTGTTGTTGTCATGCTTTTGAATTCATTGACCGTCGAAGGAATTGCTTTGACTGTTTCTGTATGTAGATTTAATGTTTTGAAGACACTTTTAATGAATGTTTTAGGCAGCAGCACCAACACCGAAGGTAGCTGCAGTAACCGTACCACTTATTTTAAATATAGCTGTTCTTTTTGGAGGTGCTTTGTTATCAAACGCAGAGATACCGAATCATTTTGTTTGGTTAAAATTTTCATCTTTTATGAAATATTCATATGGGGCATTGATGCAAAACCAGTTTGTCGATTTTGCGTTTCAGAGCCTTAGTAAGACTTGCGTCATTTGCGACGGGAATGAAGTTCTTGAAGATTCTGGAATCACCGATTTCTCCATGGCGGGAAATATTGGAGTAAGAGAATGCCTCTCAGTTTCGTACTATCATAAATTTTCTATGAACAGATGCTGCTAATGGAATTGTTAGTCTTTCGAATAGCGGCATATTTGGTTCTACGAATGAGAGGTCCCAAACACGACAAAGCCTTGTGAGCGTTGAAATGCAGTCGGATAGGTATCCTCTGATTGGTTGGAATTGCCTTTTTATTATAAAGGCAAATGTCCCATTATTGTTTTGTTTTTGTTTCCTTCTTTGTTCTTTGTACTGATGGTGCTTATTTGGTATGGTATCAAAGGTTGAAAGCTTTTGAAATAACTTTTTAAAAAAGGTAGCAATGATAACAACAAAAATATTTGAGATAGAAATCACAATTCTATCAGGGGGCGACTATCATTTTGTGTTGAGCATATGCAGCCTCACTCATTCTTTTCAAACTATTACGCTCTCACTTGTTATATTATTTGCGTCATTCTGTCAAATCTTAAAGGTTCCTCTCACTTTGTCCCCACATGGTAGTCTTTCCTTTTTATGACGTGAAAAACTTGTTTCATTTTGGCCTTTACGAAGACTTTGAAAGATTGGCTTAGTAACTTCGATGGAAAGAATCGAAATGCAAGCTTGCAGTTGACTTGTGAAGTAAACTACTATAGTGCGACTGAAACTGGCTTTTAGTGGACAAAATGGTCAAAAACATTGAAAAGCCACAATCCTTCCTTATTTGCTTCCTGCAGAAAATGGAGTCGCAAAGTATATTTTGCATTCATTTTCAAGTCTGCAACTTTTGCTCGTTTGTTATACATATATATAGATAAGGATGTTGACAACCAAGAGAGTTGTATGAGTTGAAACTGATGTATTTTCGAGTTTATGCCGGTAATGATGTTAGCCAAAAACCTCTCCATTTTTTCAGTTTGCTTCCACCCGCTAAGACGTTAAGAAGAAGATAGATGTAAAAATTATCGCCGTTGCTTTCTTGATGGACAACTAGAAAGAAATGCAAAGACTAAGACATTTGCATTCGTAGTTCTTTGGAAACGACCCTGTCGGTTTCATAAATTCTGGGTTTTCGAGGAAATAGCAATTCAAGATCTGAAAGAGAGATTGAAACAAGAAAGATGTGTTTTTGTGGAATAGATGCTTTATATCGTAGAAGGAAGATATGCAGAATGAAGAGAAGGGTTATCTAGTATTTCTGCATTGTAGGAGGACTCTCCGGAGAGATACAATGGTGGAAAAAAAGCCATTTTCCTGCCTGAAAATCGAATACCAGTAGTTCTTCTCTCAAGATGAAAGAATAGAAACAACCGTCAAATGCTGATTATCAAGAGAAGCTTCTACACTTTTCTAAAAATCAACGCAAAATGCATATCAAAGTATGACAATGTTCTACCGATCTGCTACAAGACTGTACTGCCAGCTAAGAGCAATTCTCAAAAAAAAGAAATGAATAGTCACTAGCACAAAAAGGAATAAAGTGCAAGCTTCAGTCACCTACGAATAATTCTTGTCTAGGTGAAACTCTCCGACCTATCAAAATTACTAAAGGTTAAATATAAGAACAAGAGATCCAAAAAATGGAAACTTTACAAATCGATGTAAAAGAAAAGATTTGTTGAAGTACATCAACAATGCAGTGAAAGGCAAGTAGGTACAGAGAGAAAAAGGGCTCAACCAGTATAAGAAAAAAATTCCAAACTCGTTTGAAAGAATAGTATGACTCTAACTGTTAGTCACTTTGCTCCGCGATTGTGTTACGAAGTTTTTTTAAGTTGCTCAATTCATTGCATTATACTTTGCAGTTTCTTGTACAGAAGCACCTTGAAAGCAATGAATAATTGCAATTGAAAGGCTTAAAGTAGTATCGAAGCATGGAAATCCCGAATATTTTAACTTTTTTACTAGCACTGATACGAAGAAAGTGTTAGACATCATCGCCATGATGTAAAACATAATAATCATAGCAAAGGAATCAAGCAAAACACATATATTTGAAGCTTTTAGAAAGCGCACTACAAGATACAGACCAAGAATAATTTCAACTACTGCCGCGGAAAGCCGAAAAACAAACAAAGGAATCTGTTGATTTTGAATAAACAAGACGCAGTAAAGTATACTTCGAAAAGCGTACAGGGTGATTTTATCTGATCCATTCTCCTTCAATGTCACCAATATGCGTTAGTCACAACGATTGAGGCTGGATAAACTTTGGTTCTCAAAAAAAAGCAAAGAGCAGTGAATGTTTCTCAAGGAAGGTTGCGCACCTCTTTTTCTATATATCATACCCGATTCTTTTTCATTCATTACCAAGTTTCTGGATATCAACAGAAATTCACCAAAAGCTTCGAAACTCTTTTTCAAAGATGATCTGTCAAGCATGCATATATAGCAACTTGAACTTGACACGACGACAATATAAATAAGATTTTCAGTTTGGAACAACTAGAATGGGTCATAAAAAGCAAACTATGATATTGGTTCCAGGGTATCAAGGTAAAGAAATTTAACATTTTCGGGAAAAATACTTAAAAGGAACTCTACAAAAGAATTTGACTTTGATTATCACTTGTATAACAATGCAGACAGAAACACCTTTCTAGGAAAGACGGCTTCATTTCCTAGTAGCAATCGGAATTGGATTTTTGGTTCGAACCGTTATTGTTAAAAAATCAAATTTTGCGTGACTAAATAGAGTTGCTTTCCAAAACTGACAAGTCTATCTCTAAGAATCCTAAAAAACCTTCAACATTGAATGGTTAGACATTGTTCTCAATTAAGACTGGATGATGATACACTTTTAATATCAAACTATTGCGTCTCTATTTTTACTTGTAATGCAATATAAGTTTACTTTAGAAATGACACCTAGAAGATTGAACATTTATCGACAAAAAGGACAAGGAATTTTGAGAATGAAGACTTCTTAGAAAAATACAGGAACATTGAGATCAATTTCCATCATCGTATAAAGCTCTCAAGTAGAAATTTCCATCAGACTTTGTAGGAAGACTCGTTTATCTAGAAACAATTGCACATCTTTAGTCTATTCTCTATGTTCAAATGTCATATAAACAACAACATTATAGACATCCTTTAATATACTTCTATTCATGAAGAAGAAGAAGAAGAAGAAGGGCAATTGTTGGATCTTCACGAAAGGTGCTATTCCTTAAAATTTGCCCCAAGATTTTGATCCATTTTTAACCGAAAATCCGTAGCATCTTGTTCCAAAAGTTTGCCATTGCATTCAGGAATATCCAATATATTTTCTAAATCGGCCAGAGCAACATCTGATATACTCTATGAATGAGAAATACAACTGGACCACCTATATCATGTCGATATGACTGCCATGATAAACTGCTCTATGAATAGATTCAACTATTTTATTTCCAACTGCAGCAACTGTGCTTCCAAAGACAGCAATTATGCCATGAAAAGTACCATTAAAGGCAGTAGAAAATATTTCAGATGGAATTATATAAGCTGTATACATCCTCAAAATGAACTAAAAAAGAAATGACTTCCATGAGTGATGATGGATGTAATAGTCACAGATGTCAAACAAAGCAAAACATTCCCAATGACATTGCTTATTTGCAATCCACCATAGACAATCCAAAGATTCATCAAGTTTTTCTTCCAAACTTATCCACAGCAAAAAGAGAGACATACTATCCTGGTGTTCCTATCACAATCAATGTTTATGACAATTCTTCATTTTTTTAAAGGTAGTTGCATTGGGCATTACGTTTTGATAATAAATGAAGAAAAAAAAGGTCTATTTGTGTAGAACATTACATCTAAATAGGAAAACCACAAGACACTAGTTGCAATCGATCTCCATCCAAAGAGTTAGAAAACCACTCGATAAGGATGCTTTTGAAAAGTTGTATAGTTTTGTTTGTCAATAGATTAGAATACAACATTTTTCAGCTATATAGTTAGATGATGAGGAAGGTGGAAAAAGAAATGCAAGAGCCATTCTCTGCATCATGCTCACAGCAAAATTCAGTCTAGCAAGCTCCACCGTCCTCTTTTAGAGCTACACTCAATAGAGTTAAGACAACATTTGTAGCATCTGTATTACTGATTCCTTCCATGGATAATATCGATTGTTGCGATTCCTGCTCTCTTCTTTGGAAATATTTCTGTCACTTGTTTTGAAGAATCAGCACCAGAACAAGGCCACCTTTCATCCAACACTAAAGTCTAGAAAGTCTTTACATATCAGTAAGGACCAAAGAATATCCGAAGCAGATATGTTTTCTCTAAATATAGCATAAGAACACAATATAAAGGCAATGAGAAGGATCGAGTCAGTTACAAGAAGACATCTTTTCTGAAATACTTCATAGCAAATTTCAAAGAAGACTTGACAGGGGAAGAATGGATCATAAGAAGTGCAAGTCCAAAATTGTGCAACTATCCATAATTGACGTCAAACTCTTCTCTTACATACTTGCAGCCTTCTCAACCATTCATTCCTTTTGCCTTCCCCTTTTAACAACTCGATTATGGTCATTCACAGAGAAGTTAACTTTGTCGTATATGTGATGACTGACAATCCACAAAAATATAGTTTTTGCGAATGAAGGCGTATATTCTTGAACTAAAATGCTATCATTAACTCTTTTGTAAACAACAATAATCCCGATTGGTTGTATCGGCATCCTGCAGGGATTGAATTAACAGTAGAAATTATGAATTAAAGCGAAACGCACATGATCACGAGACAGGAACGATTGACCACAAGACTAACCCCAGATTGGATTTTAATTGTATGACTTCTAAAATATCTATTTGGCTCAGATTCGGATTAAGCTTTGTATTTTTTACATTGCTACTTCAATTGACCCCTTTGAGTCTTCCAATGAACTTGGAACAGAATTTAGAACAAAACTACGTGCCTAGAAAGGCTTTGCAGGTTTCTATGAACAGTGAAGTTGAAGAGAAGCCTCTACTAACGCAATATTCTGTGACAGATAGCTCCAGCGAGTTTTCTCTAATACCACATGACTCTATGATGATAGAAACATTTACAAAGTCTTATAACTCCTTTTCAGACTTGGGTAGCTATTTTACACAATATAAGGATGACAGCATTGAGGAGAATTCTATAGCCTTTCCAATGTCATCACATGAATCCTCCTACTCTTATACTTTAATTAGCTCTGGCAACTCAAGTATGAAAACAAAGCAGGAAGAAAATGAAGAGCGACAAAGGCAAGTGAGCAAACAAATTTGTCAGGATCGGGAAGAGATGGCAGGCAAGAGACAGAAAGGCAGGCCATATAAGGTGAATAATGCAATATTTTCCTTGGCAAGCAGTAAATACATTCCAGCTACCTACAGAAAGAGCTTAGAAAGAGCTTACAAAACCCAAAAACCATCCCGATGGTGCCATGTATGCAACAGAAGTTCCATCAGAGCTCATTTGGTACCCTGTTTCAATAGGTGGTATCACAGGTGTCGCAAGTCAATATGCCAATTTTGCATCTATCGTTACTACTTACTAAAACCCAATGTGCCGCCTTGCATGTTTGCAAAAGATAAATTCTTCTGCAGTCACTGTCTTGGCATTTGTCCTGTAACCTCACAGTGCAAAACATATCAAAAAACCAACGTAAGGAGACATATTCAAAGTTTATTGGATAAACAACAAAAATAAAACTCTGGTTTTATCATATAAAAATTCACCAACGTTATTTTCATTTGCAATTGATTCAAGACAATATATAGCGTTATGCAATGTAAACCTTCTATCCACGATACAAAAATCAATTCAGTGACTAGCAACTCAGTACTAATAAAATTAAGAAACCGATGAATGTTAATTCTACATTCACAATGCACATTTCAACAAATGGCATATGAGAACAAATATGACTTGACACCAATTGTTTGAAACAGACCCAACGTTTAAAAAAAGGACAGCATATCAAAAATAACATTGTTTCGATATATAGAAAAGTATACGAAAGCAGATTTTAAGAAGAGGATTTTTGGGGAATATTTTCTGCAAATTGAACTGCCTTGTTAAAATACGTCTATGTATCTTTACTCCGAGAAAAAAGTCATCCTCAGGTAGGATTTCAACAACCTTAAGGTGTTGGAAAAATTTTGAAAATTCAAGGGAACTTGAGAGTTAAATATCAGTTGAGGATGATCTTTGTAAAATGCCAGTTCAACCCAAGTTAAAAAATTCCAAAACGAAACTCAGTCACATACACAGACGAAGCAAATCCTTCTACACTGTTACACCCACTTTGAGCTGCGCCAATGAGAAGGTAAACTCATCTTGCTCGCTTTCGTAACTGTTCGGATTATACAATTCTAAATAGCAAACCTATATGTAGAAAACTTTCACTGATAACAACACTCAAGAAAGACTTGAGAAAAACCAAGCATTACAGTTTCTTCAAATATTATATTCAAGCAAAATTTACGAGAATTCGAAGACTAAAACTTCAGTAATATCGTACAAAATATAGACGTTGCTACAAGTAAGAACAGAATATTCTACCTTGAATGTCCGGCCTATCAGCGAACTATTTTCGTTGTAGTCTATCTGTTCAAGTGTTTCAAACGGGTTTCTTATGGAAGAACAAATAAGATTCTTTTATCGTATAACAAACTTGCCAAGCACGGTGGGTGAATTGTAAAAGTTTTCAAAAAGACACCTTCTCCTTGACTGTTCTTCGTTCTGTTTGGAGAAAGTTTCGAGTTACAAGTAAGTTTACTTCAATGTTTCCTTCACCAATCCGGAATTCCTATAGTTGGTTTCGCTTCAAACCACAGTAACACAAGACCAGACAACTTTCCAATTGTGCAAAGATATTCCTAAAAGGAATCTTATCCATTTCAACCAAGCAGCAGCCACCAGTTTTGGTGACATTCAAACAAATAACAAACCAGCAGTTTATTTTGTAACATGAAGCTTTTCTAACAGCTACTTTACTACTTGCGGTCTCCAGAGTTTACGTTCTTGTTGATTTCAGTCAATAACCAATTCATACCGTCCGAGAGACCTTCACCTGTTCTTCCTGAGCAAGGAACCACCTGATAACTTTGAAGTGCCAGTTTGTGAAGTTCTAATTCGTTTGCAATGTCTGCTGGTGCTAAAGCACCTTCCTTGTCTTGCTTATTTGCAAAGACCAGCAAAGGGACTTTACGGTCAGATTGCTTTTGTGTTCTTAGAAAATTGAATAGTGCTTCTTTAGCTTGGGGTATTCTTTCTCGGTCATATGAATCTACTACGAATATAACTCCTTGTGCGTCCTTGCTAAACTCTGACCATAAGGATCGCACCTTGTCAAGACCCCCGATGTCCCATATCACCAGTTCGTTATCTCCGTACTGTACTGTTTCTGTGTTGCAACCCAGGGTCGGCATTGTCATCATTTGCTTTCCAAGCTTTAGAAAATACAATATAGTTGTTGCTCCTGATCCATCCAAGCCTATCAAAACCACTCCGTACTTTTTCTTCCCGTTGCTCTGAAACTCTTTGCTAGAAAAGCACCCCATAATCTACGTTCACGTTCTTTTGCAACACTTGATGTGTCTCGCTACTTCTAAAGCGCTTCCATTGAATAGTGGAACAGATACCAACAAAGTAACACCACTCCACCCACCACTGGCGCCCAAAACCTTTGGCCTCTCAACTGCCCAAAATGCAATTCCACTTGGAGTCGGAAAGCTTATTATTTGATTCCAAGTAAGTGGACTTTATAAGGGAATGAGAAGGAATTGACGAATACTTTTGTACATTAGTTCAGGGAAGAATATAAAACATTAGAGAAACGTTACAATTCCAAAATGAATTAATAATAAGAAACAGTTGTGTAGACTAATGTGATTTCATTTATTTTCAATCACAACGAGGCATTTTACCGAATCTTTGTAGAAAGGATTCATTGTGAGACAGTTATGATAAAAGCCTGGGATGAGGTTACTGCGGTTCTTTCTTCGATATCCTTATTTTCTTATCAAGCAAGACCCAATGCAGGTTCTCGCGCAAGAGATTTGTTTGCAAGTGAAAGGTATCTACTGTCTTGTTTTGGTTATCTTGGTGATAATTGTGAATGGGTTGAAACAGGACTTTTCTATCTTGGTTAAGAACTGGACTGGCTTCAATAACTATGGGGTTAGCCTTTGGAAAACTACTTGGAACTGTCATCTCTAAAGTCGTTGGTGCTCTTCTCATTTCGATGGGAGCTTTTTTGATTGTCTACAGTGGGCAACACTATTATTGGAATATATACCACATTGAACGTGGTGAGACGATATTCGACCGACTTCGATCCTATATTTTCGTTGGATTTCTTTCGCTTATTGCCCTTTCTTGTTTTATTTTGCTATTTGTCAATACCGAAGGTTTCCTCACGAGGTGAAAGAGTCCAGTCATCCTGGAGGATAAATGATAGAGCATTTTGGCTTTTGTACTTTTCTGAAAATTATTATTGTAAGTAGAACGTATTGGAGTGCATAGTTGAAGTACAATGAGCTACAATGGATGATTTCGGACAAGCTTGAGCCAGGGTTGGTTGGATAGTTTACGATATTTGGATTTCGTTTGCCACATATTTATTATAGTTGTTGTATGGATAGTATTTCCAATGATAAGTTTCCATAGTATGTTAAGTGTAAAACTTGTCTCACAAGTGACAATCATTGAAACATAATTCATCAACGTTTATTGCTGTGGATTCCACTTGACCTGAAGAAGAGAGACCAATAACGATGAAGATATCAACTTGCATTTTATTTGTTTCTGTATATCCCTTGTCTTTTCGTTGTCTCAAGTGTCAAAAGCAACAAAAGAGAGTTACCTCTTCGGTGCCTATTTCATACACGTTTGCTGTTTTCGATTTTTTTCGTAAGAAGGAACAAGTTGCAGAAAAGAATGGTAAAAGTACCGATAAAGATAACGACTTGTTGAAATACATAGCGGAAAAATCATCTTCTGATTGGAATCAAGTAGTGAAGCTTGGAAAGGGATTAGAAAAGACCCGTGAGAACTGGTCCAAGCAGTTTCAACGTTTATTTACTTCGGTAAGTGAAGGTTACTCTTTTTATGGGTTGTCTTTCATATTTATTGTAACAAAAGGAAGAGGTTGAGCAATTTCCGTGGAAAGAGTTGGAAGAAACACTCTATTCTGCAGATCTGGGAACGAAGACGACCAAGAGTATATTACAGGAACTTCGACGAGTTGTTCAAGAAAGGAAATATAAACAAGTTGAAGACTTGAAAGCTGCTTTAAAGGAAATTCTGTATCAGTTTATTGCATCGGGTACAGTGGACTGCTCCTTGAAGATGGCAAAGGAACCTCCAACCGTTTTATTATTTGTTGGCTCCAACGGTATGGGAAAGACAACTAGTATTGGAAAACTAGGATATCAGTATTCATTGCAAGACAAGAAGTAAGCAAAATGAAATGGGCATTAGATATTCTTATCCTTGTTTGAGGACATTGTTGGTTGCTTGTGATACTTATCGTCCAGCTGCAGTGGACCAACTTGAAACTTGGTAATTCATTGTATATAGCAATCTGTTTTGTTTATTGATAAGTTATAACAGGGCCAATCGTGGTCAAGTGGATATTTTTATACCCAAACCGAAACAATATAAACCTACAGCCGTTCTATTTGATGCTTTGGAGAAGTCTTTGAATGAACAATACGATGTCGTATTGATAGATACGAGTGGTAGAATGCATAATAATGAGCAACTTATGAAGGAGTTGTCGAGTATGTGTCGAATAGTGGAGAAAAAGTTGGGTCGAGGTAAATATGAAAGTTGATTGGCTTCATTCTGATTGTTTCTTCTCTCTTTCTCTTTTATATAGGACCAGATGAAATATTGTTGGTATTAGATGGCGTTTTAGGTCGCAATGCATCCAATCAAGTAAAAGCATGGAAGAACCTTATGCCTATAACAGGATTGATAGTTACTAAATTGGATGGAACAGGCAGAGCAGGATATTTGGTTTCCATCATCAATGAAGAAAAGTTGCCTGTTAAGTTGATAGGCGTAGGTGAAGGTTTAGAAGATTTGCGTAGTTTTGATCCTCAGTTGTATATTCAACTCCTATTCGATTGAAAAATTATTTTGATTTCTTAAATAGCAAAGGATTCATTTCATCTTGGAAAACAATTTCCTCAAAAACAAAAATTGAGTATAAAACCAATGATATCAAGCTGTTAGAATAGTCCCATTCGGTCATATTTATGTGTCGAAATGGATATCAATAGGATGGAATGTCTCTATTCTAAAATAAGCCATAACAAAATGTCTCTTCTATAGAAAACCTATTCGATCATTCTATTCTTAACGCTATCATAATCACTGCCATTGCGCATCTTCTCATTTGGAATGTTTTCTACGCTTTTTACGATTCCTTTTATCTTCTTCTTCCTTTCTCTTCCTTTTCTCTTTCTTATGTTTCTTCTTTCGTTTCCTTTCATGTTTCTTATCCTTCTTTGAATGTTTCTTTTTTCTCTCAGATGTTGAGTCTTTTGTGGAGCAACCTATACTTTCCATAGTTGTCTTCGTTGGAGATATTCTTGTATCTTCATGGTCTCTATCCACTTCTTCTTCTTCTTCTTCTTCTTCAGGCGAATGGTCTGCAAAATAGTGATGAACAACTGTCTTCAGAGTAGGATCATCTAAAAGTGGGTCTCCCAGTGAACTATATTCAAATGAAAATGGTTCCTTCTCACGAGGTGTTCTTTCCTGTTTGAATATATTCGAACGACGTCTTCCTTTCCTTTTGGATTGTACTTTGCTTGGCAATGAAAAGCTTTCTCGAACTTGGTCCTCATCCAACAATCCTAGTTTTTCTTCTCCTGTTAACTGCTCTCTCGTTTCTTTCAAAGTTCCATGTAATAAAAAAAGTCTTTCCGAAGCACCCAGTTGCACTTGTAATATTTCAAAGCGTAACCAACTCCCAATACCGATCTTCTCTCGATGATCTTCCACTGCTTCTTGTCTAGCCAATATATCCAATCTGAGTATTCCATATATAACCATTTTTCTTCTTCTTCTTACCTCCACTCTGATTTCCCATCCGTAGAAACTGCGTCGACAGCATCCAAAATAGCATAGTCACTCAACCCATTATCCACCGTTATAACAGCAGGAAACACTCCAAATACTTGCAAACTAACTTGATCTTCGCCCTATATTCCAAGTTATTCGTTATTTGCCAAACAACGAAATCAACCACGAACCACAAAAACAACCCTTCCTATCAACCGCTGACCAGGTTTCAGTGGAAACAACAATACCTTGACTTGACAAGTTACTTTTCCAAAAGGAGTATAATCTACCCATGTTACTGCATTTTCAGGCAATCGAATGTTACCATAAGCAAGTATGACGCCACCCAAACTGGGTTCGTAACCAAGTACAGCGTCAGAAAGTAACTCTTGGAAACAAGTTTTCACCCAATAAGGTCCTTTTATAGGGTCCAGTAACCACGGTGGAATCAAAGTGGTTACTTGACAGGGAACTACCAGAAACATATTTCTTGAACGATCATTCGACGAACCACTCCTCCTCCCCCTAACCAAGAAAAGAAGAATAGGGATGTTATGAAGTAAGATGTGTTTATGGATTCTTTATTGAGTTTTTCTATCGAGTTACAAGTATTCAATATGATTCTATAGAGTAATCTAGAAATATGCATAAAAAGAAGGTCATTGGCATTCCTTACAAAAAGTTTACAATGGGCTAGCCTAACTAGGATCGAATAATGATAATAATAATGTCAACGAGCGATGGACGGAAATCATTTTATTCATTTTTTGGTTATGTGCACGATGATCACAAAAGCACTCAGTTGGAATAGAATATTGAGTAACTATTCCAAACATTTGCTCCAAGTAACTTTAAAAGATGGTAGAATACCAGCAAATAGTGTTGTGCTTACAAATACGAATTGGTTGTATACCCATGCAAGTCTGTCTTCCATGACCAATGTTGCTCGCAAGTTGTCATACAACAAACCACTACATACTACTGCTTACTATTGGCAACAACAACAAGAGATTCCATCTTCTTCAAAGTCAGAACAGATTACGCCATACCATCCCGTATCAGAAAATTTGGATAAGAGTACTGAAGACTATCCTTGGAAGGTAAGCAATGCAATGGATATTCCACCGTGACAAACTCACGAGCTATACTAGTGGAGAAGCTTTCTTCCAGAACATACTTACAAACCTAATTTAAAAGTCGACTTGACGAGACATCATGACCCAATAGACTTTCGAGACAAAGTAGCTCAAAAAGTTGTCAAATTTTTGAGAGTGTTTGCTGATGCCTTTTTCAGAAAGAGATATGGACATCGTGCTGTAGTATTAGAAACTGTAGCTGCTGTTCCTGGAATGGTTGGAGGAATGTTGCAACACTTGCAATCGTTGAGAAGATTCAAACCTTCTGGAGGCTGGATAAGAGTGTTGTTAGAAGAAGCTGAAAATGAAAGAATGCATTTGATGACCTTTATGGCCATTGCCAAACCAACGATTCTAGAAAGAGCCTTGGTTTTATTGACTCAAGGTGGTTTCTTTGCATTTTATGCGTTCATCTACATACTGTAAGTATAATATTTCAGTGGGTCATCAAGAATAATGTCCTTTGTAATAGTTCTCCCAAAACAGCTCATCGTATTGTTGGATATTTGGAAGAAGAAGCTATCATATCATATACTCAATACTTGCAAGAGATTGATAAAGGAACTCATGCCAATATACCTGTAAGTAGTCATTGAGATGGATATATTCGTATTCACCGAGGTCATTACTGAATAGGCTCCAGAAATAGCTATCGATTATTGGCAAATGGATAAAGGTGCTAGGCTTCGAGATGTGGTATTGGCAGTAAGAGCTGATGAGGCACATCATCGTGATGTCAATCATCTTAAAGCCAATTTGTTGTATAAAAAGAGATATTCGGAACCAGCTCCTGTACAAGCTTTGAGACATGGAGATGTGAATCCAGAAGAAGCATTTCGAGAAGAAAATAGGTCTACCTAAGATGGATTGGAATCATAGTCATGCGTGTCTTTGTATAGAGAAGTTGATATGTATCGTAATATCTCATTTTGGAATAGTATCGAGTATGTGTGAAAGATAAAAAAGTAGTTGTTGATCATGTGCTTTGTTTCAAACAAATGTATGTATTCTATGCATATATATATATATACAACACACAATAATAACCTTTCTCTCTATTCCTTCTATTCACAACAATCCCTAACCATCTATTCGTCTTCTTCTGAAGTAGAAGAAGGAATACTGGATTCTAGATGAGAATAGATCAATTTCTGATGATCACTAGGAATGGACTGGAGTTCTTGTATCCATCTTTCACCGACTTCCAGACGAAGTTCCATTAAACGATGAGCAATTTGATTGGGATATATCCACTTGACAGGATGGGTTCTTTGAATAGGAGCCAAACGCAACATATTGAAGAGAAACCCTTGCTTGTTATATTCTCCACTCCATAGATAAGGATATCCAGATGAAAACTTTTCTTGGTGTTTCCTATATTTTCCAAATAATTTGGCTGCATCACGATATTCCATTAACCATAGATAGTCATGATAACTTGTCTCACGAAGCTCCGCGAGATATTCACATACAGCAGCTTCAGTTAACAATGCTTGTAACCTACGATACGTTTCCGTTCTCAATGGGGTGGAATCCGAAGTAAAAGGATCATTCTCAAAAATTAAACTACGCAATGGCTCCAAATCAGCACCCACATTGAGTGACAGCTCCATTTGCTGTCTGTTGATTTCCAAATTTTCTGCAGATACCAAAGCCAAGTCACTAGCACATTCTGCTGCTACTTGTTCTCGTACTCTCATCAGTCGAATGGCTATAGAAGAAGGACTTATTTCTATTTCAAACTTACGACTATACGAATGATAACGTGGGTCGGGTCCACTTGAAATTTCAAAAATATGCATAGGCGACTTGAATAGTCTCAACAGGTAAGCATAAGAGCCGTCTCGAAGTTCACCTCGGTTGCCAAAATTTTCAAACTCAAGTAACCATGTTCTAGAAAATTCGTCATGCAACTCACTAAAATAGTAGCAAAGAGTGTAAATGGCTCGTTTGGTCACAAAATCCTTGACCGTTCCAGTAGAAGGAGTCCAACCAGCCTTAGAAAAACAGTTGAAAGATGATGAAGGTGAGTGGTCTACTTTTTTTAACTTGTTAAAGGAAATAAAACTATGGATACATTGTTGGTTTTGAAAAGTAGAAGAAATAAAAAGTGAAAAGCAAGACATGGGAATCCACTAACTGAATTGATCCAATAGGACAGGAAGAAAAAGATTTTTTGTAGGATTGTGACGTTTCTTTCTTGAAAATATTTTTCTTTTAAATAAAAAAAAGTTATATTTAGAGACACATGTTTGTTCAGAAATAGGGTTGTGACTACATAGCTCAAAAGTAACTCACTTTGGGTTGAGAAACATTTTAGTTGGGCATGTTTTGTGGACCACTTCATTTGTCATATAGAAACCAGTTGTCCTCGAGGGCGACTAGAATATCGTATATGAAACGAAATGGCTTGTGTCACAAACTTACTGACATAATGTGTTGTTTGTCTTCGTCTCGTATTCAAGAAGGAGACTTGGTTGTAGTGGCTCTCCCCTTTGGAAAATACCGAGTGGCAAAAGTCACAGGGTTTGATTATTCGGGAAGAACAGCGGATGTGATTTATCTCGAAGAGAAAAAAGGTTTGTATAGAAAAGTCGCTATCTTCGTACTTGTTCGACGTATCGAGTTTACTTTTCTTTAGCTGCCTGCTTTTATTTACAAGATGAAACCAAGTCATTTGAAGCTGTGGCCAATATGACGCCCATAAAAGCACGTTACAACGCTACTCAACTTTGTTATGAAATACCACACTCTGAAATCCAAAAAGTTTTGAGTTCTAGAGGCCCTGTTCCCAAGGCGGTGGTTCGAAATCCCCCACCTGCTCTTTTTCGAGTCGGCAAACCTACCAGGCAACAAGCTCTATATGGTGCAGGTATATCTATAGGTATGAGTTTGCTTTTCAACTTATTATTTACTCAGATACAGTCCAATGAGTATATACAAAGCCAATGGTAAGAGTAAGCATCGCATATTGTCGAATGGGAGGTTAAACACTTATCCAGGTTTGCTCAAGTATTATTACTTTGTATACAATGGATGACTTTTATTTCGTTACTGGTGGGATTCGGGCTGTTGTTGGGAGTTTTTGTGGGTAAATTGGAATAAAGTTTGCAACTGAATACATCATATGAAAAGAGAATCTCTCCCTGGAATAGTTTATAAAAGAGTTTTTTTCTATTGTATTACTGAATAGGCATTCCTCATATTTCTAGGATGTCTCATTCATTTTTAATGGCAAGTCATTATTGTGCTGCATTCCATTTTGACCCGCCAATGGGCAAAATTTGAATCCAGTAACGGGAATCTTCATCCCCACAAAGGCAGCAGTTGATATTCTTGTGACTTGTAGTAGGCACTCGTTGTGTTCTTTGTATGCTTCTCTATTGGATTGAAAACTTTTTGTCCTAGTGAAAAAACCATTTGATGATAGCAGAACATTCACTTTATTCGACGGAAAGCACAACAGAAACATCCGATAAATATAAACCAACGGGTTGGAGAAACGCGACAACTTTCTTCTCTTCAGATAGTACAATTTCTCCTATTCCTACAAAGTCCCTCTCCTCTCTCAGTAATATTCACACTTATAGAGTAACCGTAGAAACCGCGGACGTTCGATGGGCAGGTACAGATGCGCAAATATTTATAAGACTCATAGGTGATATAACTACGGCTCCTGAGCAACATTTGGCTGGAGGAAACTTTGAAAGAGGCGGTATAGATCAATTCACCTTTGATATTCCTCACATAGGAAACCTTGTCAAGATAATGGTTCGTCACGATGGAAAAGGTTGGGGTTCTGCTTGGATGTTGGAGAGAATCGTCGTAAAAGATGAAAACTTGCAAAAAACTTGGGTTTGTAATTGTTCTAAATGGCTTAATAGAGATGTCGATAATATGATGGAACTGGTTCCAACTTGCACCAATTCCAACTCCTTAAGTAGCTTCCTCCAACGAAGAATAAGTGGCATCTTTTCGAGCAGTTCTCCTGCTAAGAATCTATTTGCATCCAATCCAACCAACGGAAAAAATAATGTTCTTAAGGAAACATCTCCGAAAACATTCTCGCCAAAGACAGAATCGCCTTATCACGAAGAAACCAGTAAATCTATCATAGAAAGACCCATAGAACATACTCCCTCCAATCCAATTTCGCCGGTTGAATGGCAATGTAATGGCTCTCCAATAGTCATTCGATTTCATGTCAACTATTTCACTCAAGAGTCCCAGTATTTGTATGTATGTGGTTCAGCCAAATTTCTAGGTGAATGGAACGCTCAAAAGGCACTAAAAATGAATATGTTTACTGCTCCTGATGGTGCCTGGAGAGGTGACTGGCGTTTGGAAGTTCAAGTTTCAGAAATTGAAGATTTCCAATACAAATATCTTGTGGTTGATGAAACCAATGGAAACATTACTTGGGAAAATGGTGAAAATAGAAAGATGGAATTTCATAGGCATACCAGTCAAATGATGAAAGTCAGAGATGTTTGGCATACACCTTCGAACTCTCGGAAGATTATAACGAGTTTCACGCCATGCGACTCGAAAACTACTCCTAAAACAGTAAATGATAATGCAACGCCATGCTTTTATCGACAGAACGCATCTTCGTGGACAGACCCTAAAGGAGGAGATACAGAATTGAAAATGGATGATATTCGAACCAGAGAAGAACTTATCGAGAAAATTCAACAATTACAACAACAATTGGATGCAAAAGAAGCTAAATTATCCCATGCTAATGCCTTGTTATTACAAAAAGGAATCAGTGCCGTGATGAGTAGAAAGGATGAAAACTTGACTTGGTCGAGGCTAACAGACTTTGAAAGAGAAAACAATGAGCTTCGGTCAGAATCTGAAACCATGAAAGAAAAAATAAGCCAGTATGAAAATGATGTGAAGATACTTCAAAAGGAAACGGAAACCCTAAAGTTACAAGTAAGTGCTTCAATACCTGAGAGAATAACACATGGAAAACTCAATTTTTCTAGTTTGAAGAAGAAATGAACAAGAAACAGGAACTGGAACAACAACTTGTACAGCTCCGTCAGTTACAGTTCAAATCTCAAGACGACAAGTGTTACACAAATAATGCATCGAATATACAACAAAGCGTTGTAAATGGCTCCATCTTAAAAGTTAAGGAAAGTGTTCAGCTATTGAGTGCTGCGATAGAACAAGTTCGTTCTGAAGTTGTCTCCAGTATTTCTCAAAACGAAGAGCGAATGAGTCACGACTGCCAGATTCTACACCGAATTATCTTAGAAAACCAACAAAAAATGAACGAATTAAAAGAAAGATGGAGAAAAGAATTCGAATGGCGTCGAAGGCTTTTCAATCAAGTTCAAGAACTTAAGGGAAACATTCGAGTCTTTTGTCGACCAAGACCTTCTCGCTCATCTTGTGCAATTCAAGTTCTCGAGGAGAATCGTCTCATGGCAAAAGGAAAGGTCTATGAGTTTGATAGAGTGTTTTATCCAAATGCTAGTCAAAAAGAAGTATACGAAGAAACCTCCTCCTTGATAACTTCTGTGATGGATGGCTATAATGTTTGTCTCTTTGCTTATGGACAAACGGGAAGTGGTAAGACCTACACAATGAATGGTGATGAAGCCAGTCGTGGAGTGAATTATCGAGCAATCGAAGAGCTCATTAAAATACGAAATGAAAGAGCAGAGGAGATCCAATATGAAATTGAGATGAGTCTAGTTGAAATATACAACGAACAGTTGCATGATTTGATAGCAGGCAGTGATGAATCCTCTCAGTCTATTCATTCGTCGTCTTCCAAGGGCAGTAATACCTGGAGTACTCAGAAACTGGAAATTAAGCTTAGTCCACAAGGGCCTTATATTCCAGACTTGACTTGGATACCAGTTATTTCTGTCGAACAAATATGGCAAGTGATGGAACAAGCATCCAATTATCGCTCACAAGGAAAGACAACTATGAATGATCGTTCTAGTCGTTCCCATTTGGTCATTAGTTTAAGGATTCAAGGTCGAAACTTGATAAATGAAACGAAGTTGAGTGGCAAGCTTCATCTTGTAGACTTGGCAGGATCAGAAAGGATATCTCGTTCGGAAGCGACAGGAGACCGTCTAAAGGAAGCACAGCATATCAACAAAAGCTTATCATGTTTGGGTGACGTTTTCATGAATCTCCTTTCTAAAAACAGTCATATACCCTATCGCAACTCTAAGCTGACATTTTTACTTCAAGACTCATTAGGTGGCGACTCTAAGACTCTTATGTTTGTTAATGTGAGTCCTGAAGAACCAGACTTACAAGAAAGCATATCTTCTTTGAATTTTGCCAGCAGAGTGAATAAGATACAGTTGGGTCCAGCAACGAAACATACAGAATCACAAGAGTTGTCTCGCTTCGCAAAAGCTGCAACGAGAGCTTATGAAGAAGCTTCATCTAAAGAAGAAGAAATTCGCCACTTGAAACAGAAACTGAACGAAACCACACAAGCTCTTCATGAAAAAGAAATACAGTTGGAAAAATGGCGTGAACAACTACAGCAGGAAATGGAACATAAACAAAGTCTATCAGAAGAGTACAAAAGAAAAGAAAAAGAGTTGGATACAAGTCGTCAGTCATTACAAAAACTTGAAAAGCAACTTTCTGAATGGAAGGAGAAACTAAGTTTGGATCAAATGAAAAGACAAGAAAACCAATCCCATACTTCGCGTACCAGTACAACTCCTGTGGCGCTTCGAAAGCGTTCAAGTCCCTATCGTATCCAATCTCCTTATCGAAATATTCACCGTACTGAATCAACTCGGGATGCTGTTTCCAAAGAGAATCGGTTACCTCTGACAGAACGAATGGAAAACCAAACAGAAGTGGAGTCAAGTAGTTCATCCAAAGTTCTCGAAACCTCTACTGACACCGATAAAGAAGCAACTGCAACTCCGAAACCACACCGCAAAGTTAAACATCGAGTTCACTTTGAAGAACCTAACAAAACATCTACTACTACCACTACTACTCAGATGGGTTCTTTAGTTTCTTCCAAACAAGGACCCAAAAAAGTTATTTATGCGTTTGGTAGTCGTCTAGAAGTTCCCTTGGATACCAAAAAGAAAAGTATATCACAACCTTGTAGTTCTTTAAAACGTCCAGCTGGAAGGGTACTGAGTTACAAGTCAGCGATGGATAAATAAAAAAACTTCATTATACTTGTAAAGGGAAGACACCTATTTATTCAAATTGGCAAAAAAAATATATCTTTAGCAACAAAGCTTTTCCTATCAAGGTCCATGCATTCCTCTCATCATGCATTGATATTTCTTTTCATAAAACAATAATCAATTTTTTTATCATCATACAAGTGCATCTATTCTTCATCATTATTCTTGCATCTCTCCAAAATGAAAAGGCTCTTGAACATTATGATGATTGACACCAAAACCAAAATGACCTTCTGATGATGAAGCTGGCGTAACTCCTTCAACAGGTTCTCCCGTGCCACTAAAGTAAGTTTCCAAAATTTTCAAGGCTAAATGAGAATATTCAGTTGATATATTTCAACAACTTGATAAACCTGCATTCTTACCTTTGCTATATATATCATGGTTCACATGTGTCTGTAAATTCTCAATCCTATCCACCCCTTCGGCTTCTTCCACCAACAATGCATATTGATTGAAACCATTGACGGCTAGTCTTTCACCAGCTCGCAATATGTTTTCAAGACCTTCCAATGCTACGGTAATAATACGAGAATCAGATACAATCAACAAGTTACATAATGGAGGTATACAGCCTTGCTTTACCAAATATTGAATCTGTTCAATTGTTCCACCAGAAGTTGCATTAGAAATAGCCCATGCAGCTTCCTTCTTGACATCAAATTCTGCATTTTGTAACAAATCCACCACTTTTGGAATAATATTGGCATTTATCACAGCTTGTATTTGTTCTTGGGTACCTGCAGTAATATTACTCACAGTCCAACATGCTTCCTTTCGAATGCTCTTTTTGTGAGACCCAAGCAGACTATTCAAACAAGGCAATGCATCGCAGTTGATCACAACTTGCGTTTGAGTATCATCTCCTGTCACTATATTGCCAATGGTTCTTAATGAAGGGGTCTGTACAGCGATACTCTGATGTGTCAATAACTCAACTAGTCTTCTAGTAACCTATGAATGGCAGTTCATCTAATGAACTATTGAGGAAAAACTTTTAGAAACTTACCCCTGATTCTATGACAGCTTGTATCTTATCGTTAGGTCCATCTGATAAATAAGACAATGCCCAACAAGCATCAGCCAATATCATATCGTCATTCGAATATATCAACTGAGCCAAAGTGTTTAATGCTGGTCGTATCAAATCAAAAGGTGTTTGAGGCTTTCCTCGACAAAAGTTAGATAAGGTCCAAGTCGCATTCCTTAACATAGATAGCTATTGTTTGTTTCATATCAATGAGAATACTGAAAAATGAATCGGTTACTTACTTTTGCTGGTTGAGATAATTGTTGAAGTAGTGGCATCATAGCGCCATGATATAATACCAAGTCTCTGTATTCTGGAGAATCGCCAGCTATATTTCCCAACGCCCAGATAGCCTGTTCTCTTACATCTTCATTGGGTGAAGACATTAAACGAACAAAACTTGGAACTGCACCAGCCTCAACGACAGTGGTAGTGTGTTCCGAAGTTCCAGAAGCAATATTGGTCAACACCCAAGCCGCTTCGAATTGCAAAAGGGAATAATCATCTCTTGATAAAAACTCGACCATTCTAGGTACTATTCCCGTACTGATAACCTCGGTGATGGGAGGATTTTTTTCTATGACAAAAAACAGTCAGTCTATCACTGAACTATTCTCTTAAGAGACCAACAAGTTCAACTTACCGACAGATAAAAGTTGTCTGAACTCTTTCGTACATTCGAGTTGCGTTGGGACAGAGTCAGACCATACTCCTTGCACTAGTCTTGGAATATTTGCTGCCATAGCATTTTCTGTACTCAGATTATCCCCCTGTGCAGTCTTGGTTACTTCCAAACTACTATTTCCAGATACTTCCTTTTCCCTTCGTTTCTTCATGAGGTTTTCTTCTCTCTTTGACTTGCGAATCTCTACAGAATGCTCTTCCCTCTTTTTACGTGACTCTTCAGTGTCTATGGACTTTTTGAAGGTTTTCTTTCTTGCCTCCAGCCTACTTTGTCTCGTAGCCATCATAATAGAAAGCGATACCCAGTCAACCAAAAGTGCCCAATCTCCACTCTATTCGGCCCACATTTGAAATTGCATCTTTTGCCTAAGATTGCGAAAATGGACACCGCGTCTCCATTTTTGGGTCGTCATTCAATTGCTTAGAAAAGTTGTCATACGTTTGCTTTATTTGCTACATATTGTTTCTTTAAGAACAGATTCATGTTTTGTATAACTCTGAAATATAGGCAAGGCCAATGAATCTACGGTTTTCAACAATAAGCTCTGAATATTCTCCCAGCCACCGGGACTTGACTCAAACAAAGTTCCCACACAACTCAAAACATTTTCTATAATGGCGTCATTGTCAAAACTCATCTTTCCTATCCTGGCACTTGAACAAGGTCCTTCCACACAAAATAAATAGGTTCTGTTGAGTGCTCTTTGAACATCACGTCCTATATCTTTATTCATACGTATTGGTATCGGAACTCTATGACAACAAAGTAAGGAAGGGTTCATGAAGTGAGAAACTTACTTTTTCTTTCGAAAGCACTCCTTTCCCAGAGTTTTAGCAAGCATTGGAACAACTCGATCGTCTGCCAAAAAAAGGTCATATGCCTGTACAAATTGTCTTTTCAAGGCAAACGTAGAATATTTCTTTCGTAACTTGGACACTCCTATAACTTTGCTTATGCCACTGATGTGGTGGTCAGCAATATAATCTTTGATTTGACGTTGTGGGTCTTTAACAATAAAGCAAACTTCAGATTCCCCTGCAACATAAATAGGATGCGGCAGAGGACTAGTATCCAAGTGGATAAGCAATTATACCAACGTCACTCAATACCAACTTACAGAGCGCATGGTTTCCAAGACTTTCTTTCTGGAAGCTGCTTAAAGGTGACAACTAAGAAAATAAAGTCCTCGTTATCCTTTAACAGTGAATGTCTTGTTTTAGTATCATTTTGTTCTCTTAATACACGTAAAGCTTGTACAGCCTCAACAACACGGTGACTAGGCACAGGGGACGAAGACATCCTTTGGTACGGCCTTCAAATCGTTTTTGAAAGCATTTCACATAGAAATGTAACGACAACTTAAGATATTGTTATCTCCAATATGCTTATTTCATAGAGGGTGGTTATTCATCTATTTGTAGAAATTTATAAAGATATTGAAGCGTATTGAAAAGAGGAACTACGAAACGTGCTATTGAACTGTGCACTAGTTTGTGAAACTGAATAGTTATTCTATTATTTGTCACTGGAGAAAATACTGATAGGGAAAGAGAACCAATGGGATAGCCTTTTGACTCAAAATGATTATAAATAAAGAAAACTCAGATTCTGCTTTCCCCTATCAAAATAAGTGCAGTATCAAGAACTTCTATTTATTCGATCCCACTTGATGACTCTGCAACCAGAAAACGGGGTATCTGTTTCTGTCCTTCATAAAGCTATCTTTGTTATCTCTATATTTGTTCTACTATTTCACGTATTTTCTTTTTACAACTTTCGGCATCGACTAGAAGTTCTTGGTTGAGTTTTTCTGCACACTGTTGTAACTCTCTCACACTTTCCGAACACTTTTCCAGTAGGTACTGTTCTACCGTCATCGTTTCCTCACTCGCTACACCATCTACTTGTTCAACTGGCTGGTCTTGCATTGACTTGAAAGGTTTCTCTTTGGAGTTGGTTGACATATACAAGTTAACGATTCCTTCACAGCCCGCCAATGAGGACCTATTTCAAAAAAGGGAATAATTAAATAACTTTGAAAAGTTATGATGTATTCGTATTTTTGTGATTCTATATGAAAGAAACTGCAACTATTTAGAAACTTGTTTTAGCTTTTAGATCTTTCTTTACCGTTGCCACACAATGGGTCAGCAATGGAGTCAAACAACCCCTTCTTATGAAGTCAAAACAAACTTGACTTGTTCTTATTCGGATAACAAACAGAAAGGCTCCAACCAGGTTGTCACTGTCAATCCTCCTCCTGAGCAAAGACAAGATACTCACAGAAAGCGAGAAGCATCTCTTCATCCGTTGTTGCAGGAACTGGAGCAACTTTCATCTGTCCAACCACTGCAAGTTGATAATTCAAACGAGATAAGGTTGATACAAGAGACCAAACAACTTGCAGATATGGCAATATTGAAAAGGTTTTACTCTGGAAACACTGTGGGTTTGAAGGGTGTTTTGAGTGCCGACGAAAAAAAGCATTCCATAAGTTTTCACAGCAATAGTTTGCATCAACTTGCTACTGTAAAAAAAGAAATGATTGAAATATTAATCAGTCGTCAGGAACAGTTACAGTTACAAACAGATGGTGTCTTGGAAAAAACCAAACAAGTTTGTCAACAACTAGAAACCAAGGCAGACCAGTTGAGAAGAGTGAGCACTGGTATCCGACAGATAGAGAAGTTGTTGGTAACCTTATGCGACTGTCAAGAACTACTGACGAAAAGTCTTGAGTTGACTTCAGAAATACGAGCTCGTAGTGGGTCCAGTAGAATGGAAACTATATGTAGTTTTCGAGAGTATCTAAGTTCACATGCACCTGAGCTATTGATAGATGACAATATGACTTTACTTCCCAACTCATGAAAGTCATTTCAAGTTATTTATTTTTATCTATTTTATCATTATCTTACTATATCTTATTTCCAACTCACGTGATATTGTTGATGGTTTTTTCCCAAAGACTCAACTAGTGCAAAGCATTCCTCACAAGTTTGATGGAAGTAAGGAAAAGGCTGTTGGAACTGTTTTTGTATATCATTTGGAATAGCCTTGTTACTAGCGAGTGTTCTTTGATCAGTTTCCAAATGGATATTCCACTGATCCACTGAAGTTTCGACAAGTTGAGCGTACAATTTGTATAAAGAGGCAGGTACCAAGACTCCAACCATTTGTATACTGATTCGATTATCGCTATGAAACTTGTCTACATGATGGGATATATTGGCACTAGTCAGGCTGCAATGAAGAAATTCTTTATCAGAAACGATGGTAGGAACTCTCTTCAGGAATAGTTTTCTCCACTGAGGGATTTCGTTCCAAATCAACTCATATAGAGCATGAACTTGGAGATGACCTTGGAACAATATCGTTTGTCCTTTTGATTGCCATTCGATATTATCTCGTAGGATTCCAGGTTTTATATCCATACTTGTTGTTTGTTTGATTTCATATTCAATACCTGCTTTATCAAAAGCTTGTTTGATTCTTGTTGGAACATTTTCTGTTATAGCCAAACAAGTATGGGAGTCATTTCCTTGAGAATAGAAAGAAACGAAAATAATCACAAACTTTTCAAAAATAACATAAATAGATTGGTTATGACCCAACTTCCATTGTTGATATACCGAATGAAAGGCAAGTTGCCAATTTTTACATTGAATATATTCTTCACCTATCCAATACTCCTTGACTGGATGACTTGTCTTGTTTGTGAAAGCGTTGGAATGACTCCACATACTGGCATCTGTCTTATCCTGTTGGCTGATAACAGTATCATCTATTGTATCTTGTAATGCTGGATAGGTAAAGATGGTCGCCACTTGTTTCAAAGTGTCCACTAAAGAAAGCATATTGCTACTCCATTCTTTGTTTTCTTCGTTTACGTTGGATGAATAAAATATATGTTGAAAGCATAAACGTTCAACTTGATTTTGTATCCACTCTAGTCCTTGCTTGTTGTTTTGTATTTGCAACTCCAACTTGATTGCTGTTTTCAAACTCATATCTACTGGAACAGTTAACTGTTCTGTTTCCCTGGTCCTCGTTGATTCCCTCCTTCCAACCAACTTTTGTTCTTCATCCCTCTTACTTGTTTTATTAGGATGCAACACCGACAAGTTATCAGAAAGTGTTGTCCAGTCCAAGTTGCTTAGGTCAGCAGTTGATTCCCTTTTCCTTTCCACTTGAAACTTGGAAAGGAACGAATGCATCTTTTCCTCATTTTCAGTAGAATGAGTTACTTTATTAGGTGGAGCACTATCTATTAGTAACGACCTAGGTTGTTGTTGTTGTTGCTGACTATTTCTTTCTTTGAGCCATCTTTTATATTCCATAGGAGTTTGAGGTTTCCTTTGAGACATGATGGTGGAGACCATTCAAAATGGTTATTCATTCAAATGGACCACATCAAAACAGTTCCATCGAGTCCCATCTTGAGGTAAAGCTTTCCATAAACGAACCATTCGATCACTTGCTGAAGAAGCTAAAATACTACCCACCATATTCCACTGCAGTCGAACAATTCTTTCATTTCCGTGATTCAACCTACAGATTGGCTGCATTTCATGTCCATTTGTTTTATTTCCTTGTTGGATACGTGGAAACTGAAACAAAAGTATCGAACCATCTTCACAACCCAACGCAATTCGTTCAAAACTGCGTCCCACATGAGGTGCCCAAGCTACTGCTGAAAGGTCGGCAGTATCTGATTCACTAGTCCTAAACAAATGCCAATCTGTCCAACGACGAGTATCATTGTCCATACTCCATACACGACAATCCTTATGGGAAGCTACTACTATCAAAGGAATGCTATCTACTGATGGATTCCAACTCATACCAACTACTGGAGAATCCATATCCAATTCTGTCAACAAAGGCCATTGATGAAGATCTGCTTCATCTATACAAGTATATATACGTACATAACCATCAGCAGAGCCTGAAGCCAATAACAAACCCAAGTGTGGTGGAGCAAACTGAACTTGTCTCACTTCATCTCTAGCGTCCACCAAATGTGCCAACGCAGTCCACCCTTTTGTACTTTTATCCATCGAAGAGGAAGAATAGGAAGACGAGGCTTCTGGCTCTTCCCAAATAATAACTCTTTTGTCATAAGAGCCTGTTGCGAGAATATTTCCGAAACAAGGATGTGCCCAACTCACACCAAATAAAGGACCTTCGTGTGCTTTCCACTGATAAGTACGTTGCCAATCATCTTTCTTATTCCATATACATATTTCTCTATCGATAGAAACAGTAGCTAACCTCTTTCCGCTATAGTCATAAGCCATATCTTGAACAACACTAATCTCTTCTTCCTCATCCATCATCATCCAGCCTCACTCTGCTATTATTATTTTCCTCGATGCAATTGTTTCTCTCTTGTCTTGTTCCTCCTCCAGTGAAGAACAAGGCCCATGACTCAACTTGTCGAAAGCAACTTTCAAAGTTACGTCCATGTCCAAACAAGTATCACTTAGTTATGAACCATGTACAAGGAGGAACCCACAAAAGAAAAGTTGCTTTGGTTTCGTTGGGCTGTCCGAAAAACACAGTTGATGCAGAAGTGTTATTAGGAAACTTGAAAAGGAAAGGCTTCCAAATTGTTGAGAAAATGGAAAAAGCAGACGCTGTGATTATCAATACTTGTGGTTTCATAGAGGATGCTAAGAGAGAGTCTTTGAGTTTTATTTTCCAGGCGTTGGATTGGAAAAAGAAACACCTGAAAGGAGTTATTGTAACAGGCTGTTTGGCACAACGATACGCTGAAGAATTGGCTGCACAAATACCACAAGTTGACGCAGTCGTAGGGTTTGAAAGTTATGCTAATGTAGCTCAAACGTTGAACCAAATATTCTCCCAACAAGAAGCTAGTCGTGTTCAAGTGGGAAAAGCTACCGTTCCTTTTCAGACAGAATACATTCGTCACCCATTAACACCCAAACATAGTGCCTATTTAAGGGTAGCAGAAGGTTGCAATCATGAATGCTCTTTTTGTAGTATTCCGAGTTTTCGAGGAAGATTTCGCTCAAAACCTTTTCAAAGTGTCATAGAGGAAGCAAAGATGTTGGTTGAAGGAGGGGTTTGTGAACTCAATATCATTGCTGAAGATACCAATCAGTACGGTATGGACTTTGGTAATCAAGACCAAAGGAGATTGGCTGATCTTTTATATGAATTGGCCAACCTATCTTCATTGAAATGGATTCGTCTGTTGTATTGTTATCCTTCTTATTTTTCACCAGCTCTCATACGAGCTATAGCAGAAATTCCTCAAGTAGTGAAGTATATCGATATTCCTCTGCAACATGCATCCGATGGAATTCTAACAAGAATGAATAGACCCAACAGTCAATATACTCGTCAACTTTTATATCAATTGAAGCAGAATATTCCAGAATTATGTTTAAGAAGTACTTTTATTTGTGGGTTTCCAGGAGAAACGGAAAAAGATCATCAGGAACTGGTTAGGTTTATTAAGGAGTTGGGATTTTCTCGAGCTGGATTCTTTACTTATAGTTTGGAAGAAAATACTAGTGCTTATTCCATGGATGGTCATGTTCCTGATGAAGTAAAGCAAGCCAGAAAGGATGAGTTGGTTTCCTTACAGCAGTCCATTCAGGAATCATTTGCTATGAAATGGGTTGGAAAGAAGATAAATGTGCTCATCGACAAAGTGGAACAGGGATATTCTAAAGGACGAGCTTATTTTGATGCACCTGAGATTGATGGAGTTGTTTATGTTTTACAGCAACTATCACCTGGAAGAATATATTCAATAGAAATATTAGGAACGAATGGTTGGGATTTATATGGACACAAGTAAGTACCATAGTCTGTCAACAATAAATGGTAACAAGTTAACAATACTCAAACTTATTGCTCTCTCTCTCTCTCTCTCAAACACACACACATACACACAATGCACACAATACACAGCAGAATCTCTCTCTTAGTGATCCAATCGCAACGACAAGACAATAATATGAAGTGATTTCTATTCCTTCTCCTTCTCATCGGCTTGTAAGGAAAACAAATCGTCAAAAATATTCGAGAAATTTTTTACGAAATGATTGGCTTCGATGTCATCTGTCGATTGTTCAAGAACGGAAGAAGTACTATCATCATATAAAGGGAATGTCATGAAGGAATCATCCAAAGGGGAGTCACTAAGTAAAGAAATAGTTTGAAAATGATTATCAACCATATTGGATTCCATTTGAGAATGTTCCTTTTCACTACAAGGACCAACTGAACAAGAAGATTGATGCAGTGAGTGAAAGGAATCGCTCTTATCCCATTGTTTACAAGTATGAGAATTCATATCTACTCGTCCTTGTTGAAACAACAATGCCATTTCATTTTCACCTGAGACACTATGGGATGCCTTTTGTTCTATAGCAGTTTGTAAAGTTGATGACTTTTGGTCTCGACTAGAACAAGGCCAACGATTGACTCTTTCCAATAACCGCTTTCCAGCATCTTGAAATGTTGTCTCTAAAGGAAACGATAAGGACTTGAAATTCTTTCCTTTACGAAATGATCTACAACGTCCTGTCTTATAGGGACTTGACCCTTTTTCCATGTTACTGGAACGTTTCTGATGCCAAAGGCTGCCATGTTGATCCCATATATGGGTATGATGACTACATCTCTTGCAGATTCTATGAGTTACTGCATTTGTACTTTCATGCTTCAACACTTCTTGTACAGAACTACCAACAGAGCTTTTTTTGGAAGATTCCACATTACTTCTATGAATGAAAGATGGTCATCCCTCTTTGTAGTTTACATATATCTCTCTCTATTTACCTGCAGGATGTACACAACGAAAAGTCTTGAGGTTCATTTATTTCTTCTTTTGGTTCCGAAAATGGATGTCCAAATAGACGATGTTCTTTTTCGAAAACAATAGCGGTATGATAGTATCCATTATCATGTAGGAACTGATACAACGAGTGAAAGTCGGCAAACATGGCTTTCAAGAAATCCTTGTGAGAACGCAACGGCCAATGGGAATACTTGAAAGATATGACGTGTCCCAGTCGACTGATAACCAAACTGGGGATGGGAAATCTTGCTGACAAAAAGAGCAATTTCTATATAAATATATATATATATGAATACCGAGGAAATGAATTGTACCATTCTTTTATATATTTAGATACTACCACTGCTAGTCAATGCTTGACGTCGTACTCCTCTAGTACCTTTCTTTCCACTGGCTACAACGGAAGTTTTACTACGAGGTACTTTTTCCTAGTTAAAAGTCAAAAACTGCACTACCTTCCTCCTCTACTTACTGCTACACTCACCTCTTTCTCGGTCAAAAATATTTCAATGTGACAAGGATGAGACATGAACGGATTGACTCTACCATGAGCACGATAAGTTCTTCTTCTACCTTTGATAGCCTGATTCACTTGAAGATGGGAGATATAAAGCGCATCAACATTCAATCCTTTCACTTCCGCATTAGACTCTGCATTTTTCAACAAGTCCAAAAACACCAAAGCACTCTTCTTAGGCCATCTTCCGTTAGGAAATCCGTGTTGTTTAGCTTGAGCTTTTCTGCCAACACCATAACGATATCGTACAAAGGGAACTATCTCTTTCTTTTCGATCACATTTTTCAAATAAGTCTTTGCTCTTTGTAAACTCATGCCCTTTAACGCACGTCCCGTCTCTCGTGTGTTTTTAAAGTGCACTCGAATATCGGAAGCACGCGCTTTGCAAGCTTTGAAAAAGTAAATAGAACACAACAAAGGATCCGGAAAACACTTACTTTTAGTAGGATTATCTGGTTGCTTTGAATATCTGGTCATCGTCCTCTTCTTAACAATCCTCCTCTCAAAATCCTTACTACAAAAAGACCAACGACGGCGAAATGGAAAAGAGAAAGGAAGGGAAATGAGGGTGCTTATGATCCAAGCTGAAAAACTTGAAAACCATACACAACGAAACAAGTAAACAAAGTGCAATATTGCGTACAAAACAATAAAGTTTATACTGCTCAAAAAAAAGAGGTTTTCTTTAGGAATTCACTAGAATCACTTTTGAGTTGGAGATCTTTTCTTCTCGGCCCTTCTTCCTGTCGCATTCTTTTCTTCCTAATCCATTCCTACGTACTTGTGGCTTTTGTGTCTTTTCCATAAAATAGACTCATGGCTGAAAATACTCATACTGCTAACGGTTATACCAAAATAGAGTGGCCAATGAGTGCTGCTCTAGATACCAACGAAGAAAGAAATATAGCCAATGGCCCCTTTTGTAGTGATATTACCACCAGAAACAATGTTGCTAGGTCCCAACGTACTCAACAATATATACGTCACACTTGTGAACCACAATATTATTCGGACTATTTACAGTTGGACAACCTACTGTCTTGTCAAGCTCCTGTTACAGAACGTGCGGATGACAAAGCACACGACGAAACACTGTTTATCATAGTCCATCAAGTATTTGAACTGTGGTTTAAGCAAATATTGATCGAACTCGACTCCATCATCGAAATACTATCTTCTATAGAAGTATTCTGTGATAAACGACTGGCACTCGTACTTCATCGACTGAACCGAATAAAGGAAATAGAAGACGTCATGATTAGACAAATAGAAGTTATCCAAACCATCACACCACAAGAATTTCTGGACTTTAGAGACTATTTGTTTCCTGCTTCTGGCTTTCAAAGTTTTCAGTTCCGTTTATTTGAAGAAAAATTGGGGATCAGGAATCAGATGAGACCCAATGAAGGATGGTTCAACTCTCTACGAGATGAACATAAGCAAATGATTCACGAAGCAGAACGAGCGCCTTGTCTTTTTGAAGTGGTTGAAAAATGGTTACAGTTGCTACCTTTTAGAGAATTCCGTGGATATAATTTTTCGCAAAGTTATAAAGAAGCAACTGATAGAATGTTACAAGTGGATGAGTCCATCATTGAGCAACATTATGAAGGAGAAGATAAGGAAAAGGCATTGAGAGAATTGGAACGTACAAAAAAGGCATTCCAAAGTGCTTATGATAGAGCAACTCATGAGCATTTGATACAAAGTGGTCAGCGAAGATTAGGTTTTAGGGCAACTGGTGCAGCTCTGTTGATCATGTTGTATGAAGATGAGCCCATGTTGCATACTCCTGCCTTGATTCTTCGAGCAGTTGTCGATGTAGAAGACAAGCTCAATCTTTGGCGTTATAGACATGCACAAATGGTTCGCAGAATGATTGGTGGAAAAGTAGGAACAGGAGGTTCTGTAGGACATGCTTATCTTCGTTCTACTGTGGATCGATATCGAGTATTTGGAGACCTTGCCAATGTTTCTACTTTGTTGATTCCTCGTCGTTTATTGCCAGAGTTACCATCAGAACTTCGAGAACAACTTACTTACTACCATCGAATGGAAAAACTAGATAGGACATTTTTTGATAGAGGTGGGAGTGGTGAGTCTTTGGATGACTTGTAAGATGTTGTCTTTTCTCAGTTCATTCTGTCTTTTAAAGCTGTAGTTGATTGGTATAAGAAATTCTTCACCGAAAATACACCGCATCCACTCGTTTATATTCACTACTTTGAATTCTCTTTTGGGTCATCACTATGTAGGTACAAAAAAAAAGGATAGTCATCCAAGTTGTTATTCACTATTTTCCTTATGCACCGATGACTGGGTATCAAGACTAAAACCACCACTCACTATTCCAAGTCCCTATACAACAACTTTCACATCTCTATCTCTTTCAAAAGAAACTTGTATCACCGTCGATCCGTGCAACTTGTTTTGTACGAGTTGCATCCATCTTCTAGGCAGTCGAAACAAATATCTATTTTCACTGTGGGTAAAGATGAAAAAGACACAAACGAACCACTTACTGTACTTGGTCTCTAACTCGCTTTCTCGTGGGTTCATTTTTTATGAGACGTCGGTTACATTCCATAAGACGACGATATAGACGTGGAAATCCATATGTTTTGGCTACCACAAATATGGAAACCTTCTTCAACAACGATAACAAAATAAGTTTACCAATCACGTTGACCATGACACTTTCATGAATCTTTTTCCATTTTGTGAAATGAAAGAAACAATACCACTTTATGAAGCATGACCAACTCTTGTCTCTAATCTTCTAAGTGCTTCGGTAACGAGTGAACATGATTGTTTCGTTTGACCTGCTATTTTCATAATTTTTTGAATCGAGTCAATTATTTCGATAGTTTGAGAATAGGGATTGTACCAAACTGAAAATGGTCTTGATATTGTTTCAGCAAACTTGAGAAACTTATCAGTTGCTGAAGAAAAGCTATCTGCCACAAAGTATACTGGTTGATATTGAGTAATAGGATAAGGTTGTTGAGAGGCAACAAATGGGTCCCAAGGCAATAACTGTGGTTCATTACCCAGAGCATATTGTAACTCACCAAATGATGACAGCAAACCAGCTCCGTATGCTTTCACTTGTCCATCTTCCTTCAACAAACCAAATTCTACTGAAAACCAATAACATCTTGCCAAACGATCAATATCCTCATCTGAAGCACCGAGTGATGCCAAACCTATCTGATGAGAGAATTCTGCAAAATCTGGATCAGCCAACATAGGAGCATGGCCCAATAACTCATGACATACATCCGGTTCTGGAGTATACAACGGCTTTGAATGGTGTCTTATGTATTGTGTCGAATGAAAGACTCGGAATGCTAAACCATTTAAGAAATCTCGAGGAGACAACAAACCCATCACAGGTCTTAATCGAAAACCTGTGCATTCCCTAAGAAACTCAGAAACATCTTGCAACTGTGGAATCTGATGAGGAGAATATCCACAGTTCTTTTCCAACAAAGGGAATATATATCGATATTGTTTACAAGCATGCGTAGGATATAACTTGGTTAGTTCCGTATATACCGTATTCCAAGTCTTCAACTCCTTTTCTGAATAAGTGACATGAGGAAGAGGTTGTCCATAGCCATACTGTTTCGCATTTTCTGTAATCGACTGTCTCCTCTCTCGATATGCTTTATCATGAAACCCAGGATGGTCGGCATCCAGCTCAGCTCCAAACTATATTATTCATTTGAATAACTCGTTACAACTAACAATTGTGCTACTTACTTCTAGAGTTCGAGAAGAAAAGGCATCTAAATCTCTCATCTTTCTAGGAAACCAAGGAATCCCGCTCAAAGTGGACACCTCTCCAACACTTTGTGTCATGTCTTCAAATCCCTCACCAAGTACAGTCACTTTAATACCTTGACTGGTCAATTCTTCCACAGCTTTCTTTATTCTATCCACAAGACTGCCACTTGTCACTACTGGACTCGTTTCTTCAGAAATATTGACAAAAATATCATAAGAAGCATCTGGCTGTTTCACTTCTGTGGTTGGGCGAGATTCAATTCTACTCAAGTTAACTTGGTACTTTCCAAGAACAGCAAGTGGTTGTGTAAGTGAGCCAGGAGTGTTGGGTACTCGAACGACCAAAGATATTCTTCCAAGGGTGTTGCTGCCTGAAAAACGAGTCGGAGTGTTTGCTTCCACTGAAAGATATCTTTTGGATATTCTGTTGGTTGGTGATAAAAAACGACTTCTCCATGGATAAGAATAAAAAAGACTTTTCCACACATTCGACGACATATTTCACAAGTCAAATAACGTGGAATGTCTATGAGACAAGTTGAATTTCACACAAGTTTTTATTTTCAATCATAAAGTATATGTGCATTTCAACATTTTAATATTTCCGATGACAACTAAACGGCTTCCCTGAATGTTCTATAGCAACTACCAAACTTCTAAAAGTGCCATAGCTTCCAAGCGTAAGAATAAGAAAACCAACCACAAAACATAACAAAGGAAGCATCTTTTGATACCAACGTGTTTCATGCCAAAACTCCCAAAAATAATAAGCACTAGGAACCATAAAAGTTAAAAAGGAGGAGAACAAAGAAGTCATAATTCCAATGAAAGATGAAAAGAAAGGAATGAGACCTGCGACTACAAAGGAAGCTCCATAAGTAACTCCAGTCCAGAGGAACCACCATAAACGATTAGCCACGCCAGTATCTTTAAACTTGCGCAAACCTCCAACCAACAAAGGCTGAAAAGTCCATTGAACTACACGACTTAACACATTACCCGCAATAGTACAAGTAATAGTCACATGAATAACCAAAAATACGTCATTCACATAGTGTATAGGACCATGTTTGATAACAAGCGTCACAGGGCTTTCCATCTTTCCAGTATGTCCTAAATAATAGTAGGCAACTGCTGCCAATGTCAAATAACAGGCATAACTAAAAGTCTGAGAAAGCCACAACGAAATACGAAAGTCATCCACATTTTTCAATTCTGCCATAAACTCAAAATAAATCATATGACCAGTAAAAGCAAATATAATATCCATGCTGGCTGTAAGACCTTGATAAAATGAAGTATCTGAAGTCGCATAGGTCTTACCCAAACCGTTACCAATGGAAGGAGACTTTGCACAAACAATAACAATAGGTACCAATATGAAAAGAATAGCAATAAGAACTATGTAAGATACCTCAAAAAGACTTCTCGCTTGTCCAGTGATCCAAATCATGGCATAAGAAATGACAAAAAATACAACAGTACATATATGATACTTATTCAACATATTCTTCCAAGTCAAAGTTGCAGTCAATAAGTCAGATGTCACAAGACCAAAGAAATATGAGTAGGCAATAGTTGCAGTGAAATACATTGCAGGCTTTCCCCATAATCTCCTACTCATCGCGGCATAACTCCGAACTGTGGGATATCTCTTAGCCATATAATATAAAAAGTATCCCGTGGCCGTAGTAATGAGATAAGCTGAAGTCAATACAAACACTCCACCAACCCAACCAAGTGTTTCAAATGCACTTGGAATAGATAAAACACCAACACCAACCATATATCCACACATCAGGAAAAATAACATAAACCAGCCTAACTTTCGGGGTGGAACATATTCCTTATCAGGATCATTAGGGTCATAGGAAGAAGAACGCCTTCCACTCAAATCAAACGATTCTTTCATAGCTTCCTCAAAGCTCTTCTCGAATGAGGTTCTTCCAGAGTCTATGTCATTCTGCTGTTCATCAACGTCAATAGATTCAACCGGTTTGTTCTTGACGTATTCCATTGCTAATCAGAAAAAACTTTGACAACTACAGATTGCCCTTTTCAACGACAAATTTAACATGTGACGATGAGCGACTGCTGCTTAAAAAATTGCACTATGCCCTTGGACTACGTTCATCTGACCAATAAGAAGTAATTGAGTGGAAGCAACGCGTTGGAAGTTGACTCGGCCAATTTCATCGGCAGCTTCCAAGGCCGTTTCATAGGTCCGATGTCAAAGCTAGAATTCTGTCAGATAGAAGAGTTCCGGAACTTGCTGGAACTCGCTTCCAACATGCGCATTCACGATACTTTTGAAGTTTTCCCTTAAATGCCTCCCTTGTACTTGGAAAATGAAGAATTCAAGATTCGATAGACAAAAAACCGTGTATGACAATAAGACTTGTGTGTCTGTTTCTCCAAACACCCGATAGTTATTTTTATTTCTGCCGTCTTATGAAACTTGGGTAACTTCACTGCTTCTATGTGTACGCAAGCCAATTTCTCAAATTCTCTTTTCGACCAGTAACAAAAAATAGGCACACTTCATAAGAAAAGATAGGAAATAAAACAAAATGAATGCACTATACAGTTTGGAAAGATATTTCGTAGGGCTAGGTACAACTTGAAGTAACAGCACAACTAGTCTTCCTTGAATGAACATTTGCTTTGTTAATTTTGAGACACCTAAAGCGTAAAACTGAGTTATTTTTCTTTCATCTCTTCCTCTTTATTTCACTTAAACGACTTGTATTCAATTAGTCATTTTGCACCATGTCCAATCTACCTTAATAATCTCTTACAAGTTCTATTCTAGTCCACTACTTTTAAGAGAACGAAGAAGAGGAGAAACTCACTTGTCGAAAACTAGCGTCGCTGAACAACAAAATTAAAATAATCCTTACAGCTAACTTGACTGCACATAAATACTTTACAAGACTGTTTAACAGAATTTTCGAGCGGAATAAGAGATAGACTTTTGCAATCAGGGGTCCATATACCGTGTGGAACCCAACGGTCAAACTCGCGAACGTCTACAGGACGGATCGTTCAAGGATTTTGTAAAAATGTGGGCTGTTGCCGTACATGGTGGTGCTGGAGTGGTTTCGAAAAGTATTGACACTTTACCTTATGTAGAAGGTCTCGACTCTGCCTTGAGTAAGCTTTCATCGTTGTATTCATTCTTCAACTCGTTTACTAGTATATTTTCAGATTGTGGAATAAAACGACTGGCATCCAAGGGTAGTGGTACGATATTTAACCGGAAATTTTTTACCTGCATTGTCTGACAAAGTTTGCCTTGATTTAGCTCTTGAGGCAGTGGTTGATGCTGTTGAATCACTGGAAGATAATGAACTCTTCAACGCTGGCCGTGGTTCGGTTCTTACGGAAGATGGTGTGGCAGAACTGGAAGCTAGCGTTATGGAAGGTGAGAAACTGTTTTCCTTTGGTGGATCTGAATCAAATTCTGAAACGCGGTTCAGGCAAGGATTTGAGATGTGGTGCAGTGTGTGGTTTAAAGACTGTGAAAAATCCTGTGAAGCTTGCTCGTCTTGTTATGCAGGAGACACCGCACATATTTCTGGGATTTGAGGTAGGAAATTTGAGCACTAGTTGTAAACCATTTTAGGATACTTACCTGCAATAGGCTGCTGAGAAGTTTGCAGACAAGTTTCCGCAAGCGATTGAAAGAGTTTCCAACTCTTACTTTATTACGGAGCGAAGAATGAAACAATTTCAAGAAGCAATGGCTGCCAACCAGTCAAATCTCATTGACCATTCATACAACGCGTTTCCTTATAAGGGTAACAAGGATGTAGATGGAATCTCATGAAAATACTCATCTCGTAATTGCTATTTAGAACCGGGATCAGGTGGTGGTGAGAAGGGTACGGTAGGTGCAGTAGCTTGTGATATTTATGGCAACGTTGCTTGTGCGACCTCAACCGGTGGTAAAACGAGAAAATGGTCAGGTCGTATTGGTAGGCTTGTTATATAATGAATTAAACAGTAAACCAATCAAAAATGCAGGCGACACTCCCGTTATTGGTGCAGGTAGCTATGCATCCAACAACAGTGGTGCTTTCAGTTGTACGGGACACGGTGAAGAATTTCTAAGAAACAATGCTGCAGGCTTTGTCTCTGCAGCAATGGAGGTTCGAATGACAATAATTATTTTCGGATAAATCAAATTTTTGTTTTAGGTAGGTAAACTGAGTTTAAAAGATGCAGTATACGAGTTGGTACATAACCGTTTAAAACCTGACGATGGTGGTATTATTGCCGTATCTCCAACAGCTGAAATTGTCGTTGATTTTAATTCTCTCGGAATGTTTCACGCATTTGCAGATTCTTCTGGCACAAGGGGATTTAAAATATGGCATGATATTTGACTACGGAAATTGAAGTTGCTAAAAGTTTTGAAAACAAAACTGAAAGCCTTTTGTTGTTCAATAAAAAATGTTTTTTGAGTGACGCAGTTTAGCTAACTTTGTTAATTTTTTTTGATTAATTTTAATCTTACACTTGTAAAATGGAGCTACTATATTAAGAACGATACAAATAATTTTTTATAGAGTGATTAATTTTCGTTTTTTACTCGTTCTTCTTAAATTCAAATTGAAACAATTAATTAACTTGGCTGTGTGGAATAAATTAAAGAAAGTATCCCGCTTTTGCATGGTCTTTTAACCTTTGCTAATCTTCCTCCATAATTGTTTAATATGAAAAAAATTTATTGTATATAAATTGTATTTTTTCACCTATATTATTTATAATTGGCTTTTCTGTTCGACACATCGGATCATTCTTCGATACTTTTTGCTTTGTTAAATTTTTACACTGTCAAGTTTGTTTTTTTTCTTTGTCGTATTATTCTTTTTTTAAGTAACCCTTACTGCTTTTTATTTTTTTCAAAGCTTACTTTAAATCATATGTTCTTCAAAGTCTGTAAACATTACGTTTTCATACGAGCACACTCTTTGAATTTTAATTTCATATTTTGTATTTGCTTCGCCTCTATTTTTCGAACCTACTTTGCAATTTTGCTTTCATTTGTTTATTAGAGTATTTTCTGATGGATTGCTGTAGGAGTTCAATTTCAGATATCCTTTTCACACATTTTCTATTGACTATTTTGGCTCAGTTCTTTTAGTAATCGTTAGAGTCAAAGTGGAAATGTAGATGTTCCTTGGGTATCGTGAATTGGCCCGTGGTAGGTTCTGATGATACCCAACATCTTTACGTCTATGTAATGGTGAAACGAGAGAGGGAACCGCCGTTGGACGAAAACGACAACGATGTTGACGACTTTTTACTTTCAGAAGAATCTGATAGCGAAGAAGAATATGTGAGCAAAACCGAAAGGAAGCGTCTAGAACGAGCAGAAAATGCTATAGGTCTATCTCACTCGCACGACCCTAGACTGGAGGTGAATGAAAGCGTGACTTTGTCAGAGGATGAAGGAAGCAGTGCTGACGAGACAGAGTCGAAACTTATTCAAGAAGCCTTAGAGTCGAAAGGAGCGAATTTTTTTCGGATTGCTGATGACGTTCACGAGTATCACTCACGTGGTTTTATCTCGCAACGAGTTCGCTGCAGTAGATTGAGCCCAACGTGTATGGCCTTATCAAGTGATGAAAGAGTTGCTGTTGTAGGTTCAAAGGACCAGTCGGTCAATGTTTTCGATGTGGAGAAGAACAAAAGAGTGCACAGTTTCTTAGGTATTCGGTCTGGTGATAGTCCGGACGTTTCGAAAGGACACCATGGTCACGTGCTTTGTTGCTGCATAGGAGAGGATGGAAGGTTAGCTTTTTCCGGTGGTGCAGACAAATATATCAAAGTTTGGGATCTTCGAAGCAAGAGACACTTGGTAACTTCTATGAAAGGCCATCGGAATGCGGTTACTGGAGTTGTATATGCTCCAAACTCTTCAGATTTGTATTCTTGTTCTGCGGATAGGAGTGTGAAAGTTTGGAGTCTATCCAATTTTCTCTATGTGGACACTTTATTCGGTCATGAGGCATCAGTAGCCGGTATCAGTTCCGTAGCTTCTGGGTTGGCACTAACTGGTGGTAGTGATCGTACTCTTCGGCTTTGGAAAGTAAACGAAGATTCACAGCTTATATTTAGAGGTCATAATGCATCCATTGACTGTGTAACTTTTGTAACCAGTAGTCATTTTATTTCTGGCTCAGAAGATGGTTCTCTTGCTTTGTGGAGTCGTTTGAAAAGGAAACCGGTTTTATACATTCATGACGCTCATGATGAGAACAGAAGAAAGCGAGATGTACATCCCAATCCAATTTCTTCCTCACCTTTATGGGTTTCATCTGTTGCTTCCATTGTTCGTAGTGATTTGGTGGCTTCAGGTTCGGCTGATGGACGTATTATGCTTTGGAAGTGTACGGAAAACTTGCTGGAATTTGTAAATTATATAGATGCACCTGGATATGTGAATGGTTTGCAGTTTGGTTCTTCGAAGAGAGTATTGGCTTCCGTACAAGGTCAAGAACATCGATTGGGTCGTTGGCATCGGTTGACGGGAGCTAAAAACGTATTCACCATAACTCGCTTACCATACGAATAGAATTTTTTCAGCTATTATTACTACTCATTGTTGTGATGGATAGGAAATAAGTTTTCGAGGATGTATGGAAGAAAAACTTTATCAACAACAAAATATTGAGTCTATTATACTCTCGAGTGGCAACAACGAAGGGTTACTTTTGCGAACTCAAAGCTGCAAATCTTGCTTCCAAGTCATCAGGACGTTGAAGCTGTTTTTGTTTCTCTCCAGAAAGTTGATTGATCGGTATCAAACCATCCAACGTGTCAGCCAATTCTAAACCATTTTCGTCCGCAACCTTTTGTAACAATGCATCCACTTGGTCACTAGGCGTTGCTAATGCCGTAGTTTGTGAAATAGCTCCATCAACATATTGTGCTCGTAAATCGATATCTTCGAATTGACTCTCGAATTTGTCCATCACTTGTGATATTTTTTCGATGTTCATGGATTGAAGCGCCTTATCCAAACTCACAGTGATATCTCGGATACTGTTGGTAGTCGTCTGCATCTTATGATGAGCTTCCAACTTGGAAACCACCGCATCCACACGAGACTGTAGCCTTTGGAACAGTGAAAAGAAATATAGTATGAAAGGAATAGGCAATTCAACGTTACCTAAAATAGGCCAACGATTGTTTTTCATTTCTTATAGCGTTTTCCGCAAATATTCTGGCACCGTCATGGTTCCCTTTTTCCAAGGCCTTTTAGAAGATAATTTAAGTGCCCAAGAATAGACAACTTCCATCACTTGTCAACGATACCTCTTTGCACTTTCTTTTCTCCACTTGAATATTCTTTTGACACTTTTTTGCAGCTCTACCCAACTGTTTTTCCGCAAGTCGAAGTTCTAATATTTGGTCTAAAACAACTCAACTAGTTGGCAACTTGAAAGAAAACAACTCAAAGTTACCTTCTAGTTTGGAGCCAGCAAGTCCCATCTTGTTCTCCAAAATTTTCTTCCCTTTGGGGGGAAAACAAGGGAATGTCCCAATCAAGACCAAGTTTCTATTTTGTTTTGAACCAAAAAAATATTCTAACAAAGTTTATTTGAACATTTTGCAAACAAATCCAACACAACTTGGGTACCAAACAATAATCATGGGAAAATACCAGCATGTTTGTAGTCCTAAAAAGAAAAAGGGTAAGTATCGAAACACAAGGCAATAAGCAATGGACCGCTTACTCCCGTAATTTTATGTATTGCATCGTAATAGGCAGCCACTCGATGAGTAACATTCTTGATGAACAAGAATTAGTTCAAAAGATGAGTATGAAAGCATCCATCTTACTTTCTCCTTTGCAATATTAACCAACTCTTGTGCTGCAACTACCATTGTATCTTCTAAACCAGATTGTACCTGTTCAAAAAGGTTACAATTAGAATAGTATATGGAATTATCAACATACCAATAATTCTTCATCAGCTCCAACCACCAAAAGCTTCTTTTCTCCCTCTGTCAACACAATTCCATGTCTTTCTAGAACATCGCTAACAGTTCTCATTGAACTCTCTTCGAAACGACGAGTCATTCGTCCAAAACGCATTTTAGCCAAGTTCTTAATCCACCTAATCATGATACATGTGAATATCAGAATATGCACATTCACTACAATCTTACTCAAAGTAGGATACTGTGACACCACCAGCATTCAAAAGCAAGTCTAAAACACATGCATCAAAATTTTCATATAGTTGAGCATCTTTTTATTACCTGGAATGATCAAATGACCCCTGTTGGACAAGTATTCGTCAGCACCGGCAGTAACTGGACCATTTGCAGCTAAAGTCATCAAGTTCATAGACGTATATAAATAACACTAAAAGAGAGCAAAAACAATAACTACCTTCGGCAATTATCGGTGCTTTAATATTTTTCATATTGCTTTGATTGATAACCCCTTCGAGGGCAGCTGGGATTAGAATGTCGCAGTCAAGTTCGAGAAGCTCTGCAGGATTCGAAACAAAACGACCACCAGAGAAACCTTTGAATGTATCATGCTACCATAAACATGAGATATATTAGTATTCTATTAAATATGCAATTGAATATTGCTCACTTTGGAAAGATATTTCTTTAAATCTTCTGTGTTGATTCCCTCTTCATTCACGATGCCGCCATTGTATTCAGCAACACCGACAACCTTTGCTCCATACTTTCGCAAGAAATGACAAGCCCAATAACTATATGGCTTTGATATTATTCTCATCTTATCTTCAATCAGCAACAGCTTACCCAACATTTCCCAAACCTTGAACAATTACTCTCTTTCCTTCAACACCAGGTTTCAACTCAAGCTGATTCATAAGGGCTGAATTGGAAACAAACTCTCGAATACCAAAATAGACACCTAAACCAGTTGCCGATTCTCTGCCTCGAATACCTCCTTGTTGTACTGGCTTTCCTGTAGTACAACCAACACCATCGATATCTGCTGGACGCAAAGCCATATAAGTATCTTTGATCCAAGCCATTATCTAATAGAAACCAAAAGTCATGTATCGCATGTAAGACTAATTATAAGGATAACTTGCCTTTGCATTGGTACCATAATCAGGAGCTGGCACATCGGTTGCTGGGCCAATAGCGTTTCGCTTGATCAGTTCTGCAGTATAACGACGAGTAATTTTTTCCAGTTCGTAGTTGCCATATTTCTTTGAATCGATAACCACTCCTCCCTACAGAACTTTTTATAAACTTTATAGTTCATAAGGTTCAAGTTTGTACAAACCTTGGCTCCACCAAAGGGTACATCAACAACAGCACACTTAAAAGTCATCAATGCTGAAAGTGCCTTGACCTCATCTTCCGTCACATTGTCTGCAAATCGGATGCCTCCTATTGCGTTCACTATGAGTTGATTGCTTATTCTGAGAACAATACACCTTCACCTTTGGTAGGCAAACGATGTTCACTATGATGAGCACGGTAGGCACGGATCATTTCCACAGTTCCATCTCTCTTCTCGATGGGAAAGTTAACTTGTATGACGGATTTGCAAGTCTGCCCAATGATAAAGTCTTCCAACAAAAAGAAAGTCTCCTGTTTCATACCTTTATATAGTGCAGCATTTCTTTAGGAAAATCAGTCAGCTGAGCAGCTCGATCGTAAAAATAGGAAACACTTTGTAAAAAAGTCTTCCAAAAACCGTAACAACGACTTTCAACAAAGAAATCCAAAAGAGTACCTACCATTTCTTCCACTCCATTGGTTTCTTCCTTAGAGGGTTGTGTTGTGGAGGCAAAAGTTCTCTTTGAAAACGTAGTAGGCTTTGAAAACAATAATTGCCTCGCATAGGATACTATTTTCATCTTTATTCACCCAACTCTACAATATCAAATATTCTATTCTTGTCAAATTGCGTCGAGAATGCTTTTCCATGGGACGCCCTTTTCAAATAACGTGGACAAAATGAGAGAAGATTGGAGCCCTCCTTAACTCCTATTCATAACCAAATGGCTCTCTTCTCTTTATGAATTCTCAGCCTTTGTTGGTAATTCTTAAAGAAAGAAAAGCTATTGGGGGGATTTCCAAGAAAAGACTGTATAATTGTAAAGCTATTTCATGAAACTTTTTCAAAAGAGGATAGATAAATCAACTCGAAATCCACTTTACATCACTGTTATTATACCGTCTAAACACATATATGTGGATAAAGAATGATAGATGACAAGACAAACCAAATATTCTTTACAAGGTCAAAGAGCCAATAAAAACTTGTTCCAATACCCGACACATCTATAATAACCATGTTACATGTACTCTTGAATCCTCACATTCTAAAAGAAGATGGACTACTACTCGACTGTAGCAATGGAAATGTGTCTGCCTCATTCAATGAAGTAAAACCAGGTTTCCTTTGAAAATATTCCATCAATGCAGTCTCCAAATCTTCGGTACTTTCAATGTTGTCAACGTCCAATACATTTTCATCTTTACACAACCCATCATTATTATCAACATCGTTCGAACTTTCTACAAATCCTTCCCTTTCAAACCCCAAACCTTCCCAAGGTGTTTTGGCTCGATGTAACCTCCAAGAGGACTTGGCTATTACATTTTGCCAAAATGGAAGATTCGAATAGAGTTCGTGCACACTTGCACTATAAGGACAAATATTCTTGCCTGAGTCATCCCATGGTCTTGTAGAAGTATCTGTAGCTGCATTGTTGTTCGCTGCTTCACCTGATTGGTTTGGAAAACTCAAATAATCGCTGTACAAATCCGAATCAACGAGCTCAAAGGGATCTGCATCCGAAGGATTGCGTTCCGAGTACATATATGTTTGTTGAACGGAGTATGGACTCTGTGTATCCATATGACAACGGGCAAATTCTATACTATTCCTGGTCACAGAAACGTTGCTACTAGTAGAACTCACAGAACTATCCTGTTCCATCCTTATTGTGATCTTATTTGGATATTTATTCTTCCAACCTCGTTGTTCGCTGTTCCTTTTTGACCGGACTCGAAAACCTGGACCACCTGTTCTTCTTGCCAATTCCAATCTTCTTTCATATTTTTGACTAGAAAAGAGTTTCAGAATCAACCTGGTCGTGCTTAAAACTTTCAAACGTACGTATGAGTTCTTACTTGGGTCACCGTTCTAGTACCGACATATTCTGCAATGGACTTTGTATCCTTTCTGCCATATATCCTTCTAGCTTCCAAGAATCTTTCATGTTCTTCTACAGTCCAATATCTACTCATACGAAGTGTCTTTCACCAAAAGTTCCACAAGCCGCCAAATGGAAAAGTAAGTAGGTTGCCAAACGGAAAGAAACAATGGCTTCGATCCATGGCCAATCTGATTCCTTTGATTTCATTTTGAGGATTCCAATAGAATGGATGCGTGCCATTCACAAGTGATTTACTCAAAAGATGCAACAGACGCCGATCTGATTACAAGTGGGGGCTGATGTCATTTGTTCATGTGAGACAGTAGAACGTGGCGCGTGTCTTATTGGGGTGGTTTCTTTTACACAAAAGAGAACATTCTGGACTATGATGTGTGTGTGTGTGTGTGTGAGAGAGAGAGAGAGAGAACTTTTTGTCAAGGTGGTGAGTTGGATACAAGACAATAGTTCCTCCAGGCAAATTGTTATGTCAAATAAAGAAAGGGAGAGAGAGTTGATAGTTTGGGGTTGAAACTGTTTCTTCGTTGTTGAATATTGGCTAAAGAATGGTTTTCTGTAGTCACTTATATGGTTACAATCTTTTGGTTTGAAATAATAATAATTATAGGAACCACTAAAGTTAAACATTCACTCTTTTTCTTTTATACATAGAGGGGAGTGTCTGACACCCTGACTGTTTAGTGTCTATATTCACTCGGAATATTGTGTGCAAAGAAATGAATACCACAAAAAAGTTTCATGTTCATTGTTCTTAGAGCTCTGTATTAGCTTTTCTCCAGTGGATCTGAAGATCCAAATGTCCTTTTCCATGTTGAGAGGAGGATGTGATGTGCTGTCTTCATCAATTTCATTTTTCTTATCAGTCACGTATTGTTGAATGTATTCCAACTATCAAGCCTACCCTGCTTTTGAACCAAGTGCTCCCGCCGAAAGTTTCTCAGATACTTACTACTCAAACCAATCAGGTCTTAACCAACAGAACCTAGGGAGGAACAGTCTTCGTTTAAAAATTCCACAGAATACTACTTCAGTGGTTGAAAAACCCAACCCTTTGAACCAAAACGTCACAGTACGCAGTCCTGTAGTAGGACAAAGTTTTCCTAACGATTATACAAGTGTACAAAACAATGAGGAAAATGGTAGAACGAAAGAATTGGTTCGATGGAAGGACGAAGTTTTTTCTAGTTTATTTGTAACCCTGACGGTTGGTACTTGGTTGAGCTTCTTGGTTTACAATAACTCTGTTGTAGTTTCTTTGTACTTGTGTACTGGTTTGGAGTGCTTGGTATGAACCGAAAGAGCGATATTGCTTGTCGAAAACTAACAAGTGATTTTTCCAGGTGGACAGCCACTGCTTTGGGAGAACAGCCAAGCATTTGTTCAGTGAAGACAGGAATACAAGTTCCTTCATCTGTATCTTTTCCCCCAGCTTTTCAGTTCCAATTTCAGCAAGTTCCTATTCATTATACCAAAGGAGGTTGGCCTGTTAAGAACAGTGGGTTAAGATTAACAGTTGGTAGTTTGGGAATAGTTGCTGCTTTTGTTTGGGCGGGAGGAGTCGGTCGTTTAAACAAAAAGCGTACGAGACAAATCTATCTGCCTGTTTTTGCTGCTCTATTGGCTCTCTCAGTGGCTTGTGTTGTAAATGACGCAAATAGTTTGTTATCTGTGAATGCCAATCAGTGTCCTTCTACAGGAGAATTATATTCTGTGTTGAGTTCCTTTCAAGGCTATAATTGTACTTGTCACACCGGAGCCATTTTTTGGGCTACTTTAGGTGCGTATTTCATACAATCAAAGACTGTATCATTGATTCCGTAGGTTTGGACTGTGCTATATCCTTATTTTCCATTTTATGTGGAGTTGCTCTGTAGAATTTCATTCACATTGTTCATAGTGTGGTTTTGGATTATTGAATAAAGCATTTGTGTTGAAACGACCATTGATGGAAAAGACGACTGTTCAACAAGCAACTGGTTCCGTTGTAGTTGCAGCCATACAGTTTTCATGTTCGAATAATACGAAAGAGAACATTGCGAAAGCCAAGCGTTTCATCCGTATGTTGTTGATAGACATTTCTTAACGCAGTGTTTACGGCCGAATCTTGTTGTAGGAGAAGCTGCAAGTGCTGGTGCTAACATTATATTATTACAAGAACTTTTTTCAACGCTATACTTTTGTCAAGAACCTTGTGAAGTATGTACAAATGCGTTGTCAAGTTGTTGTGTTGAACTTTTACAGGAATATTTTTCGTTGGCAGTTTCTCTCAACCAAGTAGACGATTCTTTTCTTTCTGAGTTTCAGTCACTAGCTAAAGAGTTGGTAAGTTGAGTTGCGATCAGTCATATCACTCTCCGTATTCATTGTGAATACCTCAGAGAGTAGTACTTCCTGTTAGTTTTTTTGAACGCTGCAAGTGAGTTTGGTCTCATAGTTTTTATTATTATTGACCCAGCAGTGTGTATAGTCAAGTATTTTATAATTCGGTGATAATTTTTGATGCGGATGGTTCGTGTCTTGGTGTATACCGCAAGTCGCATATTCCTGAAAGTAAGAGTATTGTTCTTTTATGTGATAGATTCTTCTATAGAAAGGGATAGGTCCTGGCTATTATGAAAAGTTTTTCTTTTCACCTGGTGATACAGGATTTCGTTGTTTTTCAACTCTCTATGGTGTTATAGGAGTTGGTATTTGTTGGGATCAGGTTGAATGGTGCTTTGAGTAGTATTATGATCGTTGTAAACTTTTCTTCTAGTGGTTTCCTGAATGTGCTCGAATTATGGCATTGCTTGGAGCAGATATTTTATTCTATCCGACGGTTGGTATTGTGAATATTGTTGATATGAAGAAGAGTTGATATCCTATCAAGGCTATTGGTTCGGAACCACAAGATAGCCGATTGGACTCGCGTGGTCATTGGCAACGAACTATGCAAGGTCATGCTGCAGCCAATATGATACCTTTGGTAGCTTCCAATCGAGTAGGCGTGGAGTATACTCAATATACCGATCATCGTTCACATATCACATTTTATGGTTCCAGTTTGATTGTCGATGCAACTGGAGAGATCAAGATACAAGCAGACTCATCGAGGTAAATTGTAGATAGACTCTCGCTAAATGTGGATGATGAATATATATATTTATTGTGCGTGGATGAATAGTGAAACTTTTATTTGTTATGCATTTGATTTAGCTGCTATTCGTAAGCAGAGAGCCGCGTGGGGTTTATTCCGTGATAGAAGACCCGATTTGTATGCCTTGTTAGGAACGCGCGATGGACAGAATATATAAAAAGAAGCGATTTTTCGTTGTTGCCCATCAACACAAAATGTCATGGAAGGAAAAACGACAAAGTGCTATTCACCAGTTGCTCACTTATTTGGACAAGTTACAATATTCTGTATACAATGCGGCTGTACTGTGTACACGAAACGACGCACTAGCTGACCGTTCTACTAGCCAAATGGAACGTCAGTTGTTGTCTTTAAGGGAAGAAAAGGATGGCTTGGAAAAGCAACACTATCAAGTGCAAGCAGAACAATTGGAAAACGAAGCACAATGGACTGAAAATTGGAATAAAATAGAAACCTTGGAAAGAGAATTGAAGGAAAAGACCTCGGAAAATAGGCAACTTGAAGTAAGTGCACTGTTGATGACTTAGAGGATAACCAAGGAATAAAGACAGCGAAATAGAACACATTGCATAGTCAACAACAAGAATGGAATCGACTGCAACAAGAAATGAAGGAAAAGGAGCAAGAAAACAAGGAATTGCAGGAATCAGTAAGGAGTTTGGTGGAACAAGTAGGTTGAGTGTTTCAAGAAGCGTCGTTATAAACTCAATGTGGAATAGGTAAACCAACTAAGTAGTTGGAAGGTACAGTCACGTACTGAATTTCATAATACACTATGGGGAAATAAGAGACTTGCCGAGGAGTTGAAGGAAGCAAACAATGTGATTGAGAGACAGGAAAGAGAAAAGGAACAACTTGTACAAGATAAGGCTACACTTGTGGAAAAACTAAGTCAATTGGAAACAAAGTGGCAACTTCAAACAAAAGAATGGAAAGGGAAAGAAAAGCAACTAGAGGAAGAATTGGAAAGAGTGAGAATGATGGAACAAGAAGTATCACATAAGCTACAAGAAAAACAAGAACACATAAGTCATCTTGATCGAAAACTAGAAGAAGCCAATCAACATATCCAAAATATGAAAGAGAAAACTAAACGAGAGAAGGAAGAATGGCAACGTCTATATCAGTCATTTTTTGAAGAATCGAAGGAGACTAAACTCTATCATACTATTTCAGAAGAAGATAAAAGGAGTTATGAGAAGGATTCCTCCGATAGAAGAGTTTCTTTGAAGAGGCCAAGATATACAGAAGAAGAAGAAGAAGAAGAAATAGAAGACGAGGAGACTGATTTAGCAGATCTCCACACGCAGGATCTGTTACAAAGTATACTACATGAGTTGGAAGAACAAGCACCTCAACTGGAGGTTCAAAGGAAAGAATTAGAACGTGCAGTACAAAGTGAAAGACAATTGGTTATGCAACTGGAAAGGTCCCGAATAGAAATGGATAAACTTCGGACCAACAACAAGTATTTGGAAGAACAGCGGAGCATTTTGGAATCCCAAGTAGAAGAGTTGAAACAAAAGAAACAGAGTTTAGAGAGGAGAATGTTGCTTGCACTGCGAGAGAAAGATATGAATAGCGAAAATATTTTGGACACCCATTTCCAAGGTCTCGTTCAAAGGTTGGAGTGGTTGGCAGAGGAGACGGAAGACAAATCTCGCTTTGTCCGCTCTTCGACGCCATCCACAGTGTCAAGAAGTCTCTTTCAAACGAATAGTGTTGTGAAGAGTCGTGAAAAGCCATCTTCTTCCTTCAAGTCGTTGGCACAAGAAGTGAAAGAGTTACTTCGCAGACAAGAGACACTTATTACAACACTTATTCAGCAAAAGGATCTTTACAGAAGCCTGGTAGAAGAGGAAATTTTGAAACCAAAAAGTGGCTGTTGAGGAGTAAGCCGTTACCCTTCATACTGTGAAACAAAGAGTTGGTGATCAAATTATCCACCACTAACAGGAACTATAATAGCAATTTCGTCACCTTGTTGTAATAAATGATGACTATCCTTGTCAATATATTCACAGTTCAAAGCAATTTGTGAAAATTGAAGAAACTGAGTTAAGGTTGGATATTCTTTTGGAAGTATCTGGTTGATCAATTCTTCCTGCAAAGTTTCAGTGCCTTGTATACAACAGATGGAGTACTCACAATACAAGTAGACTTGGAAACCGTAAGTTGTATTCTTGACCTTTTGACTGCTTCCTTTGCAGAGGCAAATAATAAAATGGTCACTTGGCAAGTAGACATGACAATCAACAATCACTTGTGGGAAGAATGGACAACCACCATTCTTAACAACTTTTATTATGCCAATGTCGAAACTATCTTTTCTGAAATCTTGTCTTCTTTTGGTTCATAAATTTGAACGTTATCAGGTAAAGGCTTTGAGGGACCTTTCTTTCCTTCAGGATCATATGGCAACATGATGGTTACTTTGATGCCCAAAACTCCTTGACGCATAAGTACGTGACGCACTGCAGTGTCGACATAATCTTTCACTGGCTGTCCCGAGTGTACCATATATCCATCAGTAAACTTCATTGTTTTGGCTCTCTGTGCTCTTAATAAACCACTCACAGTCACCACGCAACCTTTTGCACCACTTTCCATAACAAACCGTAGAACACCATAACACGCTCTACGAACTGCCAAACCACCCAACAACTTGTAACGTAGACTTTCTGCTTGTGCAATGGCACATAAACCTCTATCCGCAACCTACATGGACTTTAGGACTCAAAAAGGCTGTGATTGCTATTCTCATTTACCTTTTCTGCATAAAGCTCCACAGTTCCTTCAGGAAAACGAAAACGCTTTTGAACCAACGCAGTTAGTTCCCTAATTCTTCGACCTTTCTCACCCAACACATTTTGAGTTCGGGTAGCTCTAATCACGATTTCCGTTCTCAACGGCGTGGGTTTCACTTCCACACCAGAATATCCTTCTTCCGACAGTTCTCGCATCAGAAACTCATTCAATTCTGCTTTAAATACACCATCAGCTACTGCTCTTCTCTTTTTGGACATCAACGTTGCCATAATACAGTTGTATAGATCGTATGCTCAAACGGTGACGACGGACAATCCAAAGAAAATGGTTCACCAATGAATCAATTAGGAATACTCCAGATTTGATAAATTGGTTTGTTGGAAGTTATTCTTATGCAAGTGGACGACTGGATTGTAGGTTTAGAGGTTGAAATATTTACTTTTGACGGAAAAGAATATCGAGGTTTGTATTAGGGGAACTTTTTGGAAGCACCCAACTGACTCGTGGTTATAGGAATAGTGTATACATACGACGCGGATGCCAACTGTGTCGTGCTTGCTAGAAAGTCCCAGGATTCGTTAAAGAGTGATCTTCGTATTTTGAAAGCATCGCTAGTAAAAAATATTAACGTTCTGGGTAGAAGTGTAAGTATGATTACGGGATAGAACTCAAGATGGATGACGAATGTTGGAAGAATGTGGATCAACTACCCCAACAACTTTCACCTTTAAACCTGGAAGCTTTGAAAATGCGTGAAGAACAAGCGTTGCAAAAGGCACGCAAAGACCTTGCCCGTACTGGTGTTGGAGTTTCTCAACAAGCGCAAGAAATTTTTGACGCGCTCTGTAAAACGTATGTAACAAAAGTTGTTGAAAAAAGCAGTTGGTGTGATGAGTTATATTATATAGGCTTCCTTGTCAGTGGGAAGAAGATAGTATCGTAATTTTCGAAAATATCAAACTGAAAAAACCATATAGAGTGGAAGATTTAGAGTACGCATTGTGGAAACAGTAGAATAGAAACTCAAGTCATTTAGGGGTAGTGAAATAGAAGCAGTGAACCGCGTAAAGGTCGTTTTGGAAAATGAACTGCAAAAGTTGCAACGAAGGAATACTTAGGTCTTAGTAACTGTGACAGTCTTGTACAGAACCATTCTTACGGAGAGTTGGTGTTGGGAGTTAGCCGAGTCACCATCTGAAGGTCTGACGATAGTTATCGATTCTGTGCTTTCAGTCAGTGTCTGATGAATTACGTAAATGTAACTATCTTCAGATGTAAAAAGGAATAAAATTGCTTTATTTGCATAAACTGTCCACCAAAACTCACAACGGCCAAAGCTGAGAATTGACAAGTTTCTTATGAAAAGCGGTGTTGAAAAACACCGACTGAAGTCAGCTTCTACTGCATATCTTCCTTTGCTTTCTTCTTAGGAAGCAAGTTGGGGTGAACGTTAGGAAGAACTCCACCCGATGCTATGGTAACACCGCCCAGTAGTTTATTCAGTTCTTCGTCGTTACGAACAGCTAACTGAATATGACGTGGTACTATACGAGTTTTCTTGTTATCTCGGGCTGCATTTCCTGCAAGTTCCAATACTTCTGCAGTCAAATATTCCAAAACAGCCGCTAGATATACGGGAGCTCCAGCTCCCACTCTTTCTGCATAGTTGCCATTCTTTAAAAACCTACTCACACGTCCAACGGGAAACTGAAGACCAGCTTTAGACGAACGGCTTTTGGGTTTACTACGTTCCTTGGGTGCCATAACGATTAGAAACAACGACAATCACAAAAACTAAAAATGAAGTAATGACCTTCCCTCTAAAAGTGCCCTGTCCTTTTAGAGAAAGGGAATGGTATAGTTATGGCGGGCCTTAAGTGATGAAGATCATTCATTTGCGGTTAACTCCCTATCGATTCATCTGCCAATAAGAATTCAGCATGAATGGATTGGGAACCATGAAGATTGCCATTGGATTCCCATTTCTCTTCTTGTCTAGTAAAACTATCTGTGGATTGGTGTGAATCATGGCACCCAAGGGATCCAAAAGTGTTCCTGTTGCAGGAAAAAAGCCTATTGGTAAAGCAGAAAAGAGAAAGAGCAAGAAGAAGCGAGCAGAATCATACAGCATTTATATCTACAAAGTTTTGAAGCAGGTACACCCTGACACTGGTATATCCTCCAAAGCAATGAGCATCATGAACTCCTTTGTCAATGATATATTTGAGAGAATTGCTTCCGAGTCCAGCAAGTTGGCTGCCTATTCAAAGACAAAGACGTTAACTTCGAGAGAAATTCAAACTGCTGTACGTCTTTTGTTACCTGGAGAACTAGCCAAACATGCTGTGTCGGAAGGGACCAAGGCAGTTACAAAGTATACTTCCACGTGAACAGTACAAGAAAGTTTATTGGATTTATCAATTATTGTTGATACAAAAGTAAAGCTGTTGATGTCCGTTTGATACCTGAATACGTCTGTAACGTTTGTCCTTAGCGCACAGGTCTCGAATAGAAAAGAGAGTTTGTCAATTTATTTGCAAACCGTTCATCAAGTAACAAAGACTAATAACGAAGAGGGATTCTAAGAAACAATAACTAACAAGTTTCCGTGATAAGTGGTGTTGAAAAACACCCAGTTGGCGATTCACTACCTTAACCACCAAAACCGTATAGTGTACGACCTTGGCGCTTCAAGGCATAGACAACATCCATAGCAGTGACTGTCTTTCTACGGGCATGCTCGGTATAAGTAACTGCGTCACGAATGACACTTTCCAAGAAAACTCTCAACACATTCCTCGTCTCTTCATAAATGAGGCCCGAAATACGCTTTACACCACCACGTCGTGCCAGACGTCTTATAGCAGGCTTTGTAATACCTTGAATGTTATCACGAAGAACTTTACGATGACGTTTGGCTCCTCCTTTTCCAAGACCTTTACCACCTTTTCCTCTTCCTGTCATTTTCAGCCACTGCACACACACCCAAAGAAATTCAATAGATTCACAAAATACTTTTGGGTCCGAGTCAATTATAAAACCTTTGGCCTAAAAAGGCGGGCTGTCCTGGCGGGTTGTATAAGATGGATAAAGATAGAATGGATTGGGTTCCTTTCAATCTGATGGTATGATATATCTTTCATCATGTGAGAATCAAATCTGTCTTTCAACTATACGTAGGTAAAGGATAATCTTTTGATTATCCATGCCATGCATGATGTGTGCATAACATCGCCATTTCAAGTTTAATGGTTAGTTTGGCCGCATTACGTCAAAGTTTTCGTCGCTTAAAACTCAACGAGACACAAATTGGACAATGTTTCAGGCTCTTACATGAAAACTCCAAGTAGGAAGAGTTCTTTTGTTTGTGGAGACTGGATCTAATTCTGAAAAAGGTCAAATAGCGGCTTGGCAACACCGAATAAAAGGCATATGTTCTCTAACTTCGAGGAAAGTTCTTCTGAAAAGTTTAACCAACAAAAGCAAACTAATGGTTTGTGTATTTCTGTTATCTTTGTTTATTTTTGGTGTTACTCATCCGTATTCAAGAGCGACGACCGTTTACTTGGAGAGAGTACCTCATGTTAACGACTTCCATCGTTGGTTTATGTACAACTTGTTACTATCGTTTTGACTCTACGAAGATATTTGAGGATATTGAAACGTTACTCGATAAGGTTTCCTTTCAGTTCAAGTAAGGTGAATGGTTTTTTTAGTTGATGTCCTTCAACCTTTTTTTGTCTAGTCAAAAAGTGATCTCTTCTCTGAGAAGAAAGTTTCTACCAGATCCTACACAGTTGGCTCCGGATGGCTTACCTCGCCGAACACTGGTGCTTGACCTTGATGAAACTTTGGTTTATTCACAGTGGAAAGCTTCAGAGGGTTGGAAGACTCTAGTGCGCCCAGGTATGAAAAGAGAAAAATATCTTTCATCTATTATCAACGTTGGAATGCAGGAGTAGAAACTTTCTTGGAGCAGATGAGTCATTTGTATGAGATTGTCTTATTCACTTCGTCACTACCTGAACATGTCGATCCTATCGTTCGACAAATAGATAGTGGAGGGTATATTTCTCATGTACTTTATCGAGACTGTATCAAACGTGAATATGGCTATAGTATCAAAGATTTATCTCGACTGAATCGTGATTTGAAACGGACTATTATTGTAGATAATGAGCCTCAGTGTTTTAAATATCAACCTTTGAATGGGATTGCGGTTCCTTCCTGGAAAGGAAACGAAGATGATCGATGTCTATTTGAACTCACTTCTCTTTTGGAGTATATTGTGCGTCAAGATGTTCCAGATGTTCGAGATGTGATAGAAAAGTATTGGCGAGGTGAATTGGCTCTTTCATCAACTGAATTCGTAAGATGAAGTTTTATACAACTATGATGGAGGAGGAGAGTAGAATGCATTGATTGGTTGTGGAATTCTTTGTTTCTTTGAATAGTTTTGATTTAGATTTTATGGTTTTTATTCTTATCATAAATATAACTTGGCCTTTCTTTTAGGGATGTGATTTTTGAATGGCGTGCGCATTCTTCTTATGAATCAAACCGACACTGTAAGGACAAAAAGGGATCAACCTTGGAAGATCACTATTCATATTTAGGACTTTATTATGGTCAAATTGTTTTCGTCGCAAGGAGTTTGCCTTCATAGCGCACCCAAAATAGAAGAAAGCGATAACTTGTTTGGTTTGGTGCATGTTTTTCAACAATTTTCAAGAGAAGTCAACGGAGGAGGTTAGAGAAGTACTTATTATTTTCTTTTTATAGAAATTAGTTTGCAAAACTATTTCAGAACTACATAGATTAGTGTTTCAAGCTCCTGTCAACTTTCAAAACACTTTTACCACGAGTTTGAGTGGTAGACTGGTTAGTATTACAAAGTTGCTTAGTATAAAAGTCCAACTTTTTTTTAATAGTACGATTGGAAAGAACACGAAAAGGAAGCTATTCAAGTTGTGCTCGATAATACAAGCCCTATATGTATTATAGTAAAAGCCAGTTTGTCGCTATCGGTAAAACAAGTATTGTGACAAAAGGTTGCCGATGAACGAAAGTATTTTCGTAGGTGGACAAGTTGAACCGTTTGATGGACGATATTAAACAATGTATTCGAAAACACCACAAGCAGACGATGCTTGAAAAGTAAGTTGAGCTGTTATATATTCCTTTACACTTTATAGTGAATAGTTGAAGGAATAATACTTTTCTCGAAGAGGTAAGCCACTCCAAGTTTTCACTCAAGATTGCCAACGTAGATGATACTTAGAATATCTCCCATTTACCCGATCAAGTTAAACAGATGGTGACTGAACTGACCACAAAAGTGATGTCGCAGAGTGTTCAATCGGTCTTGGAGAGTTCTTAAGCGAAAGTTTTCCAATACCTGTGTAAAGTTTGTATTATTTCGCGATCTTTTTCAGTTCTTTATATTCTCGTCTAGTTGCCTCTTGTAACATTTCGCAGTCTACGTCAATAGCGTACACTTGAATATACCTAATTACACTGCCTCTGATAAAAGAATTCTTCAAAGTCATCTATAAAGAACTTTCCGTTACCCTCAAAAAGTAAACCCAAAAAGAAACCTACCAACTGCGGACAAGTTTCGACGTTGAGTATTTCAATATCTTCCAACTTTATATTCAGATACTGATCGACCGAGTGTACCTTGCCTCGAATAATTACGTCATTTTTGAGTTCTACAGTCACTGTTTTGCCGATAAAGGTTTTGAAAAACGAGAAGAATAGCATCGAGTCTTCAAAACAACTGCTGTTTCTTCCTTCTCCTAAGAATGGCCGTCCCTCTTTTTGGAAATGATAAAAGTAATTTCGTGGCTCAAGTATTTCACTAGACATTGTCGAACTTTCTTTCCAATGACTCGGGCAACATTTTTGTGAATAAAAATTGTTTTTGATATTTTATATAGACAAATTTACGCTTTCGATCACTTTTGCAAAGTGCTTCCCCAAGCATCGTTATGTTTGAATGAGAAAACTGGAATATATCGCTCTTTTTGTAGAGCGGTATTTGGAGATGAACTTGGTTATTTGTAAAGATTATACAATAGGAGAAATTTGGCATTTACTATTTACAACTTTAGTTTCCATAAACAGTACATTTGGTGTCAATGAAGCGAACGATTTCCTTATTATCCAATACTTTCTCAACAACTTACAGCCAGTTCTATTGGAAACCAATTGCTCGTCCAATAGATTTTAAGTTGCAAGGTAGCACTGGTTGTCAGCAAAAGGAATCACGATGAGAATATGGATCCTTTTTACAAAACACTTGGTGACATAACCTACGTCGATGTAAATCGTTGCTATGAAATTGTATAGATACGAGTGAAGAGACAAGTTCTTCTTGGCGAGTTGCTAATTCTATGCTTTTCCTCTATCAAGAGCTGCTTATAAAGGTCTCTTCTCTTTCGACAAATATATTTGTAATTTACCAGGAAACTTACTCCTTTGCTCAAAACCTGGTTTTAGACTTATAGCAGGAGCATCTATGAAAGAACCTTATCGTTATTTTGTTATTTTTGAAGATTCGTTGAGTTTTTTGTATATGTCGGCTTTTTAAAAATAATAATACTCGCCACGTGTGAAAGAATATTTTTAAACTAAACAAAGTTTCGTGCACAGAGATAGGAGAGTAGCTGTTAAAAAAGAGTTGAAGACTATACTCAGTTAAGTGTTGCTTCACAGAGTCATTGGATGATAAACAATTCAAACATAGCTTGAATGTGACAACCAGAAGTTAGAACGTTTATTAAAAAAATATCTCGTTGATTTTTCTGAATGAAGGTTTTTCTACTAAAGAGCGGCGAGAGAAAAGTAATATAACAACCCATGTGTAGAGAGCCCAAATAAGGAAAAGATGAAATGGAAAAACACAACTCAGCAAGAAAACGCCCATTGGATACGATACGCAGGACGCTTGAATAAGAATAAATGATGGCCCAATCGTATTTATCTTGTCGATTGGAAGGATGCGCACCTCTGCGTCTATAAAAGGCTCGGCATTTTTGAAGTGTCTTATACAATTCATTTTGTTACATTTGACATAGCTTTGAAAAATGTTGCTGAGTAATAACAAATCTGCCATTTTTCTATCTCTTCTTTTCATAGCATATTGCTGTAGCTATGCTGTCTCTCTTCCTACTCCTACAGCAGCTATTCTTCCACAAGGAGAACCTAACCAAGAGGCAGCTATGCCTATATTGGACAGTTCAACATCTGCACCAAATCATCCAAAGCCAGCAAAGAAAGGTGATCTGTCTAAGGAGGATAGATTAAAGAAACTGGATGAGAAACTAGGACATGTTCTCGAAAGTCATAAGAAGAACCCGCCTAACAAGAGTAAACCTCATTTAGCTGGAGAAACTGCATTTTCTCAAACTTGGAACTTTGTGAACTCTTCTACAGCATCCCGTCTGGGTATTGCCAGATATTCTTCTTGTTCTTATCCATCCACCGTATGGTATTCAGAAAGTGGTCTTATTTATTCCATTATTGATAAAGCAGTTCGACTTGTTCTCGATGACTTTGATATACCCAGCAACTTTGTAAAAGATGCCGAGGATTTTCTCAACTGGGTAGTCTCCCAATTTCTTGACTTTTGCAATAGCCCTTATTCATTTTGCCTAGCTTCATCTGGCGATAATTCCTATTACTTGGAAGGCATTTCAACGAGTGGTTATTCTTCCTGCTATTATTTATCCTATTTTGATCTTGTGATATGCCCTGCAGTTTCTTGGACTTGGGATACATGGTATCAAGATTGGGAATGTACCTTTGAGAACCAGTTCTGTGTTGGTTACCTTGACTTGGGTGTTCGAGTATTTGACTTGGAATGGGGAGCTGGTGGTGTTATTCAAGCGCATATTGGTGAAAGTGTAGCTACTGCAGCAGAAGGAAGTGTTTTAGTGAAGAGCTTTTGTGCCAATGCATTTTATGAGTAATATGAGTTATATTGAAAAGTAAAAAAAATGTGGTTGTGGTTTGTGTTGCACCATTTAACATGATTTATATTTCATTCATTTGACAGTATATAATAACCAAAAAAACAAACAACGAAATATCATACTACTTATGTGTAGACCACCAACGCATTGAGTATTTCTCGTGTTTTGCATTGGTTGGTTGGCTTCTCTCCAATTATATGGCAAGTGCTACATCGTATGAAGGAGACAGCGAAAATATAACCGAGACCAATATGGAAGAAAATGAAGACAGGAACAACCGTGAAGTGGATGAAAGTGAAAGCATGGAAGATGATTCGGAAACTTCAGCTTTGCACTGGAGCGAATCGGAGTACTCTCAAGGAAACTCTCAACCCTTGAACAACGTGGGACAAACAAGATCCTGGGAAGGTTTCGAGTCCCAAGAAGAGAGAACGAAGCAAGTTGAAGTTATAGGTAAAAAGTTGGTCAAAGAAAATAGGCAAATTTATTTAGCCAAACTTCCTTCAACCGTTGGAGTGGAACCCTTTGCTTTTCAGGAATGGAAAGAAAAGAGTAGGGAACAGAATGAATCGGATTCTGGTAGAGCAGCTTTAGTAAAGATAAGGTACCGAAAGGTAGGAAATGACTGGGAGTCAAACACAAGACTGGTGAAATGGGAAGATGGCTCGTCTTCGTTATTTATTGGAAACGAATGTTTTGATGTTATTGAGCAAGATATTAGTGAAGAAAGCCAATTGTTTTTATTTCGTAGACAACCCACTGCTCAAGCAGCAGAATGTCGTATTTCTCGCAAGTTGAAAATACAACCTGCAAGTATTTCATCAGGAATACAACGCAAGTTGGGCACATATGAAAAATTTGCAAAGGAAAGAAAAGTAAAAATGGCAGAGATGGATAGAGCTCCTGAATTGGAAGAACAGAAGTTGGCACAGTTAGAACACGAAAGAGCACGAGCACAAGCCCGTTTGGAAGCTAAGAGAAGACGAAAAGAGCAACTTGTCATGGAAAATTGGAGAAGCTCTGGTGTCTCAACTGAATTTTTAGATAATGACTATTCTTCCAACGAAGAGTTTAGTGATGAAGAAGATCCTTCATTTAGTATAGCCAATGTGAAAAGTCGAATAAGTGGAAACAGAAAAAGTAACGACATGACTTTGGAAGAGACTGGTCAAGAAGAGGAGGATGCGAGTCTTTCATCAAAGGCACAAATGGAACGAGAAAATCCTTCTCGCTTGGACAAATTCAAGGATTCCGATACCCCTATAGGAACTTATCGGGAACCTTTGCGTTCCCAAGTCTCAGAGCAAAGTTCGGAGTCGGTTCCTTTATTAGATATGGAGCGTCGTCATCATAAAGTTTTTATGTTATCCGAAGAGTCTTCAGAAGACGAGAAAAATGACGAACCGATTCATTCTAAGGAAGATGTTGAAGAAGTGGATACAAGAAATAATTTGGAAGAACAGGAAGATAATGACGATGACCAAAAGTTTATTTACAGCAACGAATAATAGCCGATTGCACGAACTGCAGAATACTAGGGCTTTTTAATATTTGAACTTGCACTTGTCGAAAACCTCTACTTTTCAATAACCATTCCAATTCTTTCTTTGTAAAAAATCGATAAGCATTCCAACGAGAAATGAGAGGTGAGTAGTTGGAAATAAATGTAGTCGCAAATACGAGAGCATCAGGCTTTAGGATTCTATACATTTCGGCTAAACCATCTTGCACTTTTGGCCAACAGTGTAAAGCAGCTCCACAGTAAATTAAGTCTACCACATTGTCTCTCAAAGGAAGACTATCCACATTGGCTCTAATCAAAGTAAAAGGATCGCAGCCCTCCTCAAGTAACATGCGGCGATAGGCTTCCTTCAACATACTTTCTGATAAGTCTATTCCAACAATACGCGAATATTTTCTCGTTTTGGCAAGTCTTCTTGTAACATAACCTGTACCACAAGACAAATCCACCAAAACTTCGGGTTCCTTAGGATAAGTTTGGAAGTATTCAGTAACCAACCTGACTTCTTCCTTGAGAGGATATCCCATAGTCTGAAAGTTGTTTCTCCAACCCCGCTCATATAAAAAAGACGTCACTGGGTTACGAAACAATTCTTGTTGAATGGGTCGATAACTACTTAACTTGTCCAAACATAAATTGAAGTAACCTGCATAGGGGTCTTGAAAGAATGTTCGGTAACAATTCAAACATATAAAACTTCTATTGTTTCGAGAAACAAGACTATTTCTACAGTTCGGACAAGCAAGAAGATCAGCAAGTCTCTCTAGCGCCTCAGTATCATTAGTAATATCCATGACCCTTTGCGCAACTGGACTAGTCCTTTTGTCCGCAACTATCAGGGCAAAGGACCATTTCCTGTTCCACGTTTGGATAATACTTTTGCGACAAAGCTTATGGAATAAACTTTTATGTTGAGCACACTTGGAAACTGGAAACCCAAAAGCAATGAAACGATCCTTCATTTAGGTGATTGAGCAATCGGCCGCTTACGATGAGCGACGACACGCTTTTAGAGAAAGCTTTTGGAGGAACTGGAAGTAGTGAGTTGACTGAAAGTGATCGTGCAGTTGCAATATGGAAAATGAAAAAACTTATAAAAGGCTTGGAAGAAGCAAGAGGTAACGGTACTTCCATGATTTCTTTAATCATACCTCCCAAGGACCAACTTTCTCGAATAACAAGAATGCTTGCTGAAGAGTATGGAACAGCCTCCAATATTAAATCTCGAGTGAATAGACTTTCTGTTTTGTCAGCAATAACTTCCACACAACAACGACTCAAACTGTACAATAGAGTTCCACCCAACGGTCTTGTAGTATATTGTGGAACTGTGGTGACGGAAGATAATAAGGAGAAGAAGGTGAATATTAGTTTTGAACCGTTTAAGCCTATAAATACCTCCTTATATCTTTGCGACAATAAGTTCCATACTGAAGCCCTTTCAAGTCTGATGGAGTCGGAAGAGCGTTTTGGTTTCATCATCATCGATGGTGGTGGCGCACTTTTTGGAGTTGTCAGTGGAAGTACGAGAGAAATTTTGCACAAGTTTACTATCGAGTTGCCAAAGAAACACGGTAGAGGTGGTCAGTCTGCTTTACGTTTTGCTAGACTTCGTTTGGAGAAGCGAAGAAATTTTTTGAGAAGATCTGCGGAAACCGCAGCTCAGTTGTTTATTCCAGATGGCCAAAGAGTGAATGTCACTGGTTTGGTATTAGCAGGTTCAGCAGACTTCAAAAACGAACTCAATCAATCTGATTTGTTTGATCAGCGACTGCATGAAAAGGTCATCAAGATCGTGGATGTTTCCTATGGAGGTGAGAACGGCTTTAATCAAGCCATCGAGTTAGCAGCAGAAGCTTTGAGTAATGTGAAATTTGTGCAAGAAAAGAAGTTGATTCAAAGTTATTTCGATGAAATTTCGCAAGACACTGGTAAAGTAGTTTATGGGGTGAAGGATACTTTGAAAGCATTAGAAATGGGTGCTGTAGAGAAGCTTATTGTTTGGGAGAATTTAGAACATACTAGGCTGTTATTTAAGAATCCTCAAACTGGAGAAGAGAGTGTACAAATTTTAACAACAGAACAGCTTAAAGATAGTCGTTTCTTTAAGGATAGTTCAACTGGAATTGAGTTGGATGTAGTTGACCAACAGCCATTGGTCGATTGGCTAGCTGATAATTACAAGAACTATGGAGCATCTTTAGATTTTGTTTCGAATCGAAGTCAAGAAGGAAGTCAGTTTGTACGAGGATTTGGAGGAATTGGCGGTTTGTTACGATACGTGTTGGATGTAAGTGTATTAGAAGAACCAGAAGATGAAGCTGATGAGTTGGATGACGATTGGGAACTGTAAAATTGCAGTTTACTCAAAAGTCGTTGTCTGCTTCATTTCGCATTTGACTATATATGGATTTCGTATTCATACATAAATAAGAAATATATATATATATATACATATACATACATACATATACACATATATATATATACGTATGATATAAAATAGGAAGGAATCTTTCATAGATACAGGAATACAAGTTCTTGGGCGTTCAATTTTGCCTAAATAATAAAGCAAAGGCTATTGGGAAAAGAAATGTGGTTATTCACTCTATTCGTTTAAAAGCGACGTTCATTTGATTTCTCTAGTTGGTCAATCAACTTTTGCATTCCTGGTAGTAAACTGGGTCTTCTTGACAGCAAATTCATTCGAACTGCAACAGCTGAAAGAAAGAGAGTGCAAGGAATATAAATGGAGATAACATGTACTAAAGAATGAACAAAGAGGAATACCAATATGGCTATCTTCACCAGCAATGAAGCGTCCAAATGAGAACGAAGAAAAGGAAACAATCGGATGAAGAGTTGCACCGATTGTTGAGTAATCAATGTCCACGTATTCTTACCAAATACAAAAGAAGTTAAACTAATTTCGAGCATGATTCCGAACAAATAGGCAATAGTACTTGATAAGATGCAAAACAACCAATTCCACTGGCACCACATAGTATGTGTGAGAACCCCAACGGCAAGTCCTTGTGTCAACATGTACTGCAAACAATAGAGAGGTCCAGGACGAAGCACAAAAAAACAAAATAATAAACAAAGAGCCAATCGACTATATCGAGGACCCCAACGTAAGGCAATATACACAATAGGGATGGGTCCTGCAACACTGAAAAAGTCTTTCCAACGAGAAACCCTTGAAACAAACAACAAAGTTCGAACAGCAGCAACGCAAAGACCTGTCTCAATAACTGGCGGAGCTATGGATAAAGGAGAAGAAGCACGTTTGCCTAACTGTGTTTCATCTACATCTTCCAAAGAATAACCATCCTCAGAAGCATCTTGAAAGTAGTCGCTTTGTCCTGTAGCTCGTGCTCTTTGTTCAAATTTCCATATCAGTTGGTTCCATTGTTCTTCAACTATAGTATTTCGTAATTCACGACGATGTAGAATCCATTCCTTCCTTTTTCTATCCACTTCTTCACCTCGCTTCCATAATCCACCATCTGATTCTACACAACCGCGAATAATAAAACGAAAGCCGAACCTTTGAGTGGAAACTCTCTTACNTTGACACTTTACAAGAGTGCAAAAGGGTACAGACAAAATACCAGAGGTTTGGAAAAAAGGACCGCCTTTCATCAAAACAGGAAATAAGTCGTTATCCAATGGATCAAGATCATCATCTATTGTGAAAGAATGACAAGAATCATTTCATTCTCTTTTATTCTCCTCACGAGTCCATTGTGCTGAAAGCTATCTTTGGCTTCTCACAAAAGGACACAATCAATTCAAACCAATTCAATTAGTATCCAAACAAACTATCTGAATATTTGTGTATCGTACACTGAAACTTCAAAAGAGAGCTTACCTCTATTTTAACAAATATTCTTCAAAGCTATTTGCTTTCTCCTGTGTCCTCATCATCATCATCTTGTACGACAGGATGTTCCATTTCTTCAAATTTGCCAAGTTGTCGATAGACAAAGATACCAACAAGACTTGCCATTAAAAACATCCAAAATGGTAATACTGCCAAGACCTACAGAATATATGATATGGAACAACACTAAAAAATCGACATACTTTGAAACCCAAAAGAGCAAGAGGTGTCATTGCCAAATAGCTTACTACAGTCCAGAAGTAATAATAGATATATTTATACACTTGATACCTGTGGCATCAGCTTAGTTCACTACTGTTCCAGTAAGATAAAAAACCTCAAATACCAGACAAATGGCATAGGATTGAGAGGATTCAAGAATACAGGACGGAAAGGCGGAGGTAAAAATGGATATTGATTGGGTTCTTGTCTTCCTCTGCCAACTGGATAAAGCTTAGCATCGTGCTCCTCCAATACATCGAGGGATAATTTCGCATGTGCATTTAACTAAGCATTTGTTTGCTCTTATATTATAAACATTTTTCATCTTACTTACCTGTGGATAATTGGGATGTGTGAACCTTAGCCACTGAGGTTTCCTTGAGACAATGCGGCCAGTGACAAGTGCTTCCTTTAACAAAGGCTCTATATTCAACTGACATTCAGCTATAAAAGTACCATCGGTAATGGAACCTGTCGAAGCTGAGGATACATCCCATATCTAATCAAAGTCAATTCACACAACTCATATTAGTCTTCAATAAAACCACTTACAGTCATTCGAAGTCGATAGGAAGTTTCTTCAGGAAATCCTGTTGTCCAAACCATACGGTAATTAAACTCACCACATCCATCATCACTTCGAGGGTGAACATCGGTGTGTAAAGATGTACTATGATCTAAACCAAACTCTGCACTAACACTCAAGTCAGGAGTAGGCATCTACAAAAGTCAGAATAACGAAACAAAATAACTATATATCTACCTCGTTGTTCACTTGTTGCGCTTTGGAGATGGGTAAAAAACATCCTTGTACTCCCCATATCACTAAACGAACTTCAAACTGTTTAGGAGGCTCTGGCATAATATTTTCTGGAACCATGTGTCTCGCAGCATCTTCTGTTAGAATATCTACAAAACATTCCAAACGACCAGTGGGAGTAGTTGAGTTAGGATTCCACAAGGAACGTATTTCGACTGGTTTTCTGGCTAGGAGTCTCCATGCCGGGTTATACCATCTAAACAAACCACAACATCAATAATAAATAGCTTCCAATTGGACTCAGTACCTATGTGACAAGTCAATATAGGTTTCACCAATAAATTCAGATTTGCGAAGTCCTGGAATTCTCTTCGTGTCAACATTCACCTAGATATAGTTTCCGAATGAATAAAATCACAAAAGATGAAATAGATACGTACTGAATATGCAAGACGCTTATGAGAAAAGACACCCAAGTTCCAACTTTCCTTTAAACCGAATCCACCAGCAAGTGGAATATCAAACTCGGGTGCTCGGTAGTTCTTCACTTTAATTCTTAGTATAGAATAGGGTACTTTACATTTAAACTGAAATGTATCAAAGAATTTTGGATGCAATGTTCCTGAAACTGGATGACTCTTTGTGGAATACACCCTTTCTTCAGAGTGGCTGCAAGAAACCTAAGAGAGTCTTAACATACTTCATTTCAATCTCTTTCAAGTTACCTTTAAATAAGCATTCGCGTAACCCTCTATTATAGATAATGATTAGTAAAATTTCAAAACATGAGTTTCAATACTTGCCAGAACATCTCAAGTTCCAACCATGTAAGACATATAAACGAACTACTACATTCTGTTCTCGATAGATTTCTTTCCAGCGTATTGTCTCTCCTTCCCTTTGTCGCTTTGACTCTACATCGTCTTCCAGCACTTGATGACTTAAAATCTATACGAAAATAAAAAAATGGCAACAAATAGAACATTTCATTTACCTCAGCTTCCAATTTGAGTCTACCGTAAATAGGTTGTATATTCTTTCCTAGATAGCCAGCATTGCCATTAAATAACTTGTCCTTGTTGAAGTCTTTCACATTCCTTGCTATTGACATGGGTTTCTTTGCATGCTTTACGGTCGTTTGCACAGCTCCTTTGGCACTCTTGGATACGATACCAATAGCTTTCTTTTGTTCTTTTGTTAGAAAGGAATCTTCAAAATTCTCCTAAAGATAATGAATAACAGTTATTTTCAAGATAATCATCATCTTACCTCTGTCGCTTTTATTATCTCTTCATGATAAATATCCGTCAAACGACCTCGAGTAAGAAAAAGTTCTGCATATCTTGCATGACAAAAATCTTCTTCAAGTTCAACAGGACAAAAGCCACGACGGATTCTACAATGAAGAGAACTACCTAAATTTCCTACCTGAATACAGAATTTCAATACATAATTACTCCATATCAAACGGCACTTACCTGATTTAACTCTGAAGAATCAGGATAGAAAAAACTTGGCAACTTTTCTTCTTCAATATGAAGTCTCAAAGCAAGATCCGGAACACTATTTTCATCGTCAATCAAATAAAAATTTAGAGTCAATCAACATAACCTACTATTCCACAACAATATCTTTCAGCAGAGTAACAATAATTTGTAGTCCTTCCACCAAAGACTGAAATGTATTGAATACTTGTCTAATAAACAGTGCTCGACGTCTAACATCTTCGCTTCCTCCTACTATCACAGATTCTTCCACAATGTCTTGTAGTTCTTCCCTTCCTATATAAAACGATGAGTTGATCAGAAACAATAGCATTGAATGAGTAATCGACCATCTCCTATTTGTAACATATCATATTTGGGATGTGAAATGGATATAAAATGGCCACGAGGAACCGAGTTCCCATGTTGTGCCGAACGCCCACATTCCTGATGGACACTTTCCAAAGTTGAAGCAAAGTCGACTCCACATGATTCATCTGAAAGTAACTAATCTTCACGTCAGTAACAAAGAATGAATATTGAAAGTGCTTCTAGTTTTACCTCGGAGAGAATTGAGGCATTTTCAGCATCAATGCTACTCATGAAATATTTGCTAGATAGTCTTCGAAAATAAGATGATTGTAAAAAACTGTTCAAACGAGTTTGGGTAGACTCCGAAGCTCCTTTTCAATTATCAATGAATACACTTCAGAACTAGGATATATAAGAATTTTCTTACGAAGTTTTTGTAAAAAGACTGCTTCATAATCATCCAATGCTAAGTCGCAAGTGCCAACTACTTCACCTCTCTCATGGTCGAATACCTGAATTTGCATTGTTGGAGTTAGAACCACATCTTGTTCAGGAAGCTCGAGTGGCAAGAATATGACATCTCGGAAGAAAACATCAAAAGAGTCACCATTAAGGCAAAAATTCGTCTAAACTACAATCAAAAAACAGAACATTCTTAAGAGTTGATTGGAATAAATACGAACCGGTTGAGGTGAGGTTTCATAATGTTGGTCTTGACTTCCACTTTGTAGTCTCAAGGAAACAGAAGCCTTTCGTACAGTCTTGTTCTTATATTCTACATCGAGGGCTCCAATGATCTACAAAAACTTAGTTCTAATGCCCTATTTCAACTACAATTCTTACTGAGAGTTTCAGGCATGCACGAAATCTCCTGGGTTCTAAATTAAGCACTGGTAACGATTCTTCTTGTTCTTTTGGCAGTAAATGAAATTCAGCTAATATCTCTCCAGCCATTATTTCTGGATTTACTTGAAACAAAGGATACCACTTTCCGATAGGAAGTGTTGGCTGTGATCGTTTTACTTGTGCTCCCGATATGACGACTCGACCAAGACATTTTGATGGTTGCAATGGAGACTGTTCCAACTTTTTCTTTTTCGCTCTGGAATGTTCATATACCATAACAAACTGAATACCGCATCTTAGTTATCCTGATACACTTCAAAACCTATACTTACAATGTCTGACAACATGCGAGTTGCAGTAACGGGTATTTGCAAAGTTACACATTCGAACCATTGTGGAAACAATGTTCCATAACAAATTGTATTCGATTGCGCTGAATATTCTCCACAACGAACGACTGGAATAGCACGTCGATCAGTACATCAACGACACATTGAAGAATAACATTACCAAAAAATGGGTTCGCTAAACCTCCTTCATCTGCTGCAGGCACTAAGGAAAGATAATAAGAAAAGTAAAATTCACTTTTTAACCACTTACAATTTCTTCCTTCTAAAATATAACATCGAAGAATAAACTCAAAGGAATTCATGGGAAGCATTGTGTCAGATGGATGAAAACTAACACTTTGAGAAGAAGACTCTACAGTCATAGAGGAAACACGATCTTCTGTTGCAGTCAATGAGAGAGATAATAATAAATTTCCAGGAACTTCGTAGAAACTGAAGAGGCTACTTGCTGCTGTGTCCAAAAGAAGCCAACGTGGATAACGCGTACACTGGCGGACATACTTTGCCGATAACCTCAAATATGCAAAGCGGGTCCTAACCATATTGAGTTCAAACATTCTTTTCTTGTTGAATGCATACTTCTTTGTCGAATTATGACGCTTTTGATGCGCATACAAATTGACGAATAAGTCTGGAATATCAGAAAAACGACTAGGCAACTCCAAATCGGAAAATGATCCGTGGGTCCCTTGTCCGTTTTCCCATATTACTGATCGATGGTTCACTGGCTGAGGAGGAGTTTGTCTTTCCAATCAAGGTTTTTAGAATTTCATCAAGATACTCGAAAACATTCCTTACTCGCCAAAACAGAACGTTCCTAACTGAACATCAAACGATACTAAATAATGTTCAGATTCCAACGGAACTTCACAGACTTGATATATGCTATAGTCCAACTGATATCTTGAAGTATCAGGCTCTATGCATAGTTCTGGAGGAATGTACAATCTTGCAGGTGGTAAAGTTCCCAGAGAGCGTGAAGTATGTATACTGATCTTAATAAAAGTTTGAAAAACAGTTTCATTTTCAAATATAAGAAACATACCAAAGCTCGACCTCGGAAGGAAGCATTCTTCTTTCCATAGTCTGTGGGACCTCTACTAGGACCATAAAGATTATACCATCTAGGTTCTAGTTGATAAACCTAACTGAAGATTGTATCTTATAGAGTACAGAGTCATTAGGAACTTACTCTTTCTATAAACTCATTTTCAAGATTCTCGTCACTTGTATTATCTCTTCCAAACAACAACTTATTCACTTGATTTTCCACGGATAACAATCTTTCATAAAAATGTGGTGGCTCTGCTTCTCGTTTTTCCCTTTCACGAAGAAACAAAGTCGCTTTCTTAAAACTTTCATCATCTTCCTTTTCAGGTTCAGACGTTAAATAGTGAACCTTCACTCGTTCACGATGAGCCAGGATGTCTGAAAATCTAAAGAAAATCTAATCGCTTGATTTGCATATTTCTTAACGAGCTTACCGAAATTGTAGCCAACCTATCAGGTCTCCTTCCGAAGAATTCATACCCAAAAATGACTCCCGTGTATGATAAAGTTCTACTTTGATCAAATCCTGGGACACTTCACCATCCACTATTGCTACTGGCACTCTAATCATCTCATTCCATTCCACCCTATCCCCATATATAGTTAACCAGTACAGTCAATTATAAGAATGATTGGAAACTTACCATCGTCCTCTTGAAGGAAAAAGCCCTCTCTTGAGAGCTTTCTTCCTTTTAACAGAACCAAAAGTGGCATTTCGAAAAACATGAGATGCTGTTTTGGTTAAATTTTTTTGCAGTTGTTTTACAACTGAGCCAGACAATGCAAATCCTGCCTTCTCAATAGATTTTAGAGATTTTTTCGTTGAAGTTGTAACTGCCTTGTAGCCTCCATAGAAACATGTGGCAAAAGCACGAATGATATCTTCTTCTCCTATCGATAGGAATGAAATGTTTAGAATCACTCATAAGACTATCATTTTGTAATACCTTTAGGAGCCATTCTCGGAAGCATTTCGGCTCGATAAACACAAATAAACAGATTCCAAGGCTCTGGAACAAGAGGAGGACGTCTCAATACTAACTTATTCAACAACTGTCTACCACTCATCTAAACAAAGAAATCGTCAACAACAAACCACTTTCAGAATAGGAAACCAACTTCTTCAAATTCATAATAATCATTCCTGTGCACAGGGACAGATCCTGGTGGTATAAGAGTTATACTAAGTTTGACATATCCCACTGTACTAAGACCAATAGAGCTCCGAGTTATTTTCTCAACCCTTTTTCCATATGAAGAATACAATGGAAACCATTTTTCTTTCACTCTATGATTCTTTTTTTGAAAATATAAGTCTGTCAACAATATCAAGAATACTGATAATGCATACCGGTTGATCATAAATATATTTCAAATCCATCTCATGAACTCCAATGAGCACATTCTTCCTTATACGATTCCAGTCGAAAACTTGAACATTCAGAGCCTCTCTTTCCAACTCCCAACCCTTCAGATACGCAGAGAAATATAAAAGTCTATGAAAAACTGCATTAACAGTATTTAAAGCTCGTTGAGTTCTCAAGGTCTGGCCAAACGTTGTTATCTGAGAATAGTAAGTATAAGATCGAAAAGCTAATCAATGCAACAACAACCTGAACGTATGGGTCGGTTGTACCACCTCGACGATGCATACTCAGCATATCTCTTACTTCGTGCACCATTATACGAAGTAAATACTCGCCATTTGGAATGGTAGAAAATAAGTCCCGACATGAGAAACTAGTGTCGGGAATAAAACTAGCTCGAGTCTCCGTATATATCGTAGCTACTCGAATGCCAGAGTCTCCTAAAACTGAAATTTCCAACTTCTTATGGCAAACCATGCTGTTTCCTCGGTGTGTATTTTCAGTATCTAAGAATATTGTTGCTTCTAGTTCCGCCTTCCCAATAACAAAATCGGAATCTTCGCTAGTTCCAATCAAGGCGGAAGGCCAAGCGGTGAACTGGTTGTTGCCTAACGTCTGTTCTTCACTGGAAGAAGTCTTCTGCAGAGAAGACGATGTCGACTCTTGGACAGAATTTTCTGGTTCAGAGTCGAAGAATCCTTCTTCTCTCAATTTAGAAGCAACGAGGGGATCGTAATCTACAAGAGGCAAAACCTTCTCATATTCAGAACCTTATTAAACAATAAGTGCGAATGCTAAAACAAGCTCTGTTATCTCTTACGTCTATGAAGGGCATAAATCTTTCTGACTCTCTCTGATCCACGAATATTCAAAGTTATCTTGGTGCTTTTATATTCGTTGGTAAGTGCATCCCTTTCAAGAAGCTAAGTTCATTTTTGTGGTCCAGGAGAACCGTCTTACCATTGAAGTGGTACACTACTGGATAACTTTACTCCAAGGAACTCGACGGTCCCATCACTTTCTACTCTTCTATATCCTGTCCTTTCAACAACACCCTGAAGAAGAGAGTGGAATAACAGGAGTGAATAACTTGACTTTGAAAAACCAGTTGCTTCCCCTATACCTTATCGTCTACCCATTCTATTTTTACATTTCGAGCTTGAGGTACAATTAAGCCTGAAACTTTTAGGATGGTAATAGTAAGCTCGAAAGGCTTTAGAGTGATGCTCATTCTGTCCTAAATAAGAACTCTTCCAATGAGCACACCAGAGAAAATGTTCCCCTTTTCCACAAAAGAAGAAATCGATTCCACTTGAGATTCTCATTAAGCTCTTTTGGAGCGTAAAGTATCGATTTTTATTTTTTAGTTCACTCATCCTCATCTTCGTTCGAAATGTCTACGAACTGACTTTTGGGTGACTTGCACTGCGGACAGACAAAGGAATCGCCAAAGAACTTAAACTCTCGACCTGCTGCCGGAAATATTGTGTATCCACAATTCTGACACTGATACGCATGTGCAACACTTGCAGAAGGCTTCGAACATGACACTGACTGTTCACTAAATGTTGACGTTGAGGTCTCTTCGACACTCGCCTTTTTCTCTGAAGTTGCTCTTTCATAGTCTCTTCGTTGTACTTCTTCCAGTAAATACTGATCATACAGAGACTGTGCTTGTTCTTCGGAAAGACCCAAAAACCTAGCCTTCTCTATTGGAGAAAAATCCTTGTCCCGACCTTCACTCTTTAACAACTGCAAAAAACAAGTTTCGGCTAGGCTGCGCTGAAGGTCACGAACTGTCTCTTTCGGATAGGGAAACAGTTGCATTATTTCAAGTTTGGACTGAAATTGTTCGGGTAAAAGACGTTCCGAGACAAACAAAAGCTTATCAAGTGCTGAAGGTCTTTCTCGAAGACGTTTTGCTGCTCGATTATATGCCATCAATAGTTGCTTATGTGACAAACCTAGCGTCTTGTAAACTGTATAAGAATCTTCTATCAGTTGGAAAGATAAAGCTCGTTCTTTCAATAGTGTCACCAGAAAATTTTCATACAAATCAACTCTACTAAATATCAATTCCCACTTGCTCTTGTATTCCTCTGCAATATCCACAAGCTCCAACTCTGTAGAACCATAACGTACCATTTCCATCCCACATCTTTCAATAAGACTATCACGTCTCTTCAATAGCTTCTTCAATCCTAAATATCCTCCAGCTGCTGCTAAAGCTATAGTAGCAGCAACTACAAGCACAGGATTGGGCTTCCAGTTTCCCGAAGGATCCATAGTAGGCTGCATTTGCTCGCTCCTCATTTCTTTTTCTGGTCTTCTCCGTTGAGGTTTCGTGACTGCAACTCTGAAGGAAGATTGACTGTCGCTTTCTGAACTCTGCATTAAAACCTTGCAATAAAAATGAGCAAGTTTGGCAAAAGAGACTAGCAATCATACTTGAAGAACGTGTTTCGGTTGGTTTCTACAGAGACATCGACAAAAGTTCGCAGGTTTTGCAAAAGGGTGAACACTAAATGGCTTGCTTTCGAAAGGAACTTTTAAGCAACTCCAGTTGACACAGATAAACATAGTCTCCTTTTGAGAAAATGAAAACAAAGAGGCCGTGTATATCGTATTGGACAAGCGATTTTCACATCTTTCACAAAAGTTGGGCAGTCTGAGAGTTATTTGTATGTTTATTACAAAATGGAGATTTCCTAAAACTTAGCGAATACTTTTTATAGTTTAATAAAGCGACAAACTCCTTACGGTCTTATCTACAAAAAACCCCGTTGAAATGGGACGACAGAACTCTTGTTTCAAGCTATACCACTCGATCCGATGCAATCATCGGTCACGACTTCTCTCTTGGAACAGTTCATATTCCGACGGTACTCCAATCAACTTTCGGACACAGAAAGTCTTGTATGGAATCACGTCAGGGTAATATTCCCCATCTTCTTTCAAGCTTCGATAAGAGAAGAAACGACCAGGCCACCACAAACATCGCTGTCGTTCCTTCCATACTGACTCAACTTCAGGAGCTTCACATAAACGCAACAATTCTGCAAACCTGCGCCAAGCATGCCGGAAAGAGTTTTTCCAAAAGTCAAAATAAAATAGGAAATCGCTTGACATATTCCCTAAACAATCCAAATGATGAGCCACTGCAATAAGTAACTCTTGGACTGTGGAAAGACGCTTTTCCAAACCGATTGAAAGACATCCAAGTGCTACATCTGAAAAGGGATTGACCTCTAATAAAAGATGTTGTGCCGTAAGGACTCGTTTTCTCAAAACAGACTCCTCTGCTGGTGCATCTGCCGAAAAAAGTATTGCTTGATATGCTTCAAGACATAAAAGATAGTTTTCTAGCAGATAAGAGTCGAAGCTTCCTTCCTCTTTAATAAATTCTTCCATGCAGAAAACTGCTTCATCAACACGTCTACAGTATGCCAAAACAATAGACTTCAAAATGACAAAAACATTAGGTGCCGCTTCATATTCTTTACAATACTCTAAACAATTCAGTGCCTTTTCAAAGTATTCTAATGCAAAATCCTTTTCTGCGGATGAGTCCTTGATAAAATCTGGCAAACAGCTCCAACTGTGAAGAAAATTGAATGGAAAGACATAACCTAAACCTATATTAAGAGCAGGATCTCCATCACCTCGAATATCGGTCTTTATCGTCAGCTCATTATCCAAACCCAACTCTCTGTAAGCTTCAAGACAGAAGAAAGCAGCAAGTAAAATGTAAAATACAGGATATTTCGCATAAGGAAACTGTTGAATGTGACCAGAGATATCACTAATGGCTGAAAGGTAGTCTCTCAAATACCAACGAAGAAAGACAAGTTGATTCAGTGCAGCCACTTTTCCTTGTTCCAATTCTAATAGTGAACGCTTATTGTACAATACCAAAGAGCTTGGAACTTTTCCCAAATCTTGTAAAGAAAAAGTTTTCTCGATGCTGTCGAACTGAAAGAGCCTCGAGAGTAGGCGTACAAGTTCATAAGACTGATTGTAAAACAAAGCTTTGCAGCTTAATGCAGTTAACTCCCTATGAAACCCATTTCTTTTTGAAGAGGTCTTGACTCTCCGTAAGAGCAACGGAAGAAGGCAAGAAAGAACGTTGTCTCTTCCTGTTTGCAAAAGTTCAAACGCAAGACATGCTATTCCACTAAGATCGGTACATAGTTGTGTTCCAAGCCTTTTGTTTTGGCTTGCATGAAGAGAAATTTCGAAAGGCGAATGAAATGCCAGCAGTTTCCAGTCGGCTTCTTCTGTTTCAGGTGAAACTTCATACTCTCCTTGTTGCTGCGTTTCTTCTATTTGTTTCTCTAGGAGAAAGAATTTTTTTCTTTGCATAAGCTCTTCTATGACTATATCACTTCTTTCACGGGGAATCCCATAAATACTACAATACGTATGCAGCTCGGACCTGGTGCGTCTCTTAAGCTCTGTTTCTGAGATTTGTTCTAATGGCTTCAAATTCCATCTTCTTAGTATTTCCTTATCCTTTTCAGGCAGTTGTTCAAACCTTGTTGCGAAGGGTTTCTTCGCCCTGTGTCTCTCTAACTTTTCTCGCCATGACCTTTTAGTTTCTGCCAAGAATCTTCTTGACATTTGTTGTTCCATAATAAAGAAGCCTATTTTGCAATCGAATGGAATATTTTCAAGAAAAGTTGCTTCTGTCAGAGCCCAGAGAAACGAGCATTTTAACAACAACGAGATAAATGGATTTTAAAAGGCGCTCATTCGAAGAATCCAGCCCTCCCTCTGGACTAAGGAATGAAGGCTTCGAAATGAAGCGACCAATCACCACCACCCCGATGGGAAAGCTGACCAGCGCCCCAAAACAGCTTCAGCCACCAAACTCGCCCCTTTACAACTTATTTGGGTTTGAGGTTGCCTTCTCGTCGAGAAAGCGTGACAACCAAGCTTCTTGCCCAAAACGACTGTTTACTGCCTTTTTTCTATTTCCCCTTTCTTCGCAATCGGAAACCTTGACAGTTCAAGCTAGTTACCGAACATGCCACCTCGAACCGAAAGGGCCGTCGAAGAAGAGAGTGTTGGCAAAGAGTACGACGTAGTATACGAGGTAATCATTCTTCTTTCAAGTGGACAAAAGCAGTTTTGTTAAACTCCACTAGGATGGTGAAATATTGCGGGAACTGGATTTGTTCACACTGAGAGATACTAAAGGAAACTTGGTTCCGTTGGATTTATTGGACCAACCCCCTAAGAAAAGGCCAGCGCTTCAAGCAACGGGATATCTTTTACCTCCGGCTATCGAAAGTAAAGTTGCGAACGAAGGAACAACTTCCAACGGGGAAACTCCCCCTTTGAAGTTGCCGAAACTTCGTGTGAGACTGGCGAAAGTCACAGACTGGTGCGTCGAATATGGGGCTTATCCAGCACTGTGGATACAAACTACGGATAAATGGTATAGATTGCACAGGCCAGCTCCAGGCTACGAACCTTTTTTTGAACAGGCAGAACGTAAATTCTTGTATTGCTGTGCAGTTGTGGATATTATTGGAGCGTTCATTAGAGAAGGAAAACATGCTTCTGTTAAGAGAGTTGCCAAAGCTCTCCAAAGTAGAGAACTTTCTTTGGAATATCTATTGAATAACTCTGATTTGTTAAATTTTGTACGTGACCAACTCGAGTCTTTGGGAGATTCTTTGTTACTACAAACCGAGTTTGTGCAATACCTGAAAAATCCCATAGCTTTCTCGGAAAAGACAGAAAAGCCCAAAACTGTTGTTCAGTCGGAACAGAAGAGAAAAAGAGCTTCAGAGGAATCTCTCTCAAGTCATGTCGAGGAGTATTCTCCTTCACCACGTTTAACAAGAAGGAGGGAGAAGGAACCTGAAGATGTTCACTTTGACGCTCATACTAGTACGTCTCATTCGAAAAAACAAATAATTCAAGACACAGATTCGGCTAATGGTTCGCACCCAAGTTGGCGAACGAGAAGAAAACGATCATTCATCAATACTGCGAAACAAGAGATTGATTCAGCTCCGTTACCCACAATAGAATTTGGCAAATATCCAAAACCAAGAAGAGGTCATCAAGTGAAGCTTTCTGATTGGAACGGAAAGGAATGTCTATCAGTTATACTGACTCTTGTAGAACTTCTTCATGTTCTGAGTGAAGATTCTTATTTCGATGAACTTTGTTTGAGTAGCAAGGTACCTAATTTGGTTTTGGATTGGAGAACTGTTGGAAGGGCAGTATTAGAACCTTGGAAGTACGATGTCTTTGGTGAACTAATTGCATGCTTAATACGGTTTCTCATGGCGGCATCAGGAATGGAAGCGAGAAGAGACTCGGTTGATTGGTTGACTTGGCAAGAGTTCATGCGTGATTATTTCTTGAAACGCCCTACAGGAAAAACGTTTCTAGAGAATGACGACGAGTTTACGTCAATTCTAGAAACTATGAGCAGAGTGGACTTTGTGGAGCTATCACAAGATACTCGCTTAGTTATAGTCGAACGTTTGGTGGACGCAGTTGTTGAGACGGAAGCCTTTCGAGACAAAATTAATGAGGCCACAGGTTATGAACCAGAAACCAGTGGCAATGTTTTTTACGACAGTGACTATGAGTCTTTGGAAGATGATGAGTCTTCTTCTTCTAATGATGACACGTTCTTCTAGAGAACAAGAGAATGAAGTAAACCATGAAAATGGAAATATTCATGAGACCAATCAGAAGGCTCAAGAGTTAGCGAAAAAAGAGACAGTTTTAGAAAGAGTGGATTCCGTTCCTTTCCGAATTCGCGGGGTATGTGCTGGAAGAGATAGAGAAGGAGCTTTGTATTATATTTTGGGACGAGGTACCTCTTTAGCAATTTTTAGTTGTTTGGAACATCCTGTGGGTGGTGAAGAGTCTGAATGGTTTGTTGCTGAGACTAGAGATGAAATTATTGAGCTTTTAGAGAGTCTTGACAATAAGAGCGCTATTGAGGAGAAACTTGTTGCCAATTTGCAAAACGTAGCATTGCGAGAATGGAAGCCAATGAGTGCCGAGAAGCAAATCAATGAAGGTTATGATTTTTCAGATAGGGTATTTGGAAATTTGAATTCTGACAACTCGGAAGAAGAATATTTTTTACGTACGAATATAGAAGGACAATATCTCCCAAAGTCTCATCTTCTCATTCAGAAGGCTTTATTGTTCGCTGAACCGAAGTTGCCTTTTTGGTTGAGACAGAAGACCGAATATCTGGGCTTTCGTTCGAAAGAAGAAAGAGAATATTGGCTTCAAGATGTCGAAGAAGCCATCTCGGTTGAACAATTAAAGCAGTGCCTGATCGAGTTTTACGATATTATGTGCTATGACATGCTTGCCAGTCCTTCAGGATCACAAGAGCTCTTGCATTTCTTTGGTATTCCTGTATCATGGTCAGAAGAACAAGCGAGACACGTCCGGCGGTCGACACAAGAAGCTAAGAATCCAACCCAATTATTCATTGCTATTCGCTCCTTTTTTTCGAATATTTTGATTCCTCTTTGCCGAGAATGTAAGGCGCAAGAAATTTCTCAGAGTCATTATTCGAAACTAAGAAAGGATCTATTACTTCCCAAAAGAAATGAAGGATATCATGGCGAAATTGATCTAGTAGAATTCGTAGCTTTCAATAGAGGTGATCCTCTTATATACTGTCGGACAGGTCATCTTTCTCATTACTATGAGAAACTTTTGCCATTTTCCGAACTTCATATCGAAGATATTGCACCTCTCAAATCCGTACAGAGAGGTATAGTTGAGCATATTGGTTTTTACAGAGGACCTTCCTTCTGCATTCAAGTAGTTCGACTTTTATTGATGGAAGACGCTGAGAGTGAAGAGTCATTTTTTAGGCTCGACTGTTTTTGTCGAGCAGATGCATTTCTTCCCGACTATTTGATGAAAGAAAGGATCTATTTGAAGTCCTTGGAAAGGGGTTGGTCAGAAGGAGATGAATTTGAAAGCTTCTTTATTAAGGATGGTCTGTTGATTCCACGTCGTGGAGTTATCATTAAAAGCTTAGTTATCGCTCCGAATGGTTATCCAGGAAGTGAGATCATGAGAAAGAGTGATTTAGCTATTCCAACGAATCAAATATCAAACGGCATGACCTTTTTACCGCAGGATAGTTCATTTATGGAACAAGAGTCACCAATGCAACTGGATACAGTCTTGGAAGGATCACCTAAAGGTCATGAACCAATGACTGTGGACGAAAGAGAAGATCAATCTTTAGAAGAATTGATTGTGAATAACAGTGAGAAGAAGGATGCAGGAGGAGAAGAGAATCTTTCAGAAGTTTCATTTGAAGAAGAAGAAGATAGAATTCAAAAGTTGTGGAATGCATTGGTTGGGATTGAAGAATCAGGACAAGATGACTCAAACAACGCTGGCTGGATAGAATACATGACTGTGTCTGAGGATCGTCTTGATCTTGCAGTTGATACCAATCCGGAGTCTTTTGCGTTCATCGATGATTTTTATGATCCCTACGATCAAGCATATGACTTTAGCCAGTTTCAAGCAGGAGTTGAGACACGTGCGAGGAGTCTGAGAAGTCATTCTGCATTGGAAGAGGAAGATGGTCGAGGTGAAGGTGTTGGCTCACTTCGAAAGAGAGCAGGAGAGTGGGATCCTTGGGAGAGCATTGAGGTGACTTGGATTCAACCTATTGATGCAAGTATGGAATCATTTCGATTTCTCAGTCCGTGGGAACTTTATCCTTTGAGTCAACAAGGAATGAGTTTTATTTACCATCCACTTATATGTAGGCCACATTTGAAGGAAACCAGTAACTCAGGAATGCGCATTTCGGGTCTTGGTCGTAATAATATGAGAGGAGAACCTTTTTCAGCCCGCAAATCTGCATTTCGTATGGAAGGTTCGAGGTCTCATGATCGACGCAATACGAATTATAATGTCGTAAAGAGGAAGAGAATCGATTTGTCATCAGCATATTGTCTTGCATGTGAGCTACCTATGGAAGATGCAAGTAATCCTTTGATTGCTTGTGATGGCCCTTGTCAGAAAACTTTTCATTATGAGTGTGCTCCCGGAGACGAAAGTGAACGTCCACCAATAGAGTCTATTGAACTTTATGCTTCTGATGAAAGACCTCTTTGGCAATGCCACAACTGCACTAGTGGTGAGCATATTTGTTTCTCATGTGGAAGACCAGGACATATTGCTGATGTCAATGATCCTCTAAGAAAGTGCAGCTTAGGAAGTTGTGGACGTTTCTATCACAACTCTTGCGCTCAACAAGAACCATTGGCCAGACTTGCATCGGATGGAAATTGGTTTCGTTGCCCACAACATTACTGTGTTGTTTGTGAAGAATCGGGTGATTCCCGTCCAATGATCAAGTGTATCTATTGCCCAAGAGCTTGGCATGTGCAATGTGCACATGGAGAAGGTTTAGATATGATAACAATGAAGTTTGCAAGATGTCCTGCCCATAAAAGGCGTTGACTGTATTTTTACACTTCATCGTGAGAGGAATGATGAAGAATTTCAGTTGGTAGTTTGTGAAAGTGCATGTCTCCACCTACAAGTCTATCCATAAAGTTTTCTACTTGTAATGTATCGGTTGCATTGGGACATTTGGCAAATTTCATGTTACTAAAAATCGATGTCACAAAGAAAGCACGTTCAGCAACAACAGAATAACGCACCTCATTTTCCATGCTACCAGAGTTGAGTTGAAACAAACACTCGAGTCCGTACCAAATTCTTCAAGCCAACGTTTAGGACAATGTTCCCAAGTAATTGAAGAAAATTGGAATATGGAGTCTCGGTATCTTTGTTAGGACAGTCAAGTTAATAGTCTATTGTTTCCAAGTCACCTACCTTGAAGTCAAATTCTTCCAAAAGAGCAGAGCAAATTCGTCATTAGCACAGAAAATGAAAAGAATACATATCTTCTCTTTGTGTGCAAGACAGTCTGATACGATTTTATTCCAGTTATCGACTCCAAACTTATTCGAAACGTTCTTCATATCATCCGAGGAGGTTGCTGATGAATTCAACTTGGCTTTGCTTAAAACTTGTTTCAGAAATCCATGAATATCCTTTCTTTGCATATGTTCTAAATGAAAAGTATCTGGAAGACTAGTTGCCTTGCTATTGGGCTGAAATCCTAACAGTACAGGATACTTCTCAATACCATATAGTTTCATGAGCTCTGAATCTATGTCATCCTTGTGAATAATTCCGAAAATAATAGATTCTGCATAAGTTGAAGACAATGCTTTCAATAGCACAGAGGGTGCCTTCCTCATGGTTGCCAACAATACGTGAGGAAGTTCCGGTTCATTTCTCAAGAAAGGTTCTATTCCAGCACTCTTCACTTGCGCAACAAACGAAGGAATTCTTTCTTCTACAAAACTTAACAAAGACTTGCTAGTTCTGTCTCCCTGATACTCAACAGGTATTTTGTTCTTTTTGTTGGATAAACGAAACAAAAAAATTGTTGGAAAACCTCGAACTTGGTATCTAAACACATTCTCAGCGAATTGTATTGTATAAAAACTTTAACTGTCACCTTTGGGAAAGATTTGGATACTTTTCTGCGTTCACAGCACCAACTCTTACAGCGTCCTTCAATCTACTCGCAACTTTTTTGTAAACCGGCTCTAGCTGCTTGCAATAACCACACCAAGGAGCGTAAAACTCGACTAGCCTGTTGCTTCATCAGATTACATAAAAATACTTTCTATTTCCTACCAGTTCTCCGAAGAGCCTAAAACTTCCTTTTCAAAAGTACGCTGATCTAGCTCAATAACATTTGAATAGTTATCATATGGTAAACAATGTACAAAGTAAACATAATAAACCAAAATGTATGCAGAAATAGAAAGCCAAAAACGAAAAGAAAGCGACTTTAAGGCATGGTATTGAATAAAAGTTTGACAAGTTTCTGCCATTCTGAAAAGGATTTCTAATACTCAATACAGTCTCGTTCTCATTTACTTTCGGATGAAAACTTGTTTAATACAATAAAGCAAATATATTCCTTTTCTACCATACAAGTTTATGATGTGCCAACTTGATAACCTCTTGGCTTTCGACGAACTTGAAGAGGGTTGTCTTCTTCGTCAAAGTCCTCCTCAAATCTTGTCTTTGGCCTTTTTGCCTCTCTAGTAATATCTGAATGCGATAAATCCCAATCATAAGAGGCCATATAGGCTGGCTTTATCATATCTCTCGTTTTGCCTGTTGCCCCTGGAACCACATGATATGGTCTAGGATATGGTATCTTATAATGAATTCCCAACTCTAAGCGAGTTCTTCCTTCAAAGAGTTTTTCTTCTATTTCCTCCTTTCCTGTGATAGTCTTATTCTGGTGAAATAGCCTATCTGCTTCTTCCCTTATATATTGTGCTTCCTCAGGTTCTTTCCCTATTCAAAGCAGTTTAGTGGAAGAAATCAAAGATGGCAAGAGCTCCTTAACATACAATTCTTTGCCACGCGCAGTATATCTCTATAAAGTCGTAAAACTTGTCTTTTCAGGTTTTGTTGGGACATGACAGTCGTTTTCATAACCCACAATATGGTCAATTCATTATCAAATTTGTTGAATCCCAATATCTCTATTATACACTTAATACTGATAATTCTGAAGTTTTAGCAACTCTATAACAAAGCAGCATATTCAATCAAATTGGTCATTCATATTCGAAAAGAAAGCGTTCTGTTTTTATAGAAACTACATTTTACGCCACAAAAACATGATGAAAACTGTTCTCCGGCAAACTTGATAATCTTTTTTTATCATCGAAAACATTTATTCAATTGGCAAAGCAGACAGATAATGATCTCCCTATCGGTATGTGACCTTCTGGACTAGCACAAAGATAAGAATAAAGTATCCTAGTTAGAGTTTCCTCATCCCGTTGAAATTGAAATAGTCAGTGAGTGGTTCATGTCTTTGGGAGCTTGTGCAGTTGAAGTTTCCAACCAAATTGTGGAAACTGATGGCCCCTGTAACACAAAAGCTGAAGAGGCAAGTCTATTGAGTTTCCTACTATCGACTGGCCAAACCTAATGAAAAAGGGTATGTTTAGTTTAGCAGTTCTTCTGGGACGAAAAGAAAAACTTTTCGTGTTTTACTTCCTTGTGATGTCTCTTCAGAGGATTTTCTGATGAGCCTTGCGTCATTTTCCGAGTGGAATCAAATCAAGGTACTGGAAAAGGCCACGGTTGAGGAAACTGACTGGGTAGAGAGAGTTCGAGAAAGTTTTATACCTATCACTATTGGAAGGTTATACATACGTTGTCCTTGGCACTCGATTCCAGAAACTTCAACAGGAAAAGACGAGCTAGTGCATATGATTATTCATCCAGGAATGGGCTTTGGAACTGGTGAGCACCCTACCACAAGGTTGGTTATATACTCCGAGTCGTCAATGGCACTTTTACAATATCAGACTATGTTTGAGTTGGTTACAAAGAACCGTTCAAGGGGGAGAAAAGCTGTTAGATTATGGTAGCGGTTCCGGTATATTATGTATTGCAGCGTCCCGAATGGGATGTGAACTTTGTCATGGTTGGTGTTTTGTTTCTGCATTCTTTGTTGGATAAGATATTGAATCGTTCCAAGGTGTCGAAATAGACATCGATAGCATACGTAACGCAGAAGAAAACCAAAGTCTCAATAGCATATCGAATATTTCTTTTTTCCAGCCACTGGAAGCTCCTTCATGTTGTTACGATATTATAGTATCGAATATTTTATTTCATCCTTTGGTTGACTTGGCAGAAAAATTCTCACAGTGCTCTAGAATAGGAACGAGGATTGCGTTGTCAGGTATTTTATGTGGTCAAGCAGAGGTAGGACAATATAATTCTTGTAAATGCTTGAAACAGACAAATTTCTCTTTAGTCTCTTAAAGCTATTTATGAAGACGTTGGGTTTAAGTTTGAAGATACAATGATAGAAAACGAATGGTGTCTGATAACTGGAAAGAAAATTTAACCGAACATGAGAGTAACTTGAACGTGGAATACAGTTACGACATTTGTCACGTTAACAGTCATGAGTTCTTAAAGAGTAACACTTTGTCACCTCAGCTTTCAGGTCTTTGTTAAGTTTCATGAGACTAACAGGCTTGATTTTTCGGTATCCACTGTATCAAAGTTGCTGATCGTTATTTCACTAAAACTCTTATCCTGTTGTACTTGAATACGGTCAATACTCTTCAGAACAAGCAACTCATAAAAATATTGTGCAGCTTGTCTTCTTCGAGAAGAAATGCTATTGGAAGAGCTTACTTGGTGTAAAAACTCTGAAAAGGTTATCTTAGGTTGTGTAATGTTTTCTTCTGAAGATGTACCGTATTGACGAATCATATGCAGTGTTTGAATGGTTCTTGAACTTATGCTCAGTTGAGTTTGTGTCAAAGTATTCTGCTTTTTCAAATGGTATTCCTTATCTTCTTCATTATATGGTTTCGGCATATTGGATGTATTCAACGGAATTTCCGATAGACAGGAAGCATTCATTCCAGCTGACATTAGTATACTTTCATTTGTAGCTGGGAGCTGAAATGAATCTTGTTCAAACGGTATTTGTTCTCCCCAATCGTTGTCTTGCACTGAAAAAGTTACAGAATCACGTCCGGGTGAGAATAATGGACTAGCATGGAAGGCAGCATTGTCCGCATGTCGTAGTTGAGGAAGGCTGAGATTTCCTTGAGAGTAATATGATATCATAGGTTCGATAGTTGTGGTGTAGATTGGAGGAATGCAAGGAAGCTTGAAGCTTGGTTCAAGTATCATATGTAACCACGTCTCTGCATTTTCTTCTGGAACTCGAGATATGTGAGATTGAGGTCGGTAAACTAAGTCCTTGGTATCCGAAAGATGTCTCTTCAGTGTTTTTGCACTTATTTCAGAGTTTCTATCGATGGCAAAAATACAAGTATTGGAATCAGTTTTTCTCTTTTTGGCATTATTTTGTTCTTGTTGGTTGATTTCCAATGGAAGAGGCGACTCTTGGAGCAATATAGAGTCTCCTCTTCCTGTTGTATTATCCAGGGGAAATGAAGTTTCATGTCTTTGTTCGAAGTTTGGAGATGTTTCGAAAACAGAGTCCGCATCCATTTCCATAGAAAAATTCCAATCGGAATTATCTTGTTCTTTTCTGTTTCCTTGTACTCCAGAAAGTCTCTCTAATGAAATTCGACCAGAAAGACTTCCTCGACTTTCTCGACGAAGTACTTCAGGGGATTGCAAAGAAGCACGCGCCGAAAGAGGTGTTAAATTCATATTGACAGTCTCTCTATGCAGCATCTCATGATCATCCCAATGTTCCAAGGCTGCGTCTGGCATCTGATAGATAAAATCCATGTCAACCGGAGGAAGAGTAATGTCTTCAGGTCGCGCACGAAATCGAGAAAGCGACTGAGCTGTTTCATTCCAACGAAACTCAGAAGATGACAAGGTACAAGCCATGTCAGTGTCCATGTCCAATAGCATGTCAATATCTAGAATGCTTGAAGTTTCTGAAAACCTATCCAACTCATAGCGAGACCTTTTCGAAGATTTCTTGGAGCTTTCTTCCCGTTTTAGTTGGGACGTATCGTCAACGCCTTCCATAGTAATAGCGGAATACGGTGCAACAGTTGTTCCAGGGGCTAGATCGACAGTGTTTCCTTGAAAGACAAGCTGCAACTTATTCAAAGCTTCTCGGCTATCGATAAACAAATAATGAGCTTTCCTGGAGTAAATTCGTACTATTCCTAGAAGCAGGTTGGATGAAAGTCTCAACGCAAAAGATAACTCTGGGGACTGTAGCTGTTCACATGCAGCAACAACATCTGTGCTAAATACCTGAGTTTTGCTAAGCTTATGTTGGAGATGAGCTGCAAGCCATATCTTTCCCAAAGGTCCCTTTTTGGTTAAAATGATTGGCGAGTAAAACATGGTCTTTCACAGGATTTGTTACCAACGAGTTGAACAAACTATCAAATTCGCTTCTGAATGCCTATCATGTCCCACTTAGAAGGCGGGCTCTTGCATTTGATTGGTTTGAAGAAACCCGCTCTGAATGGACAAACCAAGAAGAAGGGCTGGTCTTTTTTGCAAGAGGGTGCGGTTTTTCTTTGAGAAGAAAAAAACTTGTAGCCAACAACTAAATTAGATAGAACGTTTCGTTTGGTTTCTACCTGGTTGCTTATAGTGTTACTATATTCATATAGCGATAGAGATAATAGACTTTAGAAAATTCTTCATCTAAACACGTTCCTATAGAAAGAAACGTTGCAAATCCCAATTTTGTTAACTGATTCACTTTGAACACGTTCAAATGCGAAGTTTTCTGGACTCCACCAGTTTTTTAGGACAAGAAAGTCCTATTCAGTCATCTTATAGTTTCTTTAGTTGCAGCAGTAGTCATTCTGCGTATTTTTGCAGAGAAAGTAAGAGGAGTCTTTTATTTTCAAGCAAGAAAAGTTGGGGAGTTGCTAGAGTTTCAAGGTTTTCTCGCGCAACTCCCTTCGCTTCTACAGCTCCAGATCAGGATGCAGCAAGTTTTCGGGAGAAAGAGCCTACTGGAACCAAGTGGAAGTTGCACTTGCCGTTGAAGTTTCTCTCTTTTCTTTTTGGTAGAGGTAACAGAATGAAGGACTTTGAAACGTGGAATTTGGAAGAAAGTGACGCGGATTTCCAAAAAGTTTTTATGAATTCGTTTTCGAGACCTGGTTTTATGAGGCCAGTCACAGAGGATGTTTCGAAAAGAATTATGCTTAGAAATGTGGGACGAATTCGTTCCATTCGTCCTTGTAGCATTTCAGAAGATATTTTGCTCGTTACTGTTGAGAGAGAAACAGTTAATGCTAGTCAGAATTGGATGCACGAGCGACCTGGTCAGTTTGTCCAAATTAGCGGCAAGCCCTCTCATGCGAGCTGTTCATCCATGGCAGTTATTGCTTCTGCACCATTTTTTGTGGATAATTCGAATGTAATTGAACTTGTTATCAGTAAGCAAAGTGACCCTTGCAAGCTTTCAAAGAAAATTGGAGAACAAGTTTTTCTAAGTCCCATTATGGGTCATGGACTGGATTATGTATATCCTAGCAAGTCAGAGAGACTTTATGTTTTCGTAGATTGTCCACAAGGTATGGCAGCTGTTAGGTCTTTTTTGAAGTGGCATCTTTTTCGAGCAATGTCCGGCACGGGAACTTATCGAACCACCCAAGTGACTGTATTTTACGAGGCTCCAAACAGTACTTTTATGGCTTTTTTGTCCGACTTTCGTGATTGGAATGTTTTTGGTGTTGAAGTAGTACCAGTTTTGGATTGCAGTTTGAAAGATTTTGTGCCCAGTTACTTGAATTCGAAGTCTTTTCATTCATTAACAGTTTCTTCTATTTTTGCTGTTGCAAGTGATAGAACTGCAAATTTTCTACAGAGTTTACTGCTTTGTCATGGTGTAAAGTTGTCATTTATGCAGTCACTTACCCAGGAAAGGCTGGAAAGAGAGTTTACGGAATTCAAGAAGCTTGACCACTTTCAAGAGGCTGAGGATAGTTATTTGGAAATGGAAAGAGAAATGTTTGAGGAGAAAATGTGGAATACTTGGAAGCAGCAACGGGAAGGGATGTGGTCTGAATTTGTAGAAAGGCGTCATATGAGAGAGACAAGCAGACCGTCAGCAAGCGATGAAAAAGAGTTATGGGACGATTGGTTCTCTCGAAACAGTGAAAGTTGGAAAGACAGCATTTGGGACGAACATATGTGGCAACAGTATTGGAGTACTTGGAAGGACGAACGTGAGTCATGGTTTCATTCAGGTTCGTTCAACACGAGAGACTTTGGAGGTCCTGGCAGCTACAGCAAGACAGGTTATGGATATCACGATCCATCTTATGCATCGGGCTGGGATACTGAGAGTTTCTCAGCCAATTCTAGTTATTCTGATGATTCTAGTTCCATTGGAAGTTTCTCATCAGATAGTTATTTTGACCCTTATGCAATACTCGAAATTAGCAATGGTGCTTCTATAAGTGAAGTGAAGCGGGCTTATCGACAACAGGCACTTCGATGGCATCCTGACTTGAATAAGGATAATTTGGAGCTTTCAAAGAGGAGAATGCAACAAGTTATTTTGGCTTATCAAATCGTAAAGGAAGAATATAGGCATCGTTGTAGATAGTGTCGTTTGACAATGAAGAATGATCATGTGTATGTAGTCGTTATACATACATACTTATCATGATAGGGAAACGTTTATATTTGTTCAAAGACATTGGGATGGGAAGTTTTACGGGATATATAATTGTTTGATGTGAAAATTGGGTTTCCGGTAAATAATAAATTTTTCTCGTAAGTCAAAAAGTAATCCATTCGTTCATTGATATCTTATAATATACCATTGGTGTAAAATTGATATCGATCATATTGTCTTGTTCTCCAGTTATCCACACTTTCGTCAATCAAAGATAACATATGATGAATGCATTCATTTTCCAACAAACCCAAACAAAACCTTTGTCGAAAGGATTCCAACACACTATGGCCACCATGCATACAAGGAATCTTTGTTCCTTCGATCATGATTTCAACCAAAGTTGTTAACTTTTCGTGATGCTTTCTAGCTGCTAAGAAACCTTGCACCATCAGTTCTCGAAAATACTGAAATGCTTCACTATGAGTACCTCCCATCACATCAACAAACTCCGCAGTTAGCTTGAATGGAGCAGACTCAAAACGAATGGAACCAGGAGAGTTGCCCAACATGAAACCAAAGTCGATATGGATGACTCGTCCTTGTGAATCCAACATAATATTTCCATTATGTCGATCTTTGATTTGAAGAAGATAGCAAACCAATGAATAACCAGCCATACTTTCTACAAAGTTTCTTTGAGCTCTTCTGAATCTTTTGCTGTCCTTTCCCCCGTAAACTCTTTCAAAATAGTCCAAAAGAGTGACAAAGTTGGGAGTTCTTTTCTTTAGGGCATGCAAGGACACAGCATCAGGCAATGTTTCAACCAAACCCGAATCAGCACTTAAACAAACCACAGTGAAAGGTCGAACCCACAATTCCAAATCCTCTTCAACAAAGATATTCCGAAATTGTGCAATGAGCTGAACTGCTAGTTGTTCTTGACGAAGATCATCACCAGCTTTTACTATGAAGGATGCCAACTTCCAACCAGAAAAGTGACCAAAAGGAGAAGCCTAAATCGTACTATCATTTGCTTTTACAATAAAATGCTGTCGTCCACTTACTTTGCGGATTCTTTCGGCTTTCCAGTGCCAAATTTCACCATAAACAGCTAACAATGCGGCATCACGAGAAATAATAGAATCTGGATCTTCCAAATCTTCCTTTCCACTTTCTACATACTCTTCCATGTTGACTGCGGTAACAGAATTCCCATAAACTGCGTTTCGTACATGTTCCTTTTGTTTACTGCTCGGTGTCGTTGAAGATTCCACACTTCCACTTCTTGTTTCCTTTGATGAAGGAGGCGTTTCTTCACTTGACAAAGTTCTTTTCCTTGCAATATGACTTGCAATATGTGGACTTTCCATTACAGCTACAATATCTTTGTCATCATTCTCTTCATAGTCGTCCACAAGCATATGTTCAAAAAATACATATTGACTACAACATAACATATTGGTCTCCACCACTTCAACGAATACCAGGAAAGGAACTCTAGTTCGAGTGGGAAAAACGATAGTCTCTTCAGGAACAAAACGAAGTATACGTAGCACTCTTGAAACAGCTCTTGCAATAGGAAGATGTAAACTGCGTAATGCTACTGCTCTTCCTTGTTGTGCAAGCCATTCCAAGGAAGGAAGCTGAGGTGGCGGCTTTAAGGGTGATGGATGTGATTCCAAACCAGACATGCCTATGAAACAAATCATAAAAAAATCTCGATAAATGAAAATACTCACGTCTTAAGAACAGTTCATTGATACGGTCCAATCCACGCTGAATGAAACTATATCTTTTGTCCGAAGGGGCATCTCTTGCTGCTGAAGAGAGACGGACCAACTGTTTTACAAAAACAAGACCATCATTGAAATAGTCGAATCTTTCCTGTTTCGAAGCCAACATAGCTTTGAGCTCAGGAGACAGTTGATTGGTTGATTCACTTCTCGTATCAAGCACCTTATTGGGCTTCACACAAGAATCATCCACTTTTTCCATTCCAAAAGAGTTCGACACTTTTAGCTCTTCCATCCCTATCTTTTGATACTCAATAATATTGCTAACCTCCTCATCATGCGAGGTTTCACCGATATCGATGATACCCGATGCTTTTCTACAAAGAGAAAGGGCGTCATTCATACTCAGAGCTGCTTCAAAATATTCTTCCGACAAAATGAAACCCGTCTCAAGCCAATCTTGCTTCAACAGTAAATTTCTTTCCACTCTATACAACAAGTCCTCAACAAGTTCACGCATTTGTTGTGATATTAATTCATCCAACTGTATGTCATCCTTAACGATTGAGCTGCTTTCTTCCTCCTTCCTATCTTGAGCTCTGTTGAGGTGATTAGCCGAGCTTGGCATCTTCGGGGGCTTCGTTCGATTCCCAAAGTGGTTCATAACAGACAAATGACTCGATTTCTTTTCAGGAGTGGAACTTGATGAGGCTCCCGAAATATTCTCTTGCCGTAAATACAACTCTTCGTGTTTCTTTTCCTTGAAACGAGGAGAACTATTCAGTGAGCGACTGGCTTCAGAATGGAAAGAACCAAGACTGGATATATCACTGACTCTACTTCTGTGAAAGGGTTCCGGTTCCGAGTTTGAACGTGAACGTGTTGTGCCCTTTAGGATATCGTTTGCAGACAACGAGGGATGCAAATCCTTTGTAAGTAGTGACTCCTCGTTGTAAGGCGCTGGGAGAGACGTAGACTGGTAGTAACCGTTTACAGCAGCAGTTTCACAAAGTGTGCGCAACTGTTGAACCCTTGGAAGCCTTTCTCTATGACAGTCTTCGCAAGCAGCTTGCAAAAACCAGTATACCTTGAAATAACTTGAGTTTGGAACTCAACAACTTCCTTGAAACTAACCTGAAGTGCAAAGTGCATAGATTGTGCGCACTTATCCATAACAAACTTCTCAAGTGCTACAGAATCTTGAGCATGATGAACCAACAAGTTGCTAGAGATGGAGAAAGGTAAAAGAAGCTTCTTTGGTGAACTTTGGATTCAAAGCTTACCATAGCTGCGGAAGATATAATTCTAAGTCTTCGTCTGATAGTTTGTACAATTCATTACACAAATAGTCATGAACTCCTCTAGAGCTCCTATAGCGATATAAATAGGTCACCGCCATCCAGGCATCGAAAAAATCTGAGCGGAATAAACGTAATAACCAACCCATCGAAAGGTCACTTGAAGAGCGTCCTCTCTTCTTTTCAGTATCATTATTCCTAGACACTTGAGGCAGCTCTTTGTCGAGGTCTCGCACAATGAAAGCTGTTGGGTCCATTTCCTCACAGTTTCAAGCCCATAAAAAGCTAGTCCCAAGATACAAAATAGTTGTTGGAAGTATTCTCTTTTCAGTTTCCAGTTTGTGTCTTTACCGATTTATGCAAGTACAGAAACGATAGCTTGGAGACCAACTTGAGTTTCGTTGGTAAAGTCAAAAGGAATCAATTCTTTGAGGAGAATCTTTCTCTATACGATGTTGTCAAGATTGTGGACTTTGCAGTGTTATGAAAGGTATTCAAGTATCAAGACTTTTAGGAAACCGTATAGTATTTCCAACAATAAAGCTGCTGCTTTTGTGTTTGATATTGATGGAGTTTTGATAAGAGGGAAACAAGTACTTGATCCTGGTAGTGTTGAGTCTTGTCTCAAAAAGTCATTTCATTTACTTTTGGATAGCTAAGAAGGCTCTGTTCGAATTGTATAAAATGTATAATAGAAAAAAGTTTCCTATAGCTTTTCTTACCAACGGAGGAGGGTGTACCGAGACAGAGAAAGCAAGGTCGGGACAGTCTGATGGGCAACCTTTTTTTAAAACAGTGCTGATGAGGAATAGGCAGCTTTCTGAGTGGTTCAATCTGCCTATCCAAAATGATCAAATTGTTTTGAGCCATACTCCTCTGAGAGAGCTTTCTGCAAAGGTTAGGAGAGATAGAGACGTGGTTCTTTGTAACTGACTAGTTGCAAGTATAACGAAAAGGATTGGGCGGTCGTTTGTGTGGGAAGAGGGCATCCAGACTTTGTTGCTTCTAGTTATGGCTTTCGTAATGTTATTCCCATTGAGGAGATTGGGAGACTTGAACCTAGTGTATGTGCTGAAAAGGAGTTGTAGACAAACTGATTCTCAAGACTTAGGCTACTCCTTTTTGTGACTATGAAAAAGTTTCCAAAAGGACTAACTGGGACCAACAAGCCTTGTATAAACCAATAGGGGGTATTCTGGTAACTTGTTTTTTGTCTTGCTGTTCCAAGTACAACTATTTCCTATGTGCGTATAGGTTATGTCCGATTCAACCGATTGGGGTCGAGATATCCAAATTATTTGTGATATTTTGCAATCGAATAGTCGTGTTGTATTTTCGACACAAGAAGAGGTTGGAAGAGAAATGGAGAAACATCATAAAAGTGTTGAATAGAGTTTGAATAGGTTCAAGTTTATTTCACCAATCCAGATTTTATATGGGCTAATGAGTTTCCTTTTCCTCGGTGAGTTTGGATACTTATTGATTCAAGGTTAAGGTATATCTTTAGTTTCGGGCAAGGTGCGTTTCGGTTAGCTTTAGAGAAAATATATCAGGAACTAGTCGGAAAACCTCTTCCATATATTCAATATGGTAAACCTTGTGCTGTACAATATCGGTAATAATAAGTGCTTTGACTGCTTTGCTTATTGAGTTCTTGTTGAATTAGTTTTATGGAAGATTTGTTAAGGAAACAGGCTATTTCGCAAGGTTACACAGATTTGGAAGTTATTTATGCGATTGGCGATAATCCTGCCGCTGATATTCGAGGTGCTAGAAATGCTGGGAAACCGTGGATTCCAATATTAGTCAAAACAGGTATAAAGGAGGTAAAATGTCTCCATTATCAAGTTTATAGTGTTATGTAGGTTGCTTTTCTACAAATGACGGGGATAACGATCCAAACGACCCTGCAGACTATGTATTCCAAGATGTGAATGAAGCCATATCGACTTTGGTTCAAAAACTATCTTCTTCTTGATAATAAAATACTTCAAGTTTTTTGTCTTCATTCCTGACGTTCTCTATAGTGTTCGAGCTGCTTCAAAAGTTGTGACAACAAACCTTCACAGACGTCTAGCTGTTCGCTGTCCAACTCATATACTTTTAGTATTTCTGCATATGGACCTTCTAACTTTCCTATCGCAAGTAGCCAATACCTTACTTCAGACTCTATTTCTAAACAACGCAGGGAGCTTGATAATAGTGAGGCACGTGTTTTAGCTAATTTGGCAAGCTCCTCTTGTTCCTCATCCTCTATTCTTCTATAATAGAGTTCATCTGCAGCAACTTTTATCAGTTCCCTAATAAGATATCTAGGAAGCAATCTAGTAGAACGGTGCAAAACCACAGAGAGACTACAAACATAAGAGAAAACAAACACAACAGACAACTCTAGACAAACCTTGGAAAGGGTCTCTTATCAGCCATGACAAGAGTTTTATCTCTCAGGTAGATAAACAGAAAACTCTGTACTCCATAAAACTGATCTAATGAGAATCGCAACAGATATAAAGAGTGTGTATCGCTAGGATGATGTTGTATGTGATGCAAAAGTGTAAAAGTATGTGCGATTTGTTCCCAATAATATGAAGTTACCAAGTCTTCTTCATCAGGTAAGACTTGTTTGGTTTGCCACGGCAACAGGTCCATTTCTATGTTGAGAGGTGAAACTCTTCCAAATCCCTCACACTTGCGCACTATAAGTGGTTTCCAACAATGGCAAGGTATTTTTGCAAGTATATTTCTTCTTCTTGTGAAGGTTACTGGTCTAAGATCCCACCAACCTGCTACAACTTTACATATAAAGGATGCCATCAAATTGCTTATATACTTGCCAATCGTGAGACAGACGATTCTATCTTTTGATGATTTGATGAAGCGTTCAAGTGGCATCGATGTTAAAAGTCAGTCTTTTGGCTGTAGGGCTCTTTTAAGAATTTTCGAACGCACAAGGTTGAAACTAGCAGTGCTAGTCATACAAAAACAGTGAATACACAATGCCGCAAATAAGACTATCTCAAAAGATAGTGTCACGACAGATACCTTGCAAATGGCTATGTGTTTGTGTTTCAATGTGTATGATACTTGTTTGCTAGCAAGAAACAAAAATTCCCTATTCAAGCCTTTTAGAAATCAACGACAGTACTCTATGCTGAACAAAGTTGTTGCACTGATTTGAGAAAGGATTGGATCAGAAAGGGAAAGGCCATTGAAGTACCTGAAGATAAGGAAAAGAACAAAATTTGGCTATGTTCAGAAGAAAACTCTTCCTAATATTCTCAGTAAGACAGAGGAAACAAGTCTTCTTTGTTCGAAAGTTGTAGAAATTTTTTACTACTATAAAATTCACTTGCAATAAAAAAACTTTTGGAAAATGCTATTTTGAGTCAGAAGCTTCTAGCAGAATTGCGTCTTACACAATAAACCATCCAAATGAAAAGTCATTCAGAGAGAAGGCGTTCCATAAAGGGTCGCGGAACTGTCTCTTAAAGGGACATTTTTCATCTACCTCAAAAATGCATCATTCCCAATGTTAATTAAAAATTCCAACTATATCATGCTGAACCGTTCCTCATCCAAATCAACGTCAAGTTGCGATGCATCTATTACGAAAGGTTCAAAGACGAACGAAACCTCGCAGTTAAATATTGGTTCGTATACAACTACTTCAAAATTTCTTTGCATCTAATGAGTTCTGAAGAACATTTTGTTCACCAAATTCTAGGTGAAAACTGCTCCGTTTTAGGAGCTGTAACGACAAAGTAAAAAGAATGACTTTATACAAGAACTACTCTTTACCATTTCATTAGGGCAATCTATCAGGCAGTTTGTATTGAAGATAATATCGAATGGAAAATACTTGGCAATGAAGTAGGTATAGAATACCATTTGAACTTTTATTGATTCTGTAACAGGTTGTGGTTGCCTTATCTTGGGAACATAAGAGTTGCACCGACCAATCGAAAAGAGCTCATTTTCATGGCATACTTGTTTCCACAGGAAGAATAATTGTTGAAGAATATATCTCTGACAATTCTGTATATGAAGTTTTTTCGAACACATTTCATGCTTATAGAACAAACCAATTGCAGGTGAATTCTGTCTTTGGCATTCACTTTGCATCATCCACGGATGCACAGTACCTTGCAGAAGTCTTTGATAATGTATTGGCTCTAGAATTGCACAGAAAGACTTGGTCTGTTGACATTGTTGCAGAACAACTTTTGAATCATAATTCAGATGCCTCAGGTTCCCATTTTACAGTAACTACTTCAAAATTACACAGAGATGAAACAAACCGCAGAGCAATAGATGAATCAAATCGTCGTGATTCGTCTCGTAAACAAAGGAGACCGCTTTCATCTTCGTCGACGGTACATTCGGAGACCTCAAATGGTACTCGACATAACTGCCATCTCGAAAAAGGGCAAATTGATTCAGTCTGCCACCCAAATCCTGATAGAGGTCTTCTCATTGAAAGCGACTCGAATGCCTTTCTACGACATCAGCAAACGACATCAGAACACAGCTGTCAACAAGAAATGGTTTTTCCAGTATCGCAACCAACATCAAACTTTGTTGATCAAAGTGTAATAACTTCAAAAAAAGACATCTCACTGGATAGACCATTTCCTTATGAACAGAGAAATTCAGTCGGACAATTGAGTCAAATTCCTATTGATATATCTCGATGTACAGTTTCGGAAAAATATTCGTTGAGGGGTTCGAGGCAAAGTTTCCAACTACAAAAACACGATATTTCTTTGCTATCAACAGCATGCAAGGCACATTCTAGCATCAGCATAGCGAGTAACAATTCAAACCAAGAAATGCAAGTAAATAACTCGAAGAATGAGTCTGACACAAAGGTGGAATGCACTAGCTGTGTTTACAGCGAGGATAGCAACTCTTTTCAACAGACCATTTCCAGTTCAACTGGCAAAAGCAATCGAGTGACACAGAAACCAGAAACCAAGCTGCCACCACAAATTGTCTACGAAAACCTTCTGGTTGAGCTAAATCTAGTCTCACACGAAAAGATTCAAGAGTGCATTCAAAGTATCCTTAGAGAAGGGCTCTCCAACAGGTCAACAAATAATTTTTGCAGGAGTCAAAAGTTGGCAAAGATTTTACATCAAAACAAATAGGCAATTAGCTTAGAAAGCAATCTTTATCTATTATGTTGCAAATTTTCTTTGAATATTCATGTTATCAAGTTAGATAAATACTTCTTGATTTCGATGTCTAGGTCGAAACCTATTACAATGTGCTTTACTAAGAAGTTAGGATTGAATTTTTCGTTGTATCAAGACAATATCTAAGTAGGCACCCAATAATTTGTCATTGAGAACAATTTTAAGTGCAAATACCACACAAGCAACTTTTCTTTCTTTGGGGGAAATTATTCTGAAATTAGAAGAGTGTTTCTCAATATGGGAATATTATGGATGTGATTATATTTGTCAACGAATGAATGGCTGATGGACTTATCTATTTCCTCGCATACAAGGTGACAGTTTTTAGATTCATATCTAAAGTTTCAAAGTAGCAAACGATGCAAACTTGATGATTTCTTTTTCTCTTACCCACTTTCTTTTAGAATGCAGTTTCTTCCACTGAGTATAATTCTAGCTTCTTTAAAGTATTGACAGCTCTTTCATTCAATCTTTGAAATCAGAGCATCAATCAAACAACATGATTCTTAGGAAAATAAATAGAAAAGAGATGGGTCATTTCGCGCATCTGTTTTCGTATAGAGCAAGGGTGCTTCTCACGAAATGAAAACTATTGGCGAAATAAATTCATTTCGGCATCGTTATACTTGCTTCATGTCGCTGTTTTTGATGTATTGTGGAATTTTTATTGAATTTCAACTGCAAGTTTTGTCGTAGACATCTTCTTGAGGCTATACTTGCATAGATAGGAACGATAAGAATTATTCTTCTATCTATGGAGCTGGGAACAATAACAATTCTACTTCAAAGAAGGGAAAATGTTGTGAAAATAGTGTTTCTGTTTGTGAGAATCGATTGTGTTGATAGGTTCAAGGTGATTGAAAATTGTACAGTCATTTGAGTTTGAAGCAAACCGACATCTTACAAATTACCAGCTTTGCGGTCTGGTGGTTTCAAAACCGAAGAGTTGGTTTCATGCATCTCAAAATCGATCATTAAAATATCTGTTATACTATTTTTTATGGGCGGCTCAACTACCCCGAAACATGAACAAGGTTCTCGTTTGATTTAACTATCGACAGGAATGTGGGTCACAAGTACAAAGAATCTCTCTTGGCCTTGTATCTTCTATGTTTGTTTTCCACTTGAGGCAAAATAACATTTTCAATATATTCCACGGAACAATCGAAAGGAATAAGGAGCTGCAATGCAACTAATAGAGCAAATACTGAAGGTTCCGAATTATCCAATTGATTTTCTGATACCACAATTGCACAACCGTATTGCTTTCCTATTTCCAATCGCGTCATCAAAGCTGCCGAAAGACCTGTAAGAGCTGCTGGTGCTTCCAATATGTAAGATAACAATGGGTGGAGAGAGGAGTCTTGCTTTGATTGGGAAGACAGACAGTACCTCGTAATATTGTTCTCCTCTGGAACAATTCCCATTTTGTAGCCAGGCATAGAGTCCAACACTATCCAACGGCCAATTAGGAACGAATCCACCAAGAGGCAACCGATGCTATGTAAGTCATAACTTTCTGAAAAATCAACCAGAAAACCCAATAAGACAAAGCCTACGCCTTCAATTTTGGAAAGATATAGCTTGAAAACTTCCATGTCTTCTCGAAAGATGGTGGCCCATAGGAAGCTTTCATTACCTTTCTCCACAAGCACTTGAACAACTTGACAACTCAAAATAGACGCGGCAACAACTACAGTAGAAGAAGAAGGAGCATTTAGGTCCCCACTTTTCTCCAATCGAAAGGGTACTTGTCTCTGTAAACAGGCTATATCCCAAAGGTCGTCTACTTCAGCTCTGCTTGGTCGAGTCCAGGGATCCACCAAGTCCAAGTAACGATTCATGATAATATAAAATAGAGGAACGTTTTCTTCTTTAAATATTCAAGAACTTTAAACAACTCAAATACACAACATGCGGTCAACAGAATTCTGAAAGTCCTATAAAGAAATGGTCAGTTGGGATAAAGGCTCTCTCCTTTGCTTTCTCTCGCTAGATAAATGATTGCAATCTTTCAAGTGCCAGTAAACTCCTTTTCAGCGCTACATATTTTGTTATCGAACAATATTCTAGAAATTGACCGATTCTATCTAGCTTCTTGCAACTCTTTTGGTGGTGGATATCTGATGAGTCTATTTCAAGTTCAAGAGTCTTTTATTTTCTCATTGAACGCTAACTGTAACAAAGTTGTGAAAAGTTGAAATAAAATTATACCAATCAGTATTGTTTTTGCTCTCATCGTTCCGAGTTGGTCTGAAACTAGTACGTATTCGAGACCGTTATACCGTAACTGAACAACTATATATTATGGTAAGGGAATTATCAGGAAAAAAGAAAGTATTGCCATAGAAATAAAAAGGATATCAAAGAATACTATGAAAGGAACGTACAAGGATCAAGAAGGAGAGGCGTTTTATGCAAGCCACTATGACAAGGGTCAAACTCATAAAGAACTAGTAGTATTCTTCTTCCTCAATTGATATTCGACCGTTATGAAGCTTTGCCTCTCAGTAACCGTTAAAACAACTCTGCAGTTGAAAATATTTTCCAAATAACAGATGGAAGGGACACCATTGCTTTGTACTCGACAGCTTAACATTGTAACCTTACAGATAATGTGATAAGATTACTTGTACTTTATGTGCTACAAAAGCAAAATACCTTTTGAAAAATTGACAAGAGTAATATCTTATTATTAACAACATGTCACTCAAACTAATTTGTCTTTATAAGCGCTAAGAATCCTTCAGGGCTTTCATCTTCTACAGGAATCAAGGAGACTCGACAAAATAATCCATAAAAGCTATTTTGCCAAAAACTCTCACTTTCCTAACATGTTCCGCATTCTTAATGAAAAGTTATTGATTCCGGATTCGAAATGAATATACTCCTATAAAGGATATTTTGGACAAACACTATGCAACTTCCTTTTCAGAAAGAACACGACGTTATCTCAAAATGTATTTTGATCAAATGAAAAAGGCAAAAAAACTTGATGCTGCAACATCTCCTCCACTTCTCATACTTTCTATTTGTATAACACTCGTATCCATAATTGGATTTTCTCTCTCTCTCTCCCCTCTCCATCGAAGGGGTATGGATATTCCTTCGAGACTGCTTAAATAGAACATGACTCAACGGGTCTATCAATGAAATTTCCAACAGGTTCAAAAGTAGTCTTAGTTTATCCAACCATAAAGGATTGTCTCCAAAAACTTTATCAAGATCTTCACCGGCCGTGAAACCTGGGAGAATTTGAGACAGGTGGTCGAACACGCTACAACTTGACAATGAGGAAGTATCCATGACTATTCTTCTCTTATATTCTATGGTTCTGCCGCATATTTGATAGAACTAGAGACGATATTTTGGCTGTGGTCTTCATAATAAGCTCCACTATCCAATACCCAAGTAGGAACATACTGAAATTGTTTGGAAACTTTATGCAGTAAACTTGTTGCTTACAATAAACTAAATTGTCATTATATTCTGATATTCTCCAACTCCAAATGAGACCCGACTGGATGCAAAAATTTAGCAACTTCTGCTTTCACATAAAAGTCCAACATCAGGACTTGGCACTGAATAATATTTTTAGCGAAATGCCAGTCAAGTAGATACTCATTCTGATGAAGATTCAGTTTTCATAAATGTTTGCTCCTTGTCCGACAGCGATAGAGTTGTCATTAGTTTGTTGTGACTCGAATAAAAAAGGGGTCCACTGGTGTTTGTCTTGTGGGAATATATATTCCACTATTTGATAAATGAGTTTCAAAAAAGGTTTGCAAACATTCACATGATAAGCTTCTTTGCCAAAATTATGAATGCCAGCTATTGTGGAACTCAAAACGCTGGAACATTTCGGGAAGATGATTCAGTCCTAATGCTCTTACAATCTCCCAACTTTTATGGATGCATCTGGTACAAGACTATGCCGTAATAGAATCATTTCACCCAATCTAGAACAGAAACACAATTGAACATAAACAATAAGAGTAAATATATTTTCAAACTAGAAAGCAAGACTAGGAGGTAATTCAAAGCGACTAATGGATGAAAACAAACTACAAATAGAACGAAGAGGAGGAATATCCAAACATCAAATTTCAATATATCATAAAGCAATCTGTAGAAAGAATAATTTGACAAATATTTCTCTTGTTTGGTGCAGACATCCTTGAACTTCTTGACCTTGTCAATTCTCCGAACAAATTTCATAAAGAAAACCAAAATGATTGGCCATGTAGAGAAAGTATCTAGAATCAGGTCCCATAGATACACCACCCAACAAAGTCTCTACAATAGAAATATGAAATTCCAACATACTGAGAAGACGTATAGCAGTGAAAGTAGTCATTCCCTTTGATGAGGAGAAGGTCTCACTAAAGGCGAAGGTTCAGGAGGAATTCGCTCGATTCTGGTTTTCAGTTAATCCTCTAAAGGATCATCAGAACTCGAAAGAGCTTTAAGGCCTTCCCCAATTCTCTTAAAGCATAAATGACGTGCGTTAAGTAGCACCGCCTGTATAAACATGTATTTGTTTGAAGAATCACTCATGTCCTTCTGAATGATTAGGAAAAAGAAACTTTAGAATAGGCTCATTATGATGCGTCTTATTCTGTACAAAGAACTTGACAGTCTCCTCTGAAAAGGGATCTAAAAGAAGAAAAGAAAATCTTACACGTGAAATACCGACATCTTGTTGTATTAATAGTATCTAATTTCCCTTGCGACAGCAAACATTACAAACGAGCAGACTAACAAACTGCACAAGATTCTAAAAAACTTGATAAACGTCGTGGTCTTGAGTCGGTCCTTAGGTATGCATCAGTTCTTCAAACTTGGTGAATTCGTAACAATCTAAATTTGCGATTTCGTCTCTAAAAAGATATAAATAACATTTTCGTTATTTGCAAGAGTTTCTACAGCCATTTTTTGTAGCTGTTCTTGCAAGAAAGAACTTGAGATAGCCATTCTAAACCTTTTAGACACGTGGCAATTGAATTGTAGCCAATCCACTACAAAAGGTCGTTTCAAAACAAATTCCCCTTGGTCAATAGACAAGGGTGAACTTGACACAAGTAAAGTTCCATTAAGCGTTCAGTTCACGTTCTCCTACACTCTCTACCTTTGCAAAGCCAGGAAACGTATTATTCAAGTTCAAATAGTGCATCAAGTTCACTTTGTCGGGCAAAAAGAGAAACTTTTGGAAATTCTTATCAAACGTGCTTTTTCACTTTCATACGTTTCTGGTGCGCAACACATGTTTCGTCGCCCACCTTATATACACCTCGAAGTCCTAAGGAAAAGAGACAACAAAAACATCTAAAACTTGTGCTATTGTTGACTCTCTATTGACGAGAGGATATTCTATACTTGCAAAGCCTATCCTTTCCAAAGAGAATCTTCTGTAACTTCGAAGACTACAGCTGTGGTAATCAATCCATTTCAGAATCTTTTCAAGTCCAATAAAAGAGTTCATGTCATACAAGGTTAAGAACCCACTTCTTTCACAAAATATTGAACTTCAAATATTTCTCTCATAACAAGTAAGCATTCAATAACGAATAATAACATGACATTCCTAAATATTTTTGGAAAGAGATAAAACTATTTCTTGTAGGGTTGAAATGCCAATATTTCTCGAATGTGGATTATCCACAGACTTGAAAGCGTTCCTTAAATTTGATAAAATGTCTTTGCCAATAAAGTTTTCTACATCAGCTTCAGAAAGAATAACCAATTCACAGTTGTGAGGAATCAAGAATTCTCCAACACTATCGCCAAATGAATAACAACGACTAGAATGATTCAAGTCCTCAGATACAATTGTAGCCAACTTGGTACTCATAATAATCAACATACAATGCCATGTAGGATGACTAGTCAATACTTGATCATGAACTGGTTTTAAAAACTTGTGAGCTTCTTCCAAAATTTCATTCCATCGAATACCACTACGACTCCATCGGCCTTTACAAGCAATACCCACCATCATCAAGTTCTTCTCATTCGTTCTTCCATGCAACTTGAATAATATATCTGGACTATGAAAAGTTGAATGAAATGGAATATATATCTTTTCAAATTCTAAAATTTCTTCCACTATCCTTTCCCATTCATCATTGCTTCCAAATGTCATTCTCTCTGTTCCTAATACAGCTCTGGTACAATGTATAGATTTCATATAATAAGCAGCAGATTCGGAAGAAAATTGTAAATTCATTTCATTCCAAACACGAGACAATTGACCAAGAGTAGAAAACATTGAGCTGTTTGTAGGACGCCGAGAAAAATGTAAATAAAACAGTGTAGCAATAAGACCTTCCAAAATTCGACATTTCGACTCATAAAAGAATTCAACAGATTGAGACTTGAGAGTTTGTAAAAGTAACCATTCTAAACGATCATCCTTTAAGCCTTGGTCAATATATTCAATCAGTAACTTGGGAATCAACACTTCATAGCGTTCGTTGCGGTCTGGTTCTATAACCAATCGACGATAGAGACACATATCTGTAACTAGATCAAACAAAAACACATCAGAATTTGAGCTCATTTGCACAGTTTCATCAAAATCAAATCGAATACGATACAAAGATAATAACCAAAGCATTCTTAACAAGCGCTTACGCTGCTCACTGAGACTTATCAGACGAGGTAAGAATGGCGCAACACAATAATTTGTTACTAGAAAGCTATTCATTATGATCAAGAAGGTTTCCTTAGATAATAAGAAATTGTTGTTGGATGATTTATACAGCAAAAGGTAACTGATTGCTCGAACAAGTAAACCAGGAACACCACCAGTCAATTCCAACAACAATTCTGCAAGTTCACTAGTTGAGAAGTCTTCGTGACAAAGAATTTCTGAAACCTTTGGGCTCCCAGGGAATAAAAAGGAAGAACTTTTCTCCAAATGTTCCACGATACTATGGTTCTCAAGCGGCGAAAGAGGAATAAACACTAACTGAACCCTTGAGACTGAAGCTACGTAATTATATATATTTAAGCCTTCACTTTTCCCAACAACAATAAAAAACAAGTCGGGTTCTTCACACAACTCACGAATAATACCGAAAAAGTCGTTGTAAGGTCGAACTCTACCGCCGTGGGTTCTCTTGAAATGAAATTCGTCGAGACTTTCGTCTAGGACACCAACTTCATCAAATGCTATAAGAAGATATTGATCCGAAGGAATGTTTAAGATTGAACGGAATTTCTGAACCACAGCATCAGTCCTAAGTTTCAGTTCCTTGAAACATTCGTCCGGGTCTGGTTGCGGAAGACCTGACTGCAAACAAGCAACCTTTATTAACAAATAGTAGACTGCCCACTCAAGGTTGCGTTTTTCTTCGGTGGGGAGAGTGGGCTTTAGCAGCCTTAGGTCGATGTAAAGCAACGAAGCCCTTTTCAGCTTCTCCAGAAAGGTTCTCCTCAAAGGGTTCCAAGCAAAAGTCGACAGGGAAGTTTCACTAAACCATCGCACCAACTCCAAATAGGTTACATAAAACGTGGTCTTGCCAGAACCGAACATGTGCGGAGCGAATGGTATGGTCAAGCGATAGTTGTTACTACTTGTTACAACCCTGAGTTGTTCTCTGTTGCTATGAAGATCATACAGTTCTTTTGTCACTCGAACAACATCTCTTTCACGATCTACCACAACAGACTTAAAGTTGTCCACAGCTTTCCACTTTTCATCCAAGCTCGCCATCGCCAAAATAAAATTGAATAACCTGTGGTTTATTTTTGAGTATAAATATAAATAAATAAACAATTGACTGTTTGCCATTCACAACAACAACAACGAAAACAGTAAAGGATACCAACCCAACTTCTTCTCTGTATCAACTGATGACTATGGCATACCCTTTAGGGCTTGGACTGAGATGACTTGAACTATAGAAGAACGATCAATATGGCTTTTTCAACTATCAATATTCTTATTCTCGTATGCTAATATAATGGTAACTCTCATAGGGTACAAGAAGGATTGGAAGGAAGCCAATGTTTATTTCACAAGTTTTTTATGCTCTTTGAGAGTATAAAGCTATTAAACATGGCCCATTCTCAAATAGATAAGAAAGTTTCTTTCAGAATTTTCGAGAGTAGTCATGAGAGTTCCGAGAAATATAGATTGTTCATGAAGAATTTGTTCCATAGACGTCTCTCTCTAGATTTTCTGTATTTTATGGAACAGTTTTTACGTCACTTTTGCTTCATTTCGAAACACGGAACTAGAGTATGAACCAAGTCATTCTCTTTTGTAATCTACCCAAAAGCTCCAGTTGAAATATATTATTTAGTAGAAATGCAGAAACCCGCAAGCACAACACTCCTTTATTCTCAGCAATCATCAAATTCCTTTCTTACGATATCATGACAACTAGCAGCTTATCACTAAAGCTACAAAAATTGATGATAGCAAAAGACAAACCAAAACAAACGTGCAAAGAAGGATCCAAAATATCTCGTGGTTTTATCAAATCTCAGAAACAACATTGACTCACACAAGTGTATCATCAATACTCAATTTCTGTAAGAGTCAATAACTCCTGTCTCTTTCTCCTCTGAAAATAGTGGCATTTGATACTGTGGATTCTGTTAAGAGGAGAAAAGATATTTTCAAGAAAAATTCAATTCAGTCGAATTGAGTCTATTCTATCTATTCTCTTCTCGTATATTGTCATTGCATAACATTTGAATCATAGTTGAATTCCCTCTCCCCAATAGCCCACTATATAGTTGAGGTGTTTTTGAAGGTAAACATGACTGTTTAGGTTTGAAGGTTTTCACTGCCTCCTCTTGAACTTTGTAGAAACCACAAATTGTGAACATAGATAAGAAAGCAAACTATATAAAACACAAAGCTGCCTTAGGGCATGGATAACTCCAAGAGAACTCTTATTTCTTCCAATACGAAGAAAACAAAACTTTTAAAAGCTCTGCAAATTCAAGGAAAGATTTGTTCCGCTGCAGTTGTCTCCTACTCTTTTCCCACTCTCTCATCCATCAGCTCGTTGAATGAGTCATAATACAAAAGTTATTCGTGTTAGACACTAGGCAGAAGACTCTCGCGAAATATAACCTGACGGGTACGTTGGTGGAGGCTTCTCCTTAGATATTTGTAACAAGAATCAAAGACAACTCAAAGTTTTGTATAAACAAACTGTCTACATGTACAAGAAACGTTCATTTCCATTAGGGACAAGTCAAACATAAAGAAGAAAAGATAAAGTTTTATCCAAATTGCTCTAAAAAGAAGGAAAATGTCTCTTTCAACTTTGTATTATTCAGCAGAATAAAATTGTGCAGAGTCAAATTGATATTGTGATTATCCAAACTGGTAAAGGTCTTATTCTCTTAAATATACTAGATAAATTTCGTCTACTAGTGAAAAGAAAAGAATATAAACGTAGAAATAATGGAAAAATAAGAATCTTTCATCTCCTCTTGGCAAAGTAACAAAGAAGGTGAATCTTGAAATATATGTGCAAGGAGAAGCGAAAGCATCACCACTTTTACCGTTGTTATACTAGTCAAAAAGTCTCAAAAAGTTCTTTAGGTGGAGAACGAACCAATAGCCTTGAATCGTTTGAGGTTCGATCCTCCTTGACGTAAGTAGTTTATGTACGAATTTGTGTATAGACAAAAGTATTCCCAACCTTTGGTCAGTTTTTTATTATCGTCCTGTTCTCTGTATACTTTCCAATTCTAGAGTTGAATATACGATTTATTCTTCTTTATAACTCGTAATCGAACAAAGATTGCTCCTAGAGCGTAATTTGCATAGAAGGAAAGGTTCTAGTTCTCACAATGCAAGCCAAACAGAGTTAACGTCATTGAAATTAGAAAATGACAATTTTACACCTTTAAGCAGTTTTCCTAAATTTTGAGTGACCAACAAAGAAAGGTTCTCAGAACGAAAACGAGTCAAAAACTGGTTGTAGCAAAACCGTTCTTGATTTGTTATCAAAATAGGGTCACAAGAAGTTTAAAATTTACCTTGCAGAGACAAGATTGATCAAACTCAACTCTGTTAAAAGGCTACAGTGTCGCTAGGGAGTTGAGAGGACCTTTGATACGACACTGTTCTTCTCGTTTCACAACAATACTGAGAAGTGAGATTGAATGTATCTAGCACACTTATTGTTCCAGAAACTTTTTACATATCTCCAAGTGGAATATTTTCTTTCATAAAACTCACTAGTCACTCAAAATAATATATCTCCAGTGAAAGGAGACAATACAAAGCAATCCTTCTCATAACAATCCAATTAGAAATGAACACAATGGTTTGATTGTTGGATAAAAAGGAAGGCTCAGTGAGTATTGTCAACGCTGTGGACCTGATTCAAGTTTGCTAGTGAAACTTTTCAGACTTTAATTTCTAAAACGAATTCGTCGTTTGATTTAGTTGGACAAGTGAATTTCTATTATCTACGTTTCTTTTTTAAGCCCTTCAAATGTTTCTTTTAGAACAATCCATCGAGTCCTGAGCTCTGAGTTCCAAGTAGACTGTAGTTTCTTTTTAGTATTTACAACTTTTATTATCTCTTTGGAATTTATATACTTTATGCAACACTTGTTTTTATTTCACTTCTGGTCTTGTATGGAAATTTGAGATTAGCGTTGTCGAGAAGAGAGCAAAGACAGAGGAATTCAAGCTGTCGTTGAGTGTTGGTAGATTAATCAATTAGTTGTCTCACAAGTTTGTTTATTTCTATCGATAATTGTTTCAGAGCAGTTTTGCGTATTTATTAGCAGTTGAAAGTCCTGTAGTCTGTTGTTGAGATTCTGAGAATCAGGCTTGGGGCTATTATTTCAAAGATATTCTACAAGAACAAGAAACCAGTCAGACACTCAGTTGAGTCTTTTAGTCAGTACACAGAATAACATTCCGTATAGTAGTTTTTTGCCTTCTATATGACTCTTTTCACGATGGAAAAATCGGTCCGTAACTCTGCAACAGGCATTTCTCAGAATAGCATAGGAAAGTCTTGAGTCCATCATCGCACATTTTCAATGATTGTATTGTTGTGCTTTTAGATCAATTCTCTATTGATACGAGTATATATTTTGAAATATCATGGATGTGGGGCTTTAGATAACGAAAGCTGAATAAACTTGTATTTTGAAAGCAAGGGAACAGTTTTTAGTTCAAAATATACTCAACTTGTTGGGAACCGTGAAATAAAGCAAGCAAAAGAGCATTGCTGAAAGTCATGGTTATGTCCACCTGGTAAAATGTTTTGACGATAGCGACTGTAGCTACTAGTCCGTTTTGAGAAACGCCTTTGTTTTTATGAATTACGGGGTTTACCGAGGGTGAAATATGTCTAAAACGATACATAAGTCGTAAGAGTGATAAAAGTGGAACTAGTATTAATGCTGTTTCTGAAAGGCATCTATTGCAAATCGTCTTTGGTCCTTATATAGTTGAAGAGGAGGGTAACATTAGTAGTACGGTGTGAATGGGAAACAATGCGACTTGTGTGAAACAGTATTTGCCTTTTCAAGAGTGCTGCTGATCTGTTTTTTTCCCAACACACTGAAAGTCATGCTGTTGAAAGTAGTGGTAGTTGTAGCTGTCAAAAAGTGAAAAGGAAACTTCACATTTTGTGCAAACAGCTTGCGTTTGGATAGTATACAAAGTAGCTCTGAAAGAAACTCATGAAGGATGGGTTGAACTTCTACAATATTACACAAGCGCAAACATTGATGCAATCGTGTCCGACTAGAGTTTTTGGTTTGACTCTGAAAATAAAGTCCAACTTTTGGTAGATAATTCCTAGAAAGCATACGCAGACGAACAAAGTAGTTTGCACATAGACACAAACCATAAAGCATTTTTCGATTATCGCAGCAAAATCAAACCATTCGCCACTACTCGAAATTCAACCACAGCAACAACAACAAATATGAGCCCAAGCCTACTACAGTATGGCACAGTCATCAATTCTACAAAGAGAATGACTCCTGCTTCTATCTTTTACTCCTTTCTTCGTTGTTGGCATGAGCGGAAAAGTGCAATTGTTTTATTTACTTCGAATTGTAAAAAGACAACAACAACAACAACAACAGAAAGAAGATAGTGTATTGGTTAGTAGTACATGGAATATTAATAATAGTTTTTGTCATAAAAGTACGAATTTGACCTATTTTTTACCATAAAGGAAAATTGTATTGTTGACTCTACAAAAGAAAAAGGCATTATTTGCACACTTAAAAGCTATTCCTGCACCTCACTATCAGTAGAACTAAATACGGTCCTGATTTTGAACAACAAATAGAGTATCCAGTTGCTTTTAATGGTCGATTTTCGATTTTGCTTCTACATGTTTGAGACTAATCTTTACCTTTTGATTCTTGAAACGAACTTATTTGTTATCTCATGATAGTGTGATGAAGCAATTAGTCGTCATTTCTTTTCCGAAAACGTCGACGTACAACCTTTCAGAAGCTTTTTTCATTGGAAATCTCTATCACATAGAATCTCTTTGTCCCGTGACAGTTGTGTTGCATTTGGAGGGGTGGACAATTGATAGTCCAAGTGATCAATTCGAGATAGTTTCGTCAGTTGAATCAATTAATCTTTGACAAGTGAACTTGCAGCATCATGAAAGTGTACAACATACTGTTTCCAGTGATCTAGAATCTACTACTGATCTATCTGAACATATTGTAATGCTCTCATGTTAAAACCATCTTATGGGTATTTGTGCTCCAGAACATTTCCATCTTACATGTTCGACCCTAAGACCAGCTTCATATGAAGTTAGTCATCTAATCGATAAGGATAGGAAAATATCTCTATTTCGTTTTTTCTCTTCTTC